CCCAGCCCAGAACCTGCACCCCCAGAAACCCCCACCCCCAAAATCTGCACCCCAGAAACCCCCCACCCCGAAATCTGCACCCTCAAACCCCCCACCCCAAAATCTGCACCCTCAGAAACTCCCCAGCCCAGAACCTGCACCCCAGAAACCCCCACCCCGAAATCTGCACCCCTTAAAAACCCCACCCTGAAATCTGCACCCTCAGAACCCCCCCACCCTGATACCTGCAAATCCAGAAACCCCCACCCCAAAATCTGAGCCCCCATCCTTCCCCAACCTCGTCCCTCCCCCAAATCTTCACCCCTTAAATCTCCTCCCTGACATCCAAACTCCTCTGCTTTCATCCCAAAACCCTCTTCCTGTCATTTACCCCCCCCCAGCACCCTCAGGGATCCCCCAAAAATGAGGGGTGACCCCCCAAAAACCCCTTTTTCCCCCATTTTCAGGGTCCGGCTCCAGCTCTACCGCACGGCCAAGATGGGCTGGGGGGTCCGGGCGCTCCAGGCCATCCCCCCCGGCACCTTCATCTGCGAGTGAGGGACCCCCACACGGGGGGGGAGCTGGGAGGGGGTCTTGGGGTGCCCTGAGGGGGTTGGGGGGTCCCTGAGGGGTTTTGGGGTACCCGGGAGGGGATTTGGGGAGACCGGGGAGAGTTGGAGTCTGGGCGGTTTCTGTGGTGCCTGGGGGGTTTTTGGGGTCCTGGGAAGGTTTTGGGGTGCCTGGGAAGGTTTTGGGGTGCGTGGGAAGGTTTTTGGGGTCCCTGGGGGGGGTTTTGGGGTGCCCTCACCCCCCGTTCCCCCCAGGTACGTGGGGGAGCTGATCTCGGACGCCGAGGCCGACGTGAGGGAGGACGACTCGTACCTGTTCGACCTGGACAACAAGGTCTGGGGGCCCCAAAACCTCCTGGGGGGTCGAATAACTGGGGGACCCCAAAAACTCCTGGGGAACCCCAAATAATCTTGGGGGACCCCAAATAGCCCAGGGGGACCCAAATAATCCAGGGGAATGACCCCAGTGTGCACCCCGGGCGTCCCCCAGGACAGGGAGGTTTTTGGGGTCCCTGAGCCCGATTTTGGGGTCCCTAAGCCCAATTTTGGGGTCCCCACCCCCCCAGGACGGCGAGGTGTACTGCATCGACGCCCGTTACTACGGCAACGTGAGCCGGTTCATCAACCACCTGTGCGACCCCAACATCATCCCCGTGCGGGTGTTCATGTTACACCAGGACCTGCGCTTCCCCCGCATCGCCTTCTTCAGCTCCCGCCACATCCGCCCCGGGGAGGAGCTGGGGTGGGGCTGGGATGGGATTTGGGGGTCTGGGAGGGGATTTGGGGGATTTGGGGGTATTTGGGGTGATTTGGGGGTATTTGGGGGTGTTGGTGCCGCTCCCGCATCGCCTTCTTCAGCTCCCCGCCACATCCGCCCCGGGAGGAGCTGGGTGGGGCCGGGGATTTGGGGGTCTGGGAGGGGATTTGGGGGATTTGGGGGTATTTGGGTGATTTGGGGGTATTTGGGGTGTTGGTGCCGCTTCCCCGCATCGCCTTCTTCAGCTCCCGCCACATCCGCCCCGGGGAGGAGCTGGGGTGGGGCCGGGGGATTTCTGGGGGTTTCAGGGAGCTGGGGGCAGGTATGGGTGTTGGGGGCACTTGGGATTCCTGGGGGTGGAGGGGGCTGGGCAGTACTGGGATGTCTTGGCCGGGGGGTCTCAGAAGAGGTGGGGGGTTTGAGAGGGGGTAATTGGGGTGACCCCTCGTTGCCCCCTCCCCCAGGTTCGACTACGGGGACCGTTTTGGGACATCAAGAGCAAATACTTCCCGTGCCAGTGCGGCTCCGAGAAGTGCAAACACTCGGCCGAGGCCGGGGGCCGCAGGGACCCCCGAGCTGCTGCCCCCCTCCTGGCCCTGCCCCCGCCCTGAGAGACCCCCAGAGAGACCCCAAAACCACCCCCCAACGTAGGACCCCAAAATTCCTCCTCTATGTGTGTTGTCCCTCCATCCCTCCCACACCTGGGACCCCCTTCTGTGCCTCCCTCGTTGTCCCCCCCCATTAACACACCCTCCCAATTTTTTGGGACCGTCCGTTGAACCAATAAAGAGGCGGAGCTGGAAAAGGGGCGTGGCCAGTTTTTGGGGAGAGAGACCCCATTCCCCCAAGAGTTTCAGATGAGGGGGGAGGGGAATAAGTGCTTTATTGGCTGAAGCCCCCTGAACACCCCAGGTTCCCCCAAATCCAGGCCAGGGGAGTCCCTCCTGTGTCCCCCTTTTTGCCCCCCACTCCATTGGGGAGGAGGAGCCCCAAATCCCTGAGTCTGTGGGGAGGAGAGGGAGAGACCCCACAGTGGGGCCTCCCCACCCCCCTAATACTGACCCCCAGCCCCTCCCCAACCTCCCAAGGGCCCCCTGGGGCCCAAAAGTGCCCTGAAACCCCTCTACACCCCATAGGTGGGAGGTCTGCACCCCAGCCCCCATAATCCCAGCCCTGACCCCTCTAGAGCCCCCTATAGACCCCCACCAGCCCCCTATAGAGCCCCTAAATAACCCCACTCCCGACTCTGCCACGACCCTCGACCCCACCCCAACTCCTATGGAGCCCCAGAGAGCCCCCAGCCCCTCCTAACCCCTATAGAGCCCCCTTAGTGTTCTATAGAGACCCCCAGTCCCCTATAGAACCCCATAGCCCTCCTGACTCCTATAGACCTCCCCAGCTCCCCTAAACAACCCTGACACCTATAGAGCCCCCCCAGCTCCCTGTAGAGACCCCCCAGTTCCACCTGACCCCTATAGAGCCCCCCCAGCTCCCTATAGAGACCCCCAGTTCCACCTGACCCCTATAGAGCCCCCCCAGCTCCCTATAGAGACCCCCAGTTCCACCTGACCCCTATAGAGCCCCCCCAGCTCCCTATAGAGCCCCCCAGTTCCACCTGATCCCTATAGAGCCCCCCTAGCTCCCTATAGAGCCCCACAGCCCCCTACAGAGCCCCACAGCCCCACCTGACCCCGAGAACCCCCAACTCCCTATACAGACCCCATAGCCCCCTGACCTCTACAGAGCCCCCAGCCCCCTATAGAACCCCATAGTCCCCTGAGCCCTACAGACCCCCAGAGCCCCCCTAGGTGAGCCAGGGCCGGATGCAGCGCTCATACACAGCCCGGTGGGAGTGCCAGGCCGTGTGCGGGACCCCCGGCACGGCACAGCCCCCAGAGCCCCCTGACCCTATAAACCCCTCAGCCCCTCTAGAGCCCCCATGGAGCCTCCCTAGGTGAGCCAGGGCCGGATGCAGCGCTCATAGACAGCCCGGTGGGAGTGCCAGGCCGTGTGCGGGACCCCCGGCACGGCACAGCCCCCCAGAGCCCCCCGGCCCCAGAGCGTCTTCAGCCCGAACGTGTCCTGCTGGAACACCTTAGGGGAAATGAGGGTGAGGGACCCCCAGAGACCACCAGGGACACCCAGGGACCACCTGGGACCCCTGGGGACTCACAGGGACCACCTGGGACCACCAGAGACCACCAGGGACCACCAGGTACACACAGGGACCACCAGAGACCCTCAGGGACCACCAGGGACCACCTGGGACCCCCAGAGACCACCAGGGACACCCAGGGACCACCTGGGACCCCTGGGGACACACAGGGACCACCTGGGGACACCCAGAGAGGGACCCTGCGGAGGGACCACCAGGGACACCAAGGGACCACCAAGAGACCCTCAGGGACCACCAGGGACACCAGGGACCACCAGGGACACACAGAGAGGGACCCCCGGGGAGGGACCACCAGGGTCACACAGGGACCACCTGGGGACCCTCAGGAACCACCAGGGGACCCCTGGGGACTCACAGGGACCACCTGGGACCACCAGGGACTACCTGGGACACCCAGAGAGGGACCCCTGCGGAGGGACCACCAGGGACACCAAGGGACCACCAGAGACCCCCAGTGACCCCGGGGAGGAACCACCAGTGACGGGGACCTGGGACCTTCAGAGACCCCCAAACGAGGGGAACCAGGGACCCCCCCGAGACCCCCAAATTGGGGAACCCTGGCCCTCCCAAGGACCCCCGAGCAGGGGGTGGGGGGGCTGACTTTGGGACCCCCACCACCCTCAAATGAGGAGACCACCCCGATCCCTCCACCCCAGTGCTGCCCCCCGAAGGGTGCTCCTCCAACCCCTCCCCGGTTCTGCCCCCTAAGGGTCCCCTGTGCCCCCTACCCCCAAAACTGCCCCTCGGGGTCTCCCTGTGCCCCCTACCCCCAAAACTGCCCCCGGGGTCTCCCGTGCCCCCTCACCGGCTGCGCCTCCATGTCCCGCACGGTCTCGTTGGCGTGCGTAGAACCCGAAAAGGCTTCGGGGGGACAAAGGGGGAATTAGTTTGGGGGCAGCCCAGAGGTCTGAGCCCCCTTGGGGCAGCGGTAGGGGGTGTTTTGGGGTCCCACCTGGACTGCCAGGGGTGATGACGCTGTCGTCGGGACCCCGATCAGCACCAGGCGCTCGATGCGCAGCAGGTTCCGCTTCCAGTCTGGGGGAGGGGGATTTTGGGGGTCAGGGAGGTCAGGGGTCTCTGGGGGTCTCTGGGGCGGGGGTCTCACCAGAAGCGTTGGGGTGCAGCCTCTCGTCGTTGAGCAGCGCCAGGAAGTCGCTGTTGTTCAGGTACAGCTCACGGTGGTGAGGGTCTGGTTTGGGGGAGGGGAAGAAATGGGGGAGGTCAGACCCTGGGACACCCCCTGGGGTCACCCCCACCCCAGAGCTGGGGCAGGGGGGTTGTCCCCTGGTGCTGGTTGGGGGCAGGGGTCTTGGGGAATTTGGGGGGTGGAAGGTTTAGGGTTTCTGGGGGAGGATTGTGGGATGCTGGAGGGGATGGGGGCGGTTTTGGGGTGCCAACCATTCCAGTAGTTGCAGATGGAGACCCCCTGGCCCAGGGGGTGTAGCAGAGCCGGTACAGGTTGGATTTCATGTGCCGAGGGAAAAGCCACTTCAGGTAGTCGGTGTCTGTGCCCCAAAACTGTCAGGGACCCCCAAAACCAAGAGGGACCCCCAAACCCCACCCTGAAACACCCAGAAACCCCCAACCCACTCAACCCCCTGGACCCTCAGGCACCCCCAGCACCCCCAACACCCCTCAAAATGTGCAGAGAGCCTCCCCTCCCCCAAACCTCCCTAAAACCCACCAACCCCCGGGGACCCCAAAACCTCAAGTGCCCCCTAAAAGCCTCCCCTCCCCTCCATGGACCCAGCCCGGCCCGGCACGTCCCGAAGCCCCCAAAGCCCCTCAGGAGCCCCCAAAGCCCCCTCACCCCCGTACTGCCCCATCTGCGGGGCCGCCAGGGAGATGAAGCTGCGCACGTTGTGGTCGGGGGTCGTGGCCAGCAGGGCCCGGCAGATGAGACCCCCTGGGGGTGGGGGTGTCAGGGGACCCTGACAGCCAGGGAGACCCCAACAGCCAGGGAGCCCCCTGCCAGGGCCCGGGAGCCCCTGAGGGACCCAGGACCCCCACCCGTTAACCCAGGGGACCCTCTCCCACCCACGGGTCTGGGAACCATTGCCCCCCCTTGGACTTGGGACCCCCACCCATGGACTTGGGACCCCCACCCATGGACTTGGGACCCCCACCAACCCCCACAGCCCCAGGGGTCCCAACCCTCCTGGATTCCAACAGAAGGGCCCCCACCCCACCCCCAATCAATGATGGGGACCCAGGACCCCCAAACCTGGCGGCCCCGGACCCCCACCCCAGGGTGCCCTCCTGGTCCTGGGGATCCCATCCCCACCCCAGGGTGTGTCCCCCGGGGTCCCATCCCCCACCCCAGGGTGTCCCCCTCACCCCGGGGGTCCCATCCCCCACCCCAGGGTGTGTGCCCCCGGGGTCCCAGCCCCCCACCCTGGCTGTATCCCAGCAGGTGGACGCCGTGGGCGGCGTTGGCCATGATGGGGGCGAGGGCTCTCCGGAACCCCTCCACCTGCACCCACAGCGGCCGCAGCGACGCCCCCCGGTCGAACAGGTCCAGCACCGTCACCTCCGTCCCGGGTAGCGTCTGGGGGGTCCCGGAAGCCCAGCACCCCACCCACCCATCAGCAGTCACCCCATCGGCCCCAGCACTTCAGCCCACGCACAGGGGGTGGAGACCCTCAGATCACCCCCATCAGCCCCAATCACCCCCAGTCAGCCCCAGCACCCCCGGTCGAACACGTCCAGCACCGTCACCTCCGTCCCGGGGCGCGTCTGGGGGGGGTGGGAGACACCCCAAATCACCCCCAAATCACCCCAAATCACCCCCATCAGCCCCAGTCACCCGTCAGCCCCAGCACCCAGGTCGAACACTCCAGCACCGTCACCTCCGTGCTGGGCAAAGGTCGTCTGGGGAGTGGGAGACACCCAAATCAGCCCCAAATCACCCCCACCAGCCCCAGTCACCCCCAGCATCCCCAGTCACTCCCAGTCAGCCCCAGCACCCCCGGTCCAACAGGTCCAGCACCGTCACCTCCGTCCGGGTGCGCTCTGGGGGACACAGGGGGTGGGAGACCCTCAAATCACCCCCATCAGCCCCAATCACCCCCAGTCAGCCCCAGCACCCCCAGTCGAACAGGTCCAGCACCGTCACCTCCGTCCCGGGGTGCGTCTGGGGGGGGTGGGAGACACCCCCAAATCAGCCCCAAATCACCCCCACCAGCCCCAGTCAGCCCCAGCACCCCCGGTCAAACAGGTCCAGCACCGTCACCTCCGTCCCGGGGTGCGTCTGGGGGGGGTGGGAGACACCCCCAAATCACCCCCATCAGCCCCAGTCACCCCCAGTCACCCCAGTCACCCCAATCAGTCCCAGTCAACCCCAGGACCCCCAGTCACCCCCAGTACCCCAATCAATCACCCCCAGTCACCCCAGTCATCCCCAGTCACCCCAATCACCCCCACTCAACCCCATCAGCTCCAGGACTCCCAGTCACCCCCAATCACCCCAATCAATCAACCCCAGTCAGCCCCAGCACCCCCGGTCCAACAGGTCCAGCACCGTCACCTCCGTCCCGGGGTGCGTCTGGGGGACAGAGTGGGTGGGAGACCCCCACATCACCCAAATCACCCCAAATCACCCCCCATCAGCCCCAGCACCCCCGGTCCAACAGGTCCAGCACCGTCACCTCCGTCCCGGGGTGCGTCTGGGGGGGGACAGAGTGGGGTGGGAGACCCCCCCCAAATCACCCCCATCAGCCCCAGTCACCCCCAGCATCCCCAATCAGTCACCCCCAGCATCCCCCATCAGTCCCAGTCACCCCAGTCAGCCCCAGCACCCCCGGTCCAACAGGTCCAGCACCGTCACCTCCGTCCCGGGGTGCGTCTGGGGGGGACACGCGGGGGGTGTCAAGGCACGGGGGGTGTCAAGGCACGGGGGTGGGTGCCCCCCCCAAGCACCCGGGCAGGGTCCCAGCGGGGAATGAAGCAGAGAGGGGGGTCCAGGTGGGATAAGGGGGGGTCCAGGGGGTCCTGCGGGGGGTCCCAGGTACTCGGAGGAGCCCCCCCTGTCCTCAGCACCCAGGCAAGGTCACGCGGGGGCATTTGGGGGTGATTTGAGGACACCCAGGGGGGTGAAGGGTGAAGAAGAGGGGAGGGGGGACACCCAGGGCTGGGGGGGTGATGAAGGGGGATCAGGGGGTCCCCACCTTCCGGGGAGGGTCGTTACCTCGTTGATGAAGGCGCGGAGGTGTCGGAAGTCGCTGGGGCTGTCGAAGAGCCCGTGCACGATGACCACGGGCCGGAACGACCCCCGCGACCCCCCACGAGGAGGAGGAGGAGGGGGGGGCCAGGAGCGACCCCCACCCCTCCCACCCGCGCCCCTCGTTCCGCCGCTCCGGGCGCATCTGTGGGGAGGGGGACACACGGCGGATCAGGGGAGACCCCTCCCCACTCCTCCAACTCCACCGCTCCCCGGGTGGTCCCCAACCTTCCCCTCCCCCACCAGGACCCGTGTTTACCTCTCGCTTCCCTCCCCACCCCTACGTCAGTTCCGGCGTGGGGAGGTTGGGGAGGGGTCTCCGAGTCCTGTGCCCCTCCCCCCCCAAATCCCACCCCCTAAGTGGGAGACCTCCCCCTTCAACCAGCCCCGGGGCGTGGGGGGATGGGCTGGGGAGGGGGTCTCCCCACGTGTGTCCCCCTCCCACCGCCCCGTTACCTTCGAGGGACCCCACGAGCGGCTCCTCCCTCACTCCCCTCCCCACCCCCAAAACCCGCGCGGCCAATCAGAGACCGGGGAGGGGCGTGGGAACGGAGGGGAGGGGCGTGGGAACCTCGTGGGGTTGGGTGGGAGGGGTCTGAGGGGGTGTGCCGTGGAGAAGGGGGTGGGGTCGGCGATGGGGCGCTCGCTGTGGGTCTGGGGGCGCTGGCGGCCCCCGGCCAAGGAGCCCCCGAGGTGAAGCCACGCGTGGGGTGGGGAGGGGCGCGTGGGGAGGGGGAGGGGGCAGCGCTCGTGCGGGGCGGCACGTCCGCGTTTTGGAGGGGAGGGTGGGATCGGTGCACGTGGAGGGGGATCCGCGATGTTTTGGGAGTATCACAGCCCCCTCCTAAAATCACCCGTGGGGGTCTCCATCACTCGGGGGGGCGGTTAAGGGGTCTGGGGGCTCTCAGCGGGGTCCTGGGGAGGTTGGTGGAGGGTCCGCGGTTTAAGGGCTCGGGGGGCGGGATCCAGGGGGTCCCGGGGGTCTTCCTGGTGGGGTGATGCAGGGTCTTAGGGGTCCTGGGGGGGTGATGTGGGGGTCCCTGCCATCCGAGATGGGGGGTCCTGGGGGTCCCGTGTTTATTTTGGGGGGATTTTCAGCGCTTTTCCCCTCTCCCCCCCAGGGGTTCCCGGGGGGTGGGGGCCGGACCCCCCCTCTGCCCGCGCTGGGGGTGACGCTGGGGCGGCTCTGGGGGGCTCTCGAGGCTCTGGTGACCCCCGGCGAGCGGGACCGGACCCGGCGGCTCGTGCAGGATTTTGGGGCCCCCGGGGGGGCCGGACCCCGCCTGCAGGAGCGGCTGCGAGCGAAGCCCCCCGGCCCCCCCCGCCTGCCCGTGCGTCACAGCCCGGGGGGGCGCAGGGGACAAAGTTGGGGAGGGGTCTGGGGGGGTTTAATGGGGGGCTTATGGGGGGTTAATGGGGAATTTCTGGGAGGGGGGTTGATGAGGGATTTCTGGGGGGGGTTCCTGGTGTGGTTTTGGGGGATTCCCGGGGGGGATTTGATGGGGGGTCCTGCAGGAGCTCCTGGGGGGTTTGATGGGGGGTCCCGGGGGGGGTTCCTGAGGAGTCTCGGGGGTTTTTGGGTGGGATTGGCGAGGGGGTGGTCCAAGGGTTGTTTGGGGAGTTTGATGGGGGTGGTCTTGGGTCCCCTGGGGGGGTGTCCCGGGTTTTTTGGGGTGTCCCGGGTCTTGGAGGTTGTCCCGGATTTTCGGGGGGGTTACACCATTTTGGGGTGTGGGGCAGGAGTGGCCCTGGGGCTCCAGCGAGCGGCTGCCGCTGCCAGTCCACACCAGTGCGGGACTGGTGCTGCCCCAGCAGGACTGGGACGACTGGAGGGGGCAGCTCTGGTGAGTGGGGGGCACTGGGAGGGCACTGGGAGGGACTGGGAGGCACTGGAGTGAATTGGGAGGGACTTGGGGGGGACTGGGAGAGGGGTTTGGAGGGCCCTGGAAAGACACTGGGAGGCACTGGAATGACTGGTGTCATCAACCCCTGTCAGTGGTGTCGCTGGTATCATTGGTCCCACTGGTGTCACTGGTCCCACTGGTGTCACTGGTGTCCCTGGTCCCTCTTACTGGTCCCACTGGTGTCCCAGTATCTCATGGGTCACTGGTGTCACTGGTGTCCCAGTATCTCAGGGGTCACTGGTCCCTGTCCCTGTCCCTGGTCCCAGTGGTGTCACTGGTGTCACTGGTCCCTGTCCCTGTCCCAGGTTCGCCGCCCGGCTCATCGCGGGGGTCCTGGACTACCGGGAGCAGCTGCAGCGGTGGGTCCTGAGGGGGCTCTGGGGGTCCCTGGGCAGCTCTGGGGCTCTCGGGGGGTTCCTGGGGGTCTCAGGGGGGTTCCTGAGGGTGATGCTGTGTATGGTGACGCCCCCCAAGGCGGGACCCTCCCGAGCCGTGGGTGCAGGCGGCCTTTGGGGGGTGTCTCTGGGGGTCTCAGGGGGGTGTCAGGGTGGTCTCTGGGGGTCTCTGGGGGTCTCAGGGGGTGACAGTGGGTGTTCTGACCCCCCCCCAGGCGGGATCCCCCCGAGCCGTGGGTGCAGGCGGCGTTTGGGGGGTGTCTCTGGGGGTCTCAGAGGGGTGTCAGGGTGGTCTCTGGGGGTCTCAGGGGGTGACAGTGGGTGTCCTGACCCCCCCCAAGGCGGGACCCCCCCGAGCCGTGGGTGCAGGCGGCGTTTGGGGGGTGTCGGGTGCCGGGGCCCCGGCGGGATGAGGTGCTGAGGCTCCCCCCGGGGGCGCAGCCCCCCCAGTTCGTCACCGTCAGCAGGAACGGGCAGGTACGGGGGGGCTTTGGGGGGCTTTTGGGGTGGGGGTCAGGGAGGGGGTTAGGGGCTGTCTCACTATGTTTTGGGGGCGTGTCCCGTGGGGGGTCCCATCTTAGTTTGGGGGTGGTTGTCCCTAATTTGCGGGGGTGTCTGTCCCAGGGGGCTCATTGCTCATTTGTTAGGGGGATGTTCTTGGGAGGGGTCTCACCCTATTTTGGGGGGGGGTCACTCCTCATTTTGGGGGGCGAGGGTGTCCCGTGGGGAGGGGGTCCCATCCTATTTTGGGGGGGTTGTCCTTCATTTTAGGGGGTCTGTTTCATGGGGGGGTCCCACCGTATTCTGGGGGGGGTCCCACCCTATTTTGGGGGGTGTCTGTCCCATGGCAGGGGATCCCACTTTATTTTGAGGGGGGTCATTCTCCATTTTGGGGAGTGGGGTGTTCTTGGAGGGGGTCCTGCTCTATTTTTGGGGTATGTCTGTCTCATAGGGGGGTCACTCCCCATTTTGGGGGTGTCTGTCGCACGAGGGGGTCACTCCCCATTCTGGGGGGTCACTCCCCATTTTGGGGTCTGTCTGTTCCTCGAGGGGTCACTCCCCATTCCGGGGGGGTCCCTCCCCATCTTTGGGGCGTGCCCCCCCAGTTTTTCCAGCTGCAGGTGTGCGGGGACTCGGGCAGCCCCTGGGGTCCTGGCGCTGGCGGCGGCCCTGGGGGCTGCGGGCGCGGGCGGGGGCGGGGGGCCTCCGTGGGGCTCCTGACGGGGCAGCACCGGCGGGTCTGGGGCGCGTCCACGGCCGCATGATGAGGGGTGAGGGGCTGGGGAGGCTGAGGGGAGGGGCCAAGGGTGAGGTTAGGGAGGCTAATGGAGGGAGGAGCTGGCAGAGGAGCTTTGGGGTGGGTGGGGATTCTGGGGTGGGTGGGGATTTGGGGGTGAGACATTTTGGGGTGAGGGACTTTCGGGGGTTCCAGTGTGGGCGTGGGTTTGACAGTGGTTTTGGGGCGGAGGTCCCAGTGTTGGGGTGATTTTGGGGGTGGCTCGGGGGCTCAAAGGGGAGGGGCTTAATTTGGGGGGCGTGGCTTCCAATTTTAGGAGGCTTTTGGGGTCATCTCGAGGGGAGCTTCCTTTTTTGGGGGGTGAAAGCGGTGGGGTTTCCTCATTTTGGGGTGGGCGTGGCCTCCAATTTTCAGGGGGTGCGTGAGGGGAATCCGAGGGGGGCGTGGCTTGTTAGCAGAGTGGGCGTGTCCCGCTGAAGCCCCGCCCCCCGCAGACCGGCTGAGCCGCGACTCCATTGGGCGGATCCAGCGCAGCCTCCTCGTGCTGAGCCTCGATTCGCCCGTGCTGAGCGGGGGGCGTGGCCAGGGGGGCGTGGCCGCCCAGGTCCTGCACGGGGGCGGGGCCGGCGCCAACAGCGCCAACCGCTGGTTCGACAAGACCCTGCAGGTGGGCGGGGCCTCGGCCAGACGGGGAGGGGCTTTGGGGATTATGGGGCGTGGCTTGGCCCAGTGTCCAAAGTGGGCGTGGCCTGCGGTTTTCGGGCTGGATTTTCGAGGGTTTTTGGGCTGTCCCGGGGGTGGGGACTCCCTGTTCCTCTGTGTCAGGTTTTGGGGGAGTGTTTTGGGGTGGAAATGCTGTTTTGGGGCTGGAGATCCTGTTTTGGGGTGGAAGTCCTGTTTTGGGGCTTGAAAGGGCGCGGCTTCCTCTTTTAGGGGATGGAACCCGTTTTGGGGGGGATCCTGTGTGGGGGGTTAATGGGAGGGTGTCCCTGATCTTGACCTGCCCCCCCTGCCCCCCAAACCCAGCTGGTGGTGGGTCAGGACGGGACCTGTGGCGCCGTCTTCGACCCGGCCGTGATCGACGGCCCCGCCGTGGCCGAGCTGCTCGACCACGCCCTGGAGCACAGGTGAGGGTGGGCAGGGCGTGGCCCGAGGCCTGGACAGGTGAGAGGACACCTGGCTAAAGTGGCCCCTCCCCATCAGCCGCCGCCCTCAGCCTGACCCCGCCCCTGTGACGTCACTGCCCGTGCCCCGCCCGCAGCGGCTCCGCTTCAGCATCGACCCCGAAATCGGCCCCGAACTGGAGAGGGCCAAGAGACACCTGGACAGGTGGGGCAGGGAGGGGGGCACAGAGGGGTCGGGGGGAGCCGAGGGTGGGTTTTAAGGGAAGGGAGCCAAGAGTCGGGGGGAGGGTTGTTGGGGGTTTGAGGGTGTTTCTGGTGGATCTGGGGGGATCCTGGGGAGGTCACGGAGGCCGGGGATTCTCAGGGATCTTGGGGGTTCTCAGGGGGTTCTCTGCATTCCAGGGTGGGAGGAGCAGTGTCAGAGGTGGGGGCAGGGTGAGGGAGAGGAGCCAGGTGTGACACCCCCCCTTCCCTTGCTGCCTCTCCCCCAGCCTGGCGGCCGATGTGGACGTTCACACCTTCGCCCACGAGGGCTTCGGGGCAGGGGCGGGGCCAAGGCCGGAGGCGCTCGTGCAGGTGGCCCTGCAGGTGGCCTTTTACAGGTAAGGGGGGTGGGGGACACACCTGTGGGCAGGTGAGCTCACCTGGGGCCTTCCACAGGTACAGATGTGTGTGTATGACACACCTGTGCCCAGGTGAGCTCACCTGTGTTTGTGACCCACCTGTGCCCAGGTGAGCTCACCTGTGTGTGTGTGACACACCTGTGCCCAGGTGAGCTCACCTGTGCCCCCCCTGCCCCTCACAGGGCTCATGGCTACCTGTGTGCCACCTGCGAGCCCACGTCCCTGCGGGGGGTCCTACCTGGCTGCACCGACCTCCTGCGCCCACCTGGGCCCCCCTGCCTGGCCCTGGCCCGCGCCCTCGACGACCCCGACGTGCAGGTGGGCAGGGCCTCGGGGTAATGGGGGGGGCGGGGCTACCTGCCCAGGTGTGAGGGGGCGGTGCCTGCTGCCCAGGGTGTGGTTACCTGCCCGGGGCGTGGTTACCTGCCTGGGGCGGGGTTACCTGCCCAGGTAGGACAGGTGTGTTCCCCCCCAGCCCGAGCTGCAGATGGCGCTGCTGCGCGAGGCCGTCGAGGCCCAAAACAGCCGCACCCAGGAGGTGAGGGCGGGGCCGAGGTGGGGCTGGGTGGGCAGGGCCGAGGGGGTGGGGCTGTGGGGCTGGGACAGGGGTGGGAGGGGTCCAGGTGTGGTGCCCAGGTGTGTGTTGGGGGGGTAGGAGCAGGCTGAGCTGAGGGCATACCAAGATGGGCGTGTTGTGGGCGCAGCCCAGGTGTGGGGTGGCAGGACTGGGGAGGCGGCGCACATGGAGGTGGGTGTGGCCCAGGTGTGCCAGGCCCCGCCCTCTCCCCCTCCCGGCAGGTGCTGGCGGGGCGGGGCCCGGAGCGTCACCTGCAGGGGCTGCGCCAGGCGGCCCTGGCGGCCGGGGAGCCCCTCCCCGAAATCTTCCTGGACCCCGCCTACACCCAGGCCACCCACTTCCGCCTCTGCACCCTCCAGGTACCCCCCAGGACCCCCAAACTGTCCCCCTGGGACCCCCTGATTGGCCATTTGGGACCCCTAAAAATTCCTGTGCCACCCCCAGTTCCCCATCTGGGACCCCTCAAAACCCCTGGGACCCCTCAAAGCCCCTTGGGACCCCCCAGTTGCCTCCTGGGACCCCCAAAATTTGCCCTGTCACCCCCAGTTCCCCATCTGGGACCCCTCAAATTGCCCCCAGAACCCCCCTCAGTTCTTCCCCAGGGACCCTCCCCATTGGTGGGGGTGTTTGGAGGGGTCTCAGGTACCATTTTGGGGGGGGGGGTTGGGGCTGTTTGTGGGCAGGGGGACACGTTTTGGGGGAGCAGGTTTGGACTTCTGAGGGAGGGGGGAGGAGACAGGGATCAATTTGGGGGGAGGTCTGGCTCATTTTGGGGTACAACCCCCCCTTTTTGCCCCCCTCCCCAGGTGCGCTCCCGTGAGGGCTGCTGGCTGCTGCGGGGGCCGCTGGTGCCCGACGGGTACGGGGTGGGCGTGGGCCATGTGGCCCCCCCAGACCACCCCCCCAAGGACCCTCGGGACCCCCCGGGGGCTTTTGGGGGTCTGCGCGTGGCCGTCACCGCCTTCTCCTGCTGCCACGAGACCGAGGCCGCCCGCCTGGGGGCCGCCATCCGGGGGGTCTTCGACAGCCTCGGGGGGCTCCTGCGCCGCCACGGCCCCCCCTGAGCTTCCCCCGCCCCCCTGACCTTTGACCTTGCTCATGCCCCTTCTCCCAGGGGGGCTTCACCTTCCACCACAGCCCCCAACAACCCCCCCCCGACACCCCCTTCCCACCAGCACCACAGGACCAGCCCCTGGGGCCGATTTTTAGGCATAAAAACCTTTGTTTTGGGTCACTGGAAATGTCAATAAAATCCTTGGTGTCAGGGACTCCAGGCCAGGGGATCCAGGCTGGGATTTGGGGGTTGGTTCTGGTTCAGAATTCAGGGGATTCGGGCCAGGATTTTGGGGTCAGTGCGGATCCCGATCCGGGGGATCCAGGCCGGGATTTGGGGGTCCCGATCCAGGGGAATCCAGGCCATGTTTTTTGGGGGGATCTTGGTCCCGATCCGGGGGATCCAGGCCGGGATTTGGGGGTCCCGATCCAAGGGAATCCAGGCCGTGTTTTTCGGGGGTCCTGATCCTGATCCAGGGGAATCCAGGCCAGGATTTGGGGGTCCCGATCCGGGGAATCCAGGCCGTGTTTTTCGGGGGTCCCGGTCCCGGTTCGGCCCGGCCATGGCGGCCGAAAAACCCGGTGCGGAGCCCGGGGGTCGCGGGGGACGGGGATGGGGGTCCGGGTCACGCGTGTTCGTGGGGAGGGGGCATGCTGCTGGCTCGGGGGTCCGGGGTGGGGGGTCCGGGAGGGGTCTGGGGGCGACACTGCTGGCTCGGGGAATGGGGGGCGGGGGAGGCGGGGATGGGGTCTGCACAGCCCCGGGACCCCCATCATCCCCCTCCCCACACCATGTGGGGCTAAAAATAGCTCCGGGGGCGGGGGGGAAGGGTGACCCAGAAACAGGTCCATGACTGGGGGCGGATTCGGGGTTGCTCGGGTGGTGTAGGGGGGTGATGGACGAGGGGTCGTGGGGTTTTTGGGGTGGCCTGTGGGGTCGCCGGGTGGGCTCTCTGGGTTTTGGGTTCGGGGGAAAGGTCCTGACGCCCCTTCTTTTCCTCCCCCCAACCCCTTTTCCCAGGAGTGCCAGACGGGGCTCCCACTCGTCGCCCCCTACGGCCCGCCGGCCCCCGGGCCCCGTGGGGGGCTTCTCCGGGGCAGCCACCCTGCCCCGGGGTTCGGGGCGGGGGCGGCCACGCTGCCGCGGGGGGTGGGGCGTTCGTCGCGGGGGCGGGGGCGGCCACGCTGCCCCGGGGCTGTCGGGGTCTCCGGGGTCTCCACGGAGGGGCCGCCCCCTCCCGCACGCGGCCACGCTGCCCCGGCCCCCACTCCCACGCGGCCGCCCCCCCAGCCCTACGGGGGCCCCCAGCCCTACGCGCCCCCCTTCGCCCTCCAGCTCCAGCCCTGCACGGCCTACGTGCCCGTGTACCCCGTGGGGCCCGTGAGTGGGGGCGTGGGGGGAAAAGAGGAGGGGAAGGGCCTGGGAGGGGAGGGGAGGGGCTGAAAAAGGAGGGAGGAGCAAAAGGGGAGGGACTAAAAGTGGGGGCTGAAAGGAGGAGCCAAAACGGGAGGGAGGGGCTGAGGAGGGAGGGAGGGACTGTAAGGAGGGACTAAAAGGCAAGGCTAAAGGGGAGGGGTGGATTGTGAGGGAGGGGCCGAAGAGGGAGGAGGGGCCAATAGGGGCGGAGCACTGGAGGGGTGGGGTCACAATAGGAGTGGGGCAAAGCAGAGGGGCGGGGTGTGAGATTTGGGGCGTGGCTTGTGGGAGAGAGTGTGGTCTCAGGGTGGGTGGGGGCACATGCTCATGGGGGTGTGCCCTGTGCTGGCCACACTCCTCACCCCCTCTTTCCCCCAGACCTTTGGGGAGCCCCCGGCCCGGCCCGGCCCCTGCCCGGTGGCGCTGCCATTGGGGGAGGAGGGGCGGCCTGGGGGGCGGGGCGACACTGGGACCGCCCTGGGCGTGGCGGGGGCGGGGCTGGAGGCGCGGAGGGCCCCCCACGACTACCTGCCCATCGCCGTCCTCACCACCCTCTGCTGCTTCTGGCCCACCGGCGTGGTCGCCATCGTCAAGGCCGTGCAGGTGAGGGGGGCGGGGTGGATAAAAGGGGGGGGCGTGGCAGGTTGGTGACCCCCCTCCCAGGTGACGGTGAGCCCCCCATCCCCAGGTGCGCACGGCGGTGGCGCGGGGGGACATCGTGTCGGCCGAGATCGCCTCGCGGGAGGCGCGCAACTTCTCCTTCATCAGCCTGGCCGTCGGCATCGCCGCCATCGTGCTCTGCACCATCCTCACCGTCGTCATCATCATCGCCGCCCAGCACCACGACAACGACTGGGAGCCCTGAGACGGCGCCAAAAAGCTACCACCGCCACCTCCCCGAGGCGTTGCCGTGGCGACGCTCAGCATCCCCGAGGAGGAGGAGGAGGAGGAGGCGGCGTCGCCACGGAGACGCCGCGGCGGTTTTGGGGACCTGGAGAGCATCGGCGGCGTTGCTGTGGCAACGGTGCTGGCAGTGCCTCAACACCCACACACCCACCCCTTTTCCTGCCAGAAACGCACCGGCATCCCACAGCAGCCGTTGCCATGGCAACACCTAGCACACCACGGTAACCCATGGTGATCTCCAGACTCCCATAGCAACCGTTGTCATGGTAACTGTCTCATAGTAAGCAGGGCAGCGTTGCCATGGCAATGCCTGGTATCCCATAGCAACTGTTCCCATGGCAATGGTGGGCCTCCCATGGCAACTGTCACCATGGCAACGTTGGCCTGTGAGCACCACTGGTACCTGGGAGTGTCAGCATTGCCATGGCAACAGTGCCTGACCCCGCCCCTAGGATGGGCCAGGTCACACCCACCTCATTTGCATGCCAAACCCCACCCCTCTTGCACACACCCCCTGCTATGCCCTGCCCCCTGTGACGCGTTTCCCTCGCTGACGGGTCAATAAATCTCTATATTGATACGGGGGGAGGGGCAGCGTAATTTGCTAATGAGGGGGCAGAGCCATGGGCGTGGCCATCATTAGAGGGGGCAGGACCCACGGGTGTCCATGGCAATGACATCCCCACCGACCCCCTCGACGACTCACTGCTCATCAGGACTCTTTATTGATGGAGCGGAGCTTAACTCAAGGCCACACCCCCAAATTACCATCTCATTTGCAAGAACATCCCTTGACTCCCAATGACCCAACAATCACTAACGATGCCTAACAACTCCCTCCATCACCAAACCCCCCCAGCAGCGTCAGGCGAAGAGCCTGCCGAGCCGGCGCGCCAGGCGGGCGTCCCTCTCCCGCGCCGCGCCCCGCACCCTGCGCAGCTCCCGGCGGGCGCCGGCGTGGCCGGGCTGCGCCCTCAGCACGTGGGCCAGGTCGGCCATGGCGGCCTCCAGGTCGGCCATGGCGGCGGCGGCCACGGCGCGGCGGAAGCGGGCCTCGAGGTGCTGCGGCCGCAGCGCCAGGGCCTTGCCGGCGTTGGCGGCGGCGGCGGCGGGCAGGCCCAGGCGCAGCTGGCACAGCGCCAGCCCGGCGTGCAGCTCGGCCCTGGCGCCCGCCGCCTGCGCCCGCCGGCGGGCGGGACCCCGCCGCCACCGCCGCCCGCAGCGCCAGCGCGTGCGCCCGCGCCGCCGCCGGCCACGCCGCCCCGCCGCCAGCAGCGCCGCCGCCCGCGACGCCCAGGCCTCCGCCAGCGCTCGACGGCGCCCGGGGCTCTCCCAGAAACGGGCGCCGGCGTGAAGCCCCCAGCCGCACTCCCAGCGCAGCCCCCGGCCCCGCGCGCCGCAGCCGCGCCCGCTCGCCCCGCGCCATCGACTCCAGCGCCGCGTCCAGCGCCGCCGCCCAGGCGCCCTCGCCCGTGCCCACCCGCACGCGGTGCCAGCGCCCCACGTTGGACGCCACACATGGCGGGCCCCACCCCGGTGGGACCCCGGTGGGGTGGGGAGGGGGGGTCAGGAGGACGCGGCACAGCGAGCCGGGACCCGGGCGGGACAAGCCCCGGCCACGCCGCACGATCTGCTTGGAGATGGCGCCGTCGGGGCTGTGCCACCATTGCTGCCCTTCCTCGTCATCCTCCTCCTCTTCCTCGTCATCATCGTCCTCCTCGTCCTCCCCGTCCAGCTCCTCAGGCCCCTCCCCCCACGCCTCAAGCCCCTCCCCCTCCGGAGCACGAAGCCACGCCTCCTCCAGCGACCAATCCCACTGGTCTCTCGTCCTGGTGGGCGGGGCAGCGAGGGCCCCAAGCTCATTGGAGGGCTCTGCCTGTTGCAGCGGCACCCCATTGGCTGGATCCGGCAGGGCTGCGTGCTGATTGGAGGGAGGGTTGGAGGAGGGGGAGCAGGCGCTGGATGGATCGCTGGGTTCTTCCCTCCCATTGGTTGTCGATGAGAGGGCACTGTTCTCATTGGCTGCAGCTCCAGGGGCTGCCTCCTTATTGGCTGGGTCATGTGCTGCTGCAATCTCATTGGCTGAGGCTTCATGTTCTGCATCCGCATTGGCTGGCTGCTGCGGCCCTTTGCCCTCATTGGTCAGGTCATGTGGCTCTTCCTCCTCATTGGCTGGGCCGTGCTGACCTCCTCTGTCCTCATTGGCCAAATCCCTCAGGGTTGACTGCTCATTGGATGAGCCAGAGCTCCCCTTCTCCTCATTGGACGAGCTCTGCAGAGGCGCATTCCCGTTGGATGCTGCGCCAGCCATCCCGAGTTCCTCATTGGCCGCACCCAGGCTCCCTCCATCCCTATTGGAGGAATCTCCAGCTGCTCTCTGCTCATTGGCGGCTGCTTCTAGCGCATCTCCACCCTCATTGGCTGCTTGCTGAACCGCCGATTCACCATTGGCTGGCTCCACCCCATCCATCTCTTCTTCAGCCAATCACGATCCTGGGAAACAGGGGGCGTGGCCAGATGGGGGACGTGACCTGACGCAGAAGGGGCGTGGCCTGACCCGTGATCGTAGCGCGCCCCCTGCCGGCAACCCCCCGGAGCGGCCTCTCCCCGCCCGTTGCGTCATTTCCGGCCCCGACCCCGCCAGGCCCAGGGGCGCCGGGCCGGGGTTGCCATGGCGACACCTCCTGCCTCCCTCTTTCCTTCCCTCCCTCCCGTGAGGGGGCGGGGCGGCTCCTACCGTCTCCGGTGGTGCCGGTGGTCCCGGAGGAGCGGGGGAAGGGGCGGATCGGAGGGGGTCCCTGTCCCCTTTCCAGCTCCGCCGTCGGGAGGCTCCGGGCGGGAGCCCGGAAACGCGCGGCGCGCGTGCGCGGGGGGCGGGGCGGAGAGGGGGGCCGCGCCTCCATTGGCCAGCGCTGGGCGTGGCGCGGGCGCTGATTGGTTGCGTTGGATGGAAGGGGGCGGGGCCCGGCGCGCAGAGGGAAGATGGCGGCGGCGATGGCGCCGGAGCTGCTGGTGCAGCTCGAGCAGGGCCCGTTCGGGGCCGGGAACGCGCTGGGCAGCGAGGATTGGGGTGGGAACGGGGTGCTGGAGCTGATGGGGAGGGATTGGGGACCCCAAGAACTGCTGGGGAGCGAGGAGCGGGGGGGAAACGGGCCCCTATAACTGCTCGGGGTGGATTGCAATTGCCGGGGTGGGATTGATGATCCCGTAATTGCTGGGGGGGACTGGGGGGACTGGGAGGAGCGATATGAGGGGCCGCGGCCTGCACCATTTATGCACTGCGGGGGCGCGGCCTAGCCTCTTTGTGGGCGTGGCTCTGCCCTGACCCCGCCCCCTTTTCCCCAGACACCGCCCTCCTCGGTTGCCTTGACGACCGGCTTGGCCCCGCCCACCTCTTCCCTTCCCTGGACCCCGACCCCATGGTAAGCCCCCCTCCCAAGGGGAAGGGGTTGTCAAGCTCCGCCCCCTTTGGGGGTCCTGGAACCTCATCCCTGTCCCCCCTCCCCCAGTTCGACTGTGCCTTCGATGGGGGAGGCGGCTGCAGCCCCCCCGACCCCCCCTGGGACCTGGAGCCCCCCCAGCTGTTCCCCGGTGAGTGGGGGGCTGGGGGGAGTTTTTGGGGGTGCTGGGAGGGGCTTATGGTGGTTCTGGGGGGGTGTATGGAGAGCTGGAAGGGTTTGGGGGAGTCCTGAAAGGTTGGAAATGTCTGGGGGGTCCTGAGGGGTTCGTGGGGGTCCTGAGGGCGTTCTTTGATGAATATGGGGTTGTTTGGGATGATCTGGGGGGTTGGGGTGGGGTCACCCAGGTGCACCCCTAGCCCTCCCTGACCCCCAAACTCCTCCAGACCTGGAGGTGAAGTCAGAGCCGGGATCCCCAACTCCTCCTTCTGCTCCGACTCCTCGGGCCCCTCGTGCTCCTCCGAGACCCCCTTTTGGGTACGTGGCCCCCCCAAAAAACCCCCAAACCCATCCCCAACACCCCCAACCCCTCTCAGTTGTGCCCCCCACCTACAGGCCCCAGCTCCCCCATTCTGGGGGTGAAGGCGGAGCCAGAGCCCCCCACGCTGCCCTGCGCCCTCCAGGACCCCGGTGAGTCCCCCTGACCCCCTCCCCCCAAAATCCATCCCCAAGCCCCTCCCCTTGACCCTTTACACCCCAGTTCTTTTCCTCTAGCAAAGTTCCCGCTGGTCGTGAAGGCCGAAGGACCCCCAGAACTCGCGGACCCCCCAATCCAGCCCAAACCCCCGGGGGTCCCTGGAGCTGGGGAGAGAGGAGGAATGGAGGCACCCCAGCCCCCAGACCATCCTGCTGCAGCCCTGCCTCGGGCAGCCCCCGGCCGCCATTGCTGGTGGGTTTTGGGGTTGAGGGTGCGGGGTTTGGGGGACTTGAGGGGGGTCCTGCGAGGGGGGAGAATGGGGGTGACAGGAAGGAGGTGGGGGTGTCAGGAAGGGGAGAGGATTGGAGGGGTGGGGGATGGAGATTTCGGGGTCCCTGGGTGATCAAGGGGTGCTTTGGGGGTCAGGAGGACACAGGTGGTGTTTGGGGGTCCCTGTGACGAGCAGGGGGTGTTTTGGGGGTCAGGGATCACACGGGGATTTGGGGGTCGCTGTGTGAGTGGGAGTGTTCTGGGGTCTCCCTGTCTGACTGGGGGTTTTGGGGGGTCTTTGCCCAGTGCCAGCCCCCGCCGTGCTGCTGTCGCCGGCCGAGCTGCTGCTGCCGGGGTCCTGATGCCTGACTCCCCCAACCCAGGCCGGGGGCCCTCCTGCCCTGCCCCCACCCCCAAACCTGAGGCCAAGACCATCGTGCCGGCCCCGCCCTCAGCGCCCCCGGCACCCCAGGAGATCGATGTGAGTAACCCTGACCCCTCCTGGTGTGACCCCTGAAACCCCAGGGTGGCCCCCGGTTGCTCTCCTGGCCCCCACCCCTTTCACCCCCTGTACTTCTTCTGCCTTCCATTGCTCTCTTCTCCTCCCTGTGCCCCCCATGCTCCCCTTTGCCCCCCCAAAACTCCCTGTGCTCCCTGTTCCCCCCTATAGTGTCTATACCCCCAGTCTTCCCCTATAGTCCTTATGTTCCATTTGGTTCCGCTGTACTCTCTTAGTCTTCATTCTCGCTTTTCTCACTTGTACCCCCCATTTTGCCCCATTCCCCCCCAATTTCCCTCCCATTCCCCTCCCGCCCAGGCCCGTGCCCTGCGGCGGCAGCAGCGGATGATCAAGAACCGGGAGTCGGCGTGCCCCCTGTTCCCCACTATTTACCCCATTATTTACCCCATTATTTCCCTTCATTCTCCATTCTTTACCCCATTATTTCCCCCATTTTTTACCCCATTTCTCTCCCCCAGGCCCGTGCCCTGCGGTGGCAGCAGCGGATGATCAAGAACCGGGAGTCGGCGTGCCCCCCATTTCCCATTATTTACCCCATTATTCCACATTATTTACCCCATTATTTACTCCATTATTTCCCCCATTATTTCCCCCATTTTTTACCGCATTTCTCTCCCCGAGGCCCGTGCCCTGCGGCGGCAGCAGCGGATGATCAAGAACCGGGAGTCGGCGTGCCCCCCATTCCCCATTATTTACTCCATTATTTACCCCATTATTTATTCTCATTCCCCATTACTTCCCCCATCATTTACCCTATTATTTACCCTATTTTTTACCCCATTTCTCTCCCCCCAGGCCCGTGCCCTGCGGCGGCAGCAGCGGATGATCAAGAACCGGGAGTCGGCGTGCCCCCCATTCCCCATTATTTATCCCACTATTTACCCCATTATTTACTCTCATTCCCCATTACTTCCCCCATTATTTCCCCCATTATTTCCCCCATTATTTCCCCCATTTTTTACCCCATTTCTCTCCCCCCCAGGCCCGTGCCCTGCGGCGGCAGCAGCGGATGATCAAGAACCGGGAGTCGGCGTGCCCCCCATTCCCCATTATTTACTCCATTATTTACCCCATTATTTATTCTCATTCCCCATTACTTCCCCCATCATTTACCCTATTATTTACCCTATTTTTTACCCCATTTCTCCCCCCCAGGCCCGTGCCCTGCGGCGGCAGCAGCGGATGATCAAGAACCGGGAGTCGGCGTGCCCCCCATTCCCCATTACTTACCCCATTATTTCCCCCATCATTTACCCTATTATTTCCCCCATTATTTACCCCATTATTCCCCCCCCAGGCCCGTGCCCTGCGGCGGCAGCAGCGGATGATCAAGAACCGGGAGTCGGCGTGCCAGTCGCGGCGCCGGCGCAAGGAGTACGTGCAGGGGCTGGAGCGGCGCCTGCGCCAGGCCCTGGCCGACAACGAGGGGCTGCGGCGCGAGAACCGCGCCCTGCGCGGCCGCCTCGACGCCCTCCTGGCACGGGTGGGCACGGGGAGGGGGATTATTGGGACAGAGGAGGGCACTGGGGGGTCCTACTGGCACAGGGATGGGGTCTGGGGGGACACCCCGTGCTGGGTCAGGGTCCCTCACGCTGGTGGGGAGGTTTGTGCCCCCCCCACAGCCCGCAATGGTATAGCCTAGAACCCCCCCAATAGTACAGTCCTGGGGGTTGTTGCCATGGTAACTGGCTGGACCACTCCAGGCTTGTAAAGGGGGGGATCAGGATGTACCATTGTGAGGGGCGGGGGCAGAAGGCACTGGGATGTTCCATTAGAGGTGGGTTTAAGGGGTGGCAGCGCTACGGGACGGATCATTTTGGGGTTGAGGGAGGGTCACCAACCTCTGACCTCCCCCCCTGACCCCCCCCCAGAGCTCGGAGCTGCGCCCCAGCCCCTCCCCCCGCAAGCTGGCCTGCCTGGCCGCCCTCCTCCTCCTCGCCTTCCACCTCGGACCCCTCAGGTGGGTTTTTGGGGGGTTGGGGGGCTGCAGGGCCTTGGGAGGCCCCCTCACCTCCCTCCCCACAGCCTCTCTGAGCCACCCCCTCGCCGAGCCCCCAGCCCCCCCAGCCCTCCGAGGCCGCCGGCACCTCCTGGGAGTCACGGATGGAGGTGTGGGGGCGGTACCGAGACCTCCCCTCGCCCGGGACCACCGACCCTCCCCCGCAGCGCGGGACCCCCGGGACCGCACCGGAGCCGCAGCCCCCCGCAGGACCCCCTTCAGGTACAAACCCCCAAAAATACACTTGTGGCTCGTCCACACTCCCTCCTGGACCTCCCCAAACCATTGGGGGCTCTTCCAACCCCCAGCCCCCGTGACACCCCCTGGACCCCCAGGAACGCGTCCCTGGCGCTGCCCCCTGGGAGCTGGAGGGGCCCCCGCGCCTCCGACTGCCGCCGCTTCAGCCGCACCGAGTCCCTGCGGTGCGTGGGGTGATGGGGGGGTTGAGGGGTCCCTGAACCCCCGACCCCCTGACCCCCCCAAATGCAGGCTGGCGGATGAGCTGAGCGGGTGGGTGCGGCGGCACCAGATCGACCGAGGGAAGCCCGGGGTGCCCTGGCGGCCCCCAGGTGAGCTGGGAGGGGGTTTGGGTTTTGGGGGGGGATTGGGGTGTTTTGGGGGGTCTCTGAACCCGTCCTGGGGTAGTTTCAGGCCTCACCGTCCTCCCCCTGGAAGGCTCCGGGCTCGTCGCGCTTCGTGCCGGCCATGCCGCCCCACCCGCACAGGTGAGGGAGGGAGGCCCCGAGTGCGCCCCCAAAACCCCCCTCCTGAACCCCCAAACCCTTCTGCATTCCCCCCAAAACTGTGTCTGTACCCCCAAAACTCCCCTCCTGAACTCCCAAACCCTTCTGCATTCCCCAAACTGTGTCTGTACCCCCAAACATCCCTGAACCCCCAAACCTTTCTGCATTCCCCTCAAAACTGTGTACCCCCAAACCCCCTCCTGAGCCCCCAAACCCTTCTGCATTCCCCCCAAAAACTGTGTCTGTACCCCCAAAACATCCCTGAACCCCCAAAGCTCCCTGAACCCCCAAACCCCCTTCCATCCCCTCCAAATCCCCCTGCAACCCCAAACTCCCCTGAACCCCCAAACTTTTCTCCACCTACTCCAACTCCTCACATTCGTTCCTTTCTCCCTCCCCACCTTCATTAGACCCCAAAAATGCCCCATTTCAACCCCAACTCCCACTCCCCCTCCCCGAATCCACTGACCCTCCCCCTTTGTCTCCCACTTCCCCCCAGGACCCCCCCAGGGCAGCTCCAGCTTTTCCAGCCCCCCGAGCCCCGAATTCTCGCTGCCATCGACCGGCGAGACGACACGTTCTACGTGGTGTCCTTCCGGCGGGTACGGGGGGATTTTGGGGGGGACTTGGGGGTAGTTTTGGGGGCTCAAAGGGGTCCCCAACCCTCTGCCCCCCCTCCCCAGGACCACCTGCTGCTGCCGGCCATCAGCCACAACAAGACGTCGCGCCCCAAAATGTCGCTGGTGATGCCGGCGGCCGCTCTCAACGGTGAGGGGGGGGGAGAACCCCAAAAATTCCCTGACCCTCCCCACTTCCTAAAATCCCCAGGTGAGGGCTGGGGGGATCATAACCTGAGGTGTGTCTTTCCCCAGGGGATCCCACGGCTAAAGGGGGGGTTTGAGGTTGGAGTGGGGGGCAGTTTATCACCCCGAATCCACCCCGATTTTTTTTGGGTTGGGTGGGGGGTGGATTCCGGTGGTTGGTTGTGCTGGGGGGCATTTGAGGCATCCCCTGTCCCGCAGAGAGGGGGGCTGGGTTTCCCCCTTATCCTTGCAGGGGGTGGTCTTGGTGCCTGGGGTAGAGGGGCTGGGCCCCCCCTGACCCCCCCTGTGCCCCCCCAGAGAGCCTGTCGGGGCGGGGGGGCGGCCTGGAGGCCATGATGCAGGTGGACTGCGAGGTGATGGACACGCGGGTCATCCACGTGCGGCGCCGCCGGAGCCCCTCGGGACGGACCCCCCCCCTAAACCGGACCCCCCCTTTGGGCCGGACCCCCCCGGGCAACCGCAGCGCCCCCCGAGACCCCCATTTCGGGGGGGGGACGTAGCCACGCCCCCCATGGACAAGGAACCGCCCCCGCGCTGGAAGAAGCCACGCCCCCTCGGCTGCCCCTCGGTTCAAGCCACGCCCCTTTCGGAGGGCGGAGCTTGCATAAGCCCGCCTCCGTTTGAGACCACGCCCCCTTGTAAGCACTTATCACGCCCCCTCCCCGGAAGCCACGCCCCCTCTCCCGCATTTGGGGTCGGTTCCCCCCAGCTCGGAGCGGGGTCTTTTTTTTTTTTTTTTTTTTAAACCCAAATTAATAAAAAACGGGAAAAAGGGAAGGAAAGCTTTATAGCCTTGTGGGGGGAAGGGGTGGGGAGCCAGAGCCCACATCCCGCTCCGCTCGTTTGCGCTTCGAGAAACGCCCTGAATGCCCCGAAACGGGCATGGAGGAGGAGAAGGAGCTTTAACCTTACTGTGGGGGGTCCCAGGAGGTTGGCGGTCCCAAGGTGGGATGGGAGGGGTGCCAGGAGGTCCCAGGTGTCCCCAGGTGCACCCGGCACAGCTGACACGCGAAGGCGCCGCCGCCCCGGGCTTTGTCCCCTCAGGGCCTCCGTCCCTCTCCGCCGCCATATTTCGCCTTGCCCCCAGCACCGCCTCTCCTGCCCCTCTATTGGTGGCGACGCCCGCCAGTCATCCTCCCGCCGGCCTCTCGCCGCTCCTATTGGCGACGTCTTGCCAAGTCCCGCCTTACCGAGCGGGACCTCTAGGAGGACGCGACTCCTGCCGCTGATTGGCCGCACCTTTTGGACGGGCAGCCGCTCTGCCCAATCAGTGCGCGGCAATTCCCCCCGGTGGCGGCGTTGCCACGGCAACCACTCGGGACAGGGGGGCGGGGCCGCCTTGGAGGTGCCGAGGCCTCTGATTGGCCGCTCGGGCCGCCCGTCAGTGACGTCGCTTCCGGCGCCGCCGCCGCCGGGAAGGGCCCGCGACGCTCCCGGTACCGGGGGGTTTGGGGGCCCGGGGGGCTTTAGAGGGCTTTGGGGGTCCGAGGGGGCTTTGGGGTCTCTGGGCAGCCCCGGTAGTGCCGGAGGGGTCCCGAGGGATGCGCGGCCCCACCCCGGGCGAGGATGCGGCGGCGCCGCCGCCCACGGCCCCGCCCGGGAGGGCCCGAGGGGAGGGAGGGGCACGGGTGGGGCCCGGGTGGGGCCCAGGTGGGGCTGGAGGTGCCCGGAGGCGGGGATTTGGGGATTGAAAATGGGGATTTGGGGCCCTGAGGGAGGGAGGGAAACACGGGGATTCTGGGGGGGTCATGAAGGGGTTTGGGGGGTCCCAGAGGGGATTTGGGGGCTCCCATGGGGCCTTTGGGGGGATCCCTGAGCCCCCACCCCCCTTTGCTCCCAGGTCACGGAAGTGACTCTGGGGGTTCCCAGGGGTTATTTTGGCTTATTTGGGGGTTCCCTGATCCCCTGACCCCCGTTTTGCCCCCCAGGCCACGGAGCTGGCACTGGGGGTTATTTTGGGTGATTTTGGGTTATTTTGGGTTATTTGATGTTTGGGGGATTGTTTTGGGGGTTATTGGGGTGTTCCCCCCAGGCCATGGAGCCTGTCCCTGGGCACGGCGGCGCTGGCACTGGGGGTTATTTTGGATTATTTGGGGTGATTTTGGGGTTATTTTGGGTTGTTTCCTCCCCCCAGGCCATGGAGCTGTCCCTGGGCACGGCGGTGCTGGCGCTGGGGGTTATTTGATTGATTTGGGTATTTGGGTGATTAGTGTTTGCCCCGGCCATGGAGCTGTCCTGGCACGCGGTGCTGGCTGGGGTTATTTGATATTTGGGTGATTTTGGGTTATTTTGGGTTGTTTCCTCCCCAGGCCATGGAGCTGTCCTGGGCACGCGGCGCTGGCACTGGGGTTACTGATTATTGGGGTGATTTTGGGTTATCTTGGGGTTGTTCTCCCCAGGCCTGAGCTGTCTGGCTGGCGGCTGGCGCTGGGTTATTTGGGGTGATTTTTTGTTATTTTTGGGTTATTTGGGATGATTTTGGGATATTTTAACCCCCCCAGGCCATGGAGCTGTCCCTGGGCACGGCAGCGCTGGCGCTGGCGCTGCTGCTGCTGCCGCTGCTCTACGAGCGCTGCGGCTCCTTCCGCTTCTTCTGCAAGATGGGCTTCTACAACGGCTGGATCCTCCTGCTGGCCCTTGTGGCCATCCCCCTGTGCGCCCTCCGGGGCAGGGACGTCGAGAACATGAAGTAATTCGGGGAGTTCTGGGATTTTGGGGGTTACTCTGGGGTTTTAGGGTGTGGTTGTGGGGTTTTGGGGGGTGGTTGTGGGGTTTTGGGGGTGGTTGTGGGGTTTTGGGGGTTACTCTGGGGTTTTGGGGGGTGGTTGTGGGGTTTGGGGGTGGTTGTGGGTTTTGGGAGGGGGCACAGCCATCCCCCTGTGCGCCCTCCGGGGCAGGGACGTCGAGAACATGAAGTAATTCGGGGGTTTGCCAGGGGGGCTGTGGGGCTGGGGAGGGGGCACAGCCACCCCCCTGTGCGCCCTGAGGGGATGGGGAGGGGTGGTTGTGGGGTTTGGGGGCTGGTTGTGGGGTCTGGGAGCAGTTCTAGGGCTGGGGAGGGGGCACAGCCACCCCTGTGTGCGCTGTGGGGAGGGAGTGGTTGTAGGGTCGAGGATGGTTCCTCTAGGTCTCTATAGGTCCTTGTATATCCCTGTGGGTTTCTATAGGTTCCTTTAGATCTCTACAGGTCCCTATAGGTCTCTGTGGGTCCCTGTGGGTCCCGGTGGGTCCCTGTGGGTCCCTGTGGGTCCCCCTGGGTCAGAGCTTCCCCCGTTGTCCCGCAGGATCATCCGGGGGCTGATGCAGCACGTGAAGCACCTCTATGGGATCCGCATGGTGGTGAGGGGGGCGCAGCACTTCCCCCCCCGGCAGCCCTACGTGGTGGTCAGCAACCACCAGAGCTCCCTGGACCTGCTGGGTATGGCCCTACAGCCTGACCCCACACCGTGACCCCACAGCCTGACCCCACAGACTGACCCTATACACTGACCCCATAGATTAACCCTATAGACTGACCCACACACTGACCCTACACAGCCCTACGTGGGGGTCAGCAACCACCAGAGCTCCCTGGACCTGCTGGGTATGGCCCTACAGCCTGACCCTACAACCTGACCCCATAGACTGATCTTACACACTGCCCCCATAGATTAACCCTATAGGCTGACCCCACACCCTAACCCCACAGCCTGACCCCACACACTGACCCACACAGCTGCCCCAAGCCCACACCAGCCCCCACAGGCCCCTGCCCCATAAGCACCCCCCAGCCCCATAACCCCCTCCCAGCACCACAACCTTCCTATAACCCTCTCCCAGCCCCACACCCAGCCCCATAACCCCTCCCCAGCCCCATAACCCTCCCAGCCCCACACCCAGCCCCTTAACTGCCCCAAAACTGCCCCATAACCCCACAGCCAGCCCCATAACCCCTTTTCCCCCCCAGGGATGATGGAGGTGCTGCCGGACCGCTGCGTGCCCATAACCACCCCATAGCCCCATAACTGCCCCATAACCCTTCCCCAGCCCCATAACCACCCCCTAGCCCCACAGCCAGCCCCATAACCCCTGTCTTTGCCCCCAGGGATGATGGAGGTGCTGCCGGACCGCTGCGTGCCCATCGCCAAGCGGGAGCTGCTGTACATGGGGGCGGTGGGGGTGGCCTGCTGGCTGGGGGGCATCATCTTCATCGACCGCAAGCGCACCCACGACGCCATCAGCGTCATGGCCGAGGCCGCACACACCATGCTCAGCCAGGACGTGAGTGGGGCCAGCCTGGGGGGCTGGGGGGGCAGCCCTGGGGTGACTGTGGGGCTGCTGTGGGGGTCCCATGTGGGGCAGCCGTGGGGCAACACAGGGATCCTGTGTGGGGCCTGAGGGGCAGCTGGGGGGGGCCCTGTGTGGGGCTGTGGGGTATCTGTGGGGTATCCCTGGGGCTGTGGAGTGTCTCGGGGGTATCCATGGGGCAGCCCCACAGCTCTGTGCCCCCCAGGTGTGGGTGTGGGTGTTCCCTGAGGGCACACGCAACCACAGCGGGTCGATGCTGGGGGGTGTCTGTGGGGTATCTATGGGGCTGTGGGGTATCTGTGTAGTTCTGGGGTGTCTGTGGGGTATCTGTGGGGCTGTGGGGTGTCTGTGGGGTGTCTGTGGGGTGTCTGTGGGGCAGCCCCACACCTGTACACCCCCCCAGGTGCGGGTGTGGGTGTTCCCCGAGGGCACACGCAACCACAGCGGGTCGATGCTGCCCTTCAAGCGCGGCGCCTTCCACCTCGCCGTGCAGGCCCAGGTATGGGGTGGGTGGGGTTTGGGGGCCGGGGGCCCTGGGACACGCCCCTCCACGCCCTGACCTCCCCACGCCCCCGTGTCCCCCAGGTGCCCGTGGTGCCCATCGTGATCTCGTCCTACCAGCACTTCTACAGCAAACGGGAGCGCAGGTTCACGGCCGGTGAGGGGGCTGGGGGTCCCAGGGGGCTGGGGGCATCATGTGGGGCTAAAGGTGTGTCTGAGGGTCACCTTGGGGGTGGTCCTGCGTGGCCAAGGGTGGGGGGCACAAGTGGTGTCCATGGGTCTCTTTGGCCATGGCGGAGGGGTCCCAGGTGGGTTGCAGGTCACCCCATGGGCCTGACCCTCGCCCCCCTTCCCTTCACCCCCCCAGGCCGGTGTGTGATCGAGGTGCTGCCCCCCCTGCCCACGCAGGGCCTGGGGTGGGGGGCACAAGTGGTGCTTTGGGGTCACTCTGGGGGTCCTGGGTGGGCTGTGGGTCCCCCCCTGACCCCCGTGTCCCCCCCAGGCTGGTGTGTGATCGAGGTGCTGCCCACCTGGGGCCAGGGGTGGGGGGCACAAGTGATGCTCTGGGGTCACTTTGGGGGGTCTGTCTGTGACAGGGGGGGTCCTGGGTGGGCTGTGGGTCCCCCCCTGACCGCCGTGTCCCCCCCAGGCCGGTGTGTGATCGAGGTGCTGCCCCCCCTGCCCACGCAGGGCCTGGGGGCGGCCGACGTGCCCGCGCTGACCGAGCGCGTCCGCGCCGCCATGCTCCGCGCCTTCGACGCCCTGTCGGCCGAGCTGCGCCCCCGGACCCCCGCGGCCACGGGGGCCCACGGACCCCCAGGGTGACCCACGGCACCCCACGGACCCCCAGGGTGACCCACGGAGCCCCACGGACCCCCAGAGCGACCCACAGAACCCCATGGACCCCCAGAGCGACCCACGGCACCCCACGGACCCCCAGGGCGACCCACGGCACCCCATGGACCCCCAGGGTGACCCACGGAGCCCCACGGACCCCCAGGGCGACCCGCGGGGACCCTCGGAGACCCCCAGCAAGCCACGGTGCTCCACGGACCCCCAGGGTGACCCACGGGGACCTACAGACCCCCACGGAGACCCCCAGGGACCTTCAGACCCCCACGGGGATCCCCAGGGACCCTCGGAGCCCCACAGAGCCCCACAGTGACCCCCCACGGCCTTGTGGCCCCACAGGGACCGCCCCCATCGTGGCATGAGGGGCGTGGGGTGACCCCGAGGGGGGGCACGGACTGACCCCTGAGTGGGGAGCTGAGCCCTGAGTGGGGCACAGACCCACAAATGGGGCATGGACTGGCCCCTGAGTGGGGCACAGACCCACCAGTGGGGCACGGACTGACCCCTGAGTGGGGAGCTGAGCCCTAAGTGGGGCACAGACTCAGCCCTAAGTGGGGCACAGACCCCTAAGGGGGGCACAGACCCACCAGTGGGGCACAGACTGACCCCCGAGTGGGGCACAGAACTGTATGCGTGGCATGGACTGACCCACGGTGGGGCTGACCCACCAGTGGGGCACGGACTGACCCCTAAATGGGGCACAGACCCCTGAGAGGGGCACGGACTGGCCCCTGAGTGGGGCACAGACCCCTGAGTCGGGCACGGACTGGCCCCTGAGTGGGGCACAGACCCACAAGTGGGGCATGGACTGGCCCCTGAGTGGGGCACAGACCCACAAGTGGGGCATGGACTGGCCCCTGAGTGGGGCACAGACCCCTGAGTGGGGCACAGACCCACAAGTGGGGCATGGACTGGCCCCTGAGTGGGGCACAGACCCACAAGTGGGGCATGGACTGGCCCCTGAGTGGGGCACAGACCCACAAGTGGGGCACGGAGAGACCCCCAAGTCTGACGTGTTGGGACCTACAGGTGGGGCACGGAGCCACCCACGGCGGGACCCCCGAGTGGGGCGTGGATTGACCCCCAAGTAGGACACGGAGAGACCCCCGAGTGGGGCACGAGGGACCCACAGCGGGACCAGGGTGTGACCCACGGCGAGACCCCCACCCCGAGGTGTGGGGAGGGTCCCAAGGCCTGACCCACGATTTTGGGGGGGGCAGGGCGGGTGTTCATTGGCTGCCACAGCAAACCCCGCCCCTTTTCCGAGAGGCGGGGCCATGTATTTATTGAGGGGGGGTGGATTTTGCCAAATTTCCCTGCTGCCCCCACTCGGGGCTCCCCCTTCCCCCAGCTTTTAATAAACCCCCTTCCCCCCAAATCCCTCTTCGGCTCGTGGCTCATCGCGACGTCACGGCAAATTTAACAAAAATAACCAACTTTTTGGACTCAGATGTCCGAATTTGGATATTTTGGGGGGTATTTCTTCCCCAAACACTCCGATCCTGGGGATGTTTCTTCTCCTTGTGGACTCAGGGGCCCAGTTTGGGATGTTGGGGGGGTCAAGGCACTAAAGGTGTGTGGGGGGGTGGCAACCCTTGGATCCCCCCCACCCCCAGGCTTCATTTCAGCCCCATCCCAGGGATTCTGGGGCTTTTCTGGCACAGCTGGAGCTGTGGGGATGGAGGGAAGGTGTCCCAGGATGGATGATGGGGAGGTGTCGAGGGATAACCAGGGACCAGAGGCTTTTCTCCCCCTGGAATTCGTGTTTTAGGCCACGAACAAAACATCCCGAAGTTGAAAGCCCCTGTTGTGTGGGGGATACAAAGATGGATGGGAGGAGAAGCTGAGCCCCATTGAGGCTCAGGGATGAGGGAGAGGAAGAATAACAAAAGAACCAAGCAGAATTATTACTATTATTATCATTATTATTCCAATTTTTTTGTTTTTGTCATCGTTCCTCTCTTCTACAGCAAAGCCCCAGTGCCACCCCACAGCCCAGGGCACGGGGGGCAGGGAAGGGAGAGAGGGAAAGCAGCCCAGCAGAGCCCCCCCAACTCCTCCCCCACCTCAGGGTGCTCGGAGCCCCCTCAGCCCCCTCCCCACCCTGCCCCACCTACCCCACCGCTACAGCCGCGACCCTTCCCACACCTCCCCACACCAGCCCCCATCCCCCACGCCCCTCCCCAGGATTTGCCCCTTCCTCAGCAGGGCTGGCTGGGGTAGGGCCAGAGGGGCAGGAGGGCTCCGGGGGCCCCCCCGGCGTGGGTGCGCTGGTGCCGCTTGTGGTGGGAGCTGCGGCTGAAGCTCTTGCCGCACACGCCGCACGCGTAGGGCTTCTCCCCGGTGTGGATGCGCCGGTGCTGGGTCAGCGTGGACTTGTCGGTGAAGCTCTTGCCGCAGTCGGGGCAGCCGTAGGGCTTCTCGCCCGTGTGGATGCGCTGGTGGCGGATGAGGTTGGAGGAGACGTTGAAGCGCTTCCCGCAGTGGGCGCAGGCGTAGGGCTTCTCGCCCGTGTGGATCCGCAGGTGCTTCACCAGGTCCGAGCTCTGGCTGAAGCTCTGCCAGCACTCCCCGCACGTGTTGGGGATGCCCAGCGAGGGGGGCTTGGCCCCGCCGGGGCTCCCCCCGCCCCGCGGCCGCCGCCGCCGCTTGGCCGGCGGGCGGGGGGGGCCGGGGGCTTCCTTGGCCCCCCGGCTGAAGCTCTTCCCGCAGTCCACGCACTTGTAGGGCCGCTGGCCGGGGGTCCCGCCGGGGGGCGGCGGCGGGCGGGGGTCCCACCTCCTTCCCGCAGTCCCGGCAGCTCCGCGCGGGGGTCCCGGCGTGGGCGCGGCGGTGCCGCACGAGGTGGGCGCTGAGGCCGAAGCTCTTCCCGCAGTCGAGGCAGGAGAAGGGGCGGTGGTCGCCGCCGCCGCCGCCGCCGGCGGGAGGGGACGGGGGGGTGACGCGGGGGTCGCCGCCGTGGCTGCGCCGGTGCTCGGTGAGCGCCGCGCTCCGCGCGAAGCTCTTCCCGCACTCCACGCAGATGTTGGGGTGCTGCTCCCCCTCCCCCGACGGGCCCCGCTGCCGGACCACCGTCTCCTTGCGCTTGCGGACCCCCGCCCGCGGACCCCCAGCCCCCTCCCGCCACCGACTGCGGGGTCCCTCCGCCCGCCCCGCCTCGGCCTGGGCGGGAGTCGCCGACGACCCCGGCAGCGCTTGGGGAGACATGGCGAGGCTCGGCCCTCCTCCGCCGCCCTCCCCGTCCCGCGGGCGAGCGATGCGAAAGCCGCTTCTCCTCCTCCTCCCTCCCCGGCACGCCGAGCTCGGGGGCTGCGCCCCACCCAGCCCGCCCACCCGGGTCCCCGCTCCCACCGGAGGCTCTCGGAGCCGCGGCCGGACGGACAATGGAGGAGGCGGCGGCGGCGGCAGCGGCGCTGACCCAGGAAGTTCAACCCCGGGGGTCTGCTCGGAGGAAGGCGAAGGCGGCAGAGAGGGAGACCCCGGCCCCGCCTCGGACCCCGGCCCCCCCATTCCCGTTGCTCCCGGCAACGCCGCTCCCCATGGCATCTCCCCGTGCCGTGTCTCACTCAACCCACTCCAGACCCCCTTTTTGGGAGGTCCCTATTCCTGTCCTCATCAGCGCTGTGACTCCCCCCTCAACCCCTATTCCCCCAGACCTCAACACTGTGCGGGGGGCGGATCCTGCATGGCCATCCCCCTCTTCCCCCCCTCAGTCCACTCCCCCTCCATGTGCTGGTGTTTCACCTCCAGAAGATTTAAGTTTTTTGGGGAATAGGTGTGGGCGAGGGGACCCCCACTCTGAGTCGCAGATCCGTCCCCCCCCACCCCAGCCCGGCTTTTGGCGGGGTGGGAGAGCAGGAGAGCGGGGGTGCAAGACCCCACGGCCGGTGAACACCAACAACTCTTTTACTCCGCAGGGGAAGGGAGGGATGGGCTCGCTCCGGGCTCGCCGAGCACCAGGATCAGCCCGACGGATGCTTTGGGATAACCCGCCCCCCTCCCCCCTCCACTTTCCTTCTCTTCCTCCCCACCCCACCCTACCCCACAGCCCCACCGACGTGGCAAGAGCGGCTCCCCGGGCTCCGGAATCGGGAATTCCCATCAGGAATTCCAGGCTCGTGGAGTCCCTTTCCCGCTTTTGCGACAAAGGGCTTCCCACTGCTTTGGGGCTGAGGAATCCCCCCCCCCCAACAACCCCCCCGTGGGCACTGAAATGTCCCCTCAAGTCCAATCCCCCCCATGGCTCCTCTCCCACCAGCTCCGGAAGGGTCCCGGCTCTGGCTCTGAGAGGGTCCCAGCTCCAGAGGGGTCCTGGTTCTGGCTCTGGAGGGGTCCCAGTTCTGGCTCTGGAAGGGCCCTGGTTTCAGCTCCGGAGGGGTCACAGCTCTGGAGGGGTCCCAGTTCTCGAGGGTTCCCAGCTTCGGCTCTGGAGGTCCGGCTGGAGGGTCCCACCGGCTCTGGAGGTCCCGGCCGGAGGGTCCCGGCACACCCAGGCTCTGCCGCCCCCCTCTTTTGGCTCTACCCCAGGTGGAGCCGTTGGTGCCGGACGAGTGCGGAGCTGCCTCCGAATCCCTTCCCGCAGTCGCCGCACGTGTAGGGCTTCCCCCCGCGGGCAGCGGCGGGGCGGCCGCGCCGGTGGGGCGGGAGGGACGGGAGGGACGAGCCCTCGGGGCAGACCCCCCTCCCGCAGCGGGGCCGGGGCTCGCCCGAGTGGCTCCGCTGGTGCCGCAGCAGCGCCGAGCTCTCCGCGAAGCTCTTCCCGCAGCTGGGGCAGGGGAAGGGGGGCTTCTCCCCGCCACCACCGCCACCGCCACCGTGCCCCCGGCGGTGCTTCAGGAAGGCCGAGCTGTAGCTGAAGCTCCTCCCGCAGTCGGGGCAGGCGAAGGGCCGCTCGCCCCGGTGCGTCCTCAGGTGGGCGCTGAGGTTGGAGCTGCGGCCGAAGCTCCTGCCGCACTCCCCGCAGCTGAAGGGCCTCTCGCCGCCGTGGACGCGCTGGTGGACCGCCAGCTCCGAGCTCCAGCCGAAGCTCTTGCCGCACTTGCCGCAGGCGAAGGGCCGCTGGCCGCCGTGCAGCCGCTGGTGCTTGGCCAGCTCCGCGCCGTGCCCGAAGCCCCTCCCGCACTGCCCGCAGCGGTGCGGCCGCTCCCCGGAGTGCAGGCGCTGGTGGGCGTTGCGGTTGGAGCTGCGGGTGAAGCTCTTCCCGCAGTCCAGGCACTTGTAGGGCTTCTCCGCGCCGTGGCCGCGGCCGCGCCGCTGCCCCGGCAGCTCCGGGAGGCTCCGCTCGCACCGCCCGCAGCTCCTCGGGCCGCCCCCGCCGCGCCCGCGGCGCCCACGCCCCCGCCCAGCGGGCGTGAGCAGGCTGCTCCGGGGGGTCCCAGGGGTGCCAGGGGGGGGGCTGGCAGCATTCCCCCAGCGAGAGGGGAGGGGGCTGCGGGACGAGCTCCTCGGTGGTGATGCCGGTGCCGCCTCCTCGGGACAGGATCCGAGCGTCCAGCTCGGGCGGTTCTGGGGACTCCTCCGACTCTGCCTCCTCCTCGCTCCCTGTCCCGTCATCTGCCCGTGGAAGGGGTAACGGGGAATGGTGGGAAAGGGGGATCCAGGGATAAGGGGGGGTGGGCGGGGGGGTCCCAGCTCACCTGCGGGGGCCACCCTGAGGATCTCCCACTCCTTGGAGTCGTTGGGGTCCGGCACGCCGAGCTCCTCCTCCAGCTCCAGCCGGGACACCACGTTGGGTTTGGGGATGGGGAAATCTGCGCCAAAGGAACAAGAAGAAATAATAATAATAATACTAATAATAACAAAAAGGCGGAAATCAGGTTCTCCCGCTGTTCCATCGGGGATCAATTAAGATTTTAACACCCTGGCGCCCGGCGGTGTCAGACTTCACCCCTCTTATTTCCAGGGGGCGGGGGTTATTTTGGAGGCAGAATAACCTCGGAGGGGGGCAGAAAATCGTGGCCTTACCCAGCAGGATCAGGGACTCGTAGTTCTCCTGCATGATGCCGGCTCCGCCGCTCCCGAGCCCGGCGGCTCCTCCAGGAGACGGGAAAGGAGAGTCGCGACCACCCCCACTCCCTGGGGGGATCCCCCCGCGGCCCTTCCGAGGACCCCCCCGGTACCGGCGGTGCTCGGGGGGCCCGGGGCTCCCCCCCGGCCGCTCGGGGAAGCTCCGCCCGGGCGCCGGATGGAGCCGCCGCCGCTGACCCAGGAAGTTCAGCCTCCGCCGGCGGCAGCGCCTCCTCCTCGTCCCCCTCTGCATCCTCATCACCTGTGTCCTCCTCCTCCTCGTCCCCCTCTGCATCCCCATCCCCGTGTCCTCCTCCTCATCCCCCTCTGCATCCCCATCCCCGTGTCCTCCTCCTCTTCCTCTTCCTCCTCGTCCCCTTCTGCATCCCCGTCCCTGTGTCCTCCTCCTCCTTGTCCCCCTCTGCATCCCCATCCCCGTGTCCTCCTCCTCCTCCTCCTCCTCTGCATCCCCATCCCCGTGTCCTCCTCCTCATCCCCCTCTGCATCCCCATCCCCATGTCTCCTCCTCCTCTCCTGCATCCCCATCCCAGTGTCCCTCTCCTCATCCCCCTCTGCATCCCCCTCCCGTGTCCTCCTCCTGCTCCCCCCGTGCTGCGTCCACCCACTGCCCCCCCTGACGCAGCTGACCCCTTCTCCATCCCCATCCCTCCTCCTCCTCCTCCTCCTCCCCCCGTTGCCCCCCCCGACACCACTGCCGTGTTTGACCCAACGCTTGGCTGACCCCAAGGTCATGGCTGACCCCAACTCTTCATACACCCAACTCTTGGTTGACCCAAACAGCGGTTTTATTGGGATGGGGTGGTGCTGCTGTCCCCAAGGGGGTGGTGGCCATGGCAGTGGCACATCTACCAAGGTGGTGGCACATCCCCCAAGGTTGGTGACGTGTCCCCATGACCACAATGTCCCCAAGGGGGTGGCCATGGCCTCGTCCCTGAGGTGGCCACCACCGTGTCCTCAGTGTCATGGTCTGCCTGTGAACCCCGTGATGTCCCCGTGGTGTCCCCATGGTGTCCCTCTGGTGTCTCTGCGTCCCCCCCCATGTCCTTGTGGTGTCCCACGGACTCTCCGTGGTGTTCCCATGGTGTCCCCCTGTCCCAGTGCTGTCCCCATGCCCCGGTGGTGTCCCCATGCCCCGGTGGTGTCCCCATGGTGTCCCCATGTCCCCCTCAGCGCCTCAGGGCCACGTACTCCATGGTGTCCCTGATGTCCCCATGGTGTCCCCACAGTGTCCCCCTGTCCCAGGGTGTCCCCGTGGTGTCCCAGTGGTGTCCCCATGGTGTCCCCCTGTCCCAGTGGTGTCCCCATGGTGTCCCCATGGTGTCCCCATGTCCCCATGGTGTCCCCAATGTCCCCATGGTGTCCCCAATGTCCCCAGTGTCCCCATGGTGTCCCCATGGTGTCCCCCTGTCCCAGTGGTGTCCCCATGTCCCCATGGTGTCCCCATGTCCCCCTCAGCGCCTCAGGGCCACGTACTCCACGGTGTCCCCGATGTCCCCAGGGGGGTCCCCGCGTGGTGGCCCCGGGCAGGGCAGGGCCAGGGCAGCATAGACCAGTGTCCCCTCCAGTGTCCCCTCCAGTGTCCCCTCCAGTGTCGCCTCCAGTGTCCCTTCCCCGTCCCTGTCCCTGGAGGGGCCTGGGGGGACGTTCTCATAGTCGGGACCCTCGGGGGCCTGTGGGGACATTGGGGGAGGGGGGTCAAGGGGGACACAGGGGGTGTCTATGAGGACTTTGGGGACATTGAGAGGACACCAGTGGGGGCTCTGGGGATACGGGGGGACACTGGGGGGACGTTGGGAGACACTGGGAACATTGGGGGCAATGGGGGGACATTGGGGGGACTTTGTGGACAGTGGGGGGACATCAAGGGGGACATTGGGAGGACCAGTGGAGACTTTGGGGACACAAGGAGGTTGAGAGGATGCGGTGACGCCCCTGGGGACACCCTTGGGGACACCTGGGGGGGGGTTACCTGGGCGGTGCCGTCGCTCCTCCTGAGGACCGTGTAGACCACCGTGTCCCCTCCCAGCCTGAGGGGGGGGACGACACACATGGTGACAACGGGAGGGGTCGGGGACCCCCCCCGGGGTGACAAAGGAGGGGTCAGGGAGCAGGGGTGGGGAGGGGTTACCTGGTTGACACCTGCCGGGTATCCCCGAGGACGTCACCAGTGTCACCGTGAGCTCGGGGGGCTGTGGGGACACAACGAGGGGGGGACACCCCCTCCCCAAAATAGCACCGGGAGGGTCTCTCTGGGGGGATGGGGAGAAAGGGGCGGGGACGTGGGGAGGCGGGACCTTCTTGTTGCGGAGGAAGAAGGTTCTGGAAGGGGCCACCACCGGCTCCTCGTCGGCCGCCACCGCCCGCTGCCGCCTGAGGGGACAACGGGGACACCTGGGACACCCCCAGACACACCTGGGACCCCCCAGATACAGCTGGGACCACCCAGATGCACCTGAGACCTCTCAGACACATCTGAGACACAAGGGGGGGTAGGGGGGACACAAAGGGGGTCCCGGGGGTGGTCCCCGTCTCACCTGCGCCGCAGGTGATGCCCCAGGGCCCCCAGGGCCAGGATCAGGCCCAGGCTCAGCGAGAGGCCCAGGAGGGTCCTTCGAGCGATGGTGGAGGGAGAGGCTGGGGGGCACCCGAGGGGGTCAGTGGGGTGGGCAGGATACGCAAGGGGGGTCAGTGGGGTAGGGGAGCACCCAAGGGGGGTCAATGCGGGGGTGGAGCACCCAGAGTGGGGTCAAGGGGGGTGTGTGGGGCTCCCAAGGGGGGTCTGTGGGGGGATCTATGAAGGGATCTATGGGGCACCCAAGAGGGGATCTATGGGACACTCAGGGGGGGATCTGTGGGGCACCCAAGAGGGGATCTATGGGGCACCCAAGGGGGGATCTGTGGGGGGATCTACGGGGTGCCCAAGAGGGGATCTATGGGACACCCGGGGGGGGTCTATGGGACACCCAAGGGGGGATCTGTGGGGTGATCTCTGGGGCACCCAAGAGGGGATCTATGGGACACCCAGGGGGGGATCTGTGGGAGGATCTACGGGGCACCCAAGAGGATCTATGGGACACCCAGGGGATCTATAGGACACCCAGGGGGATCTGTGGGAGGATCTACGGGGCACCCAAGAGGGGATCTATGGGGTACCAGGGGGGGATCTATGGGACACCCAAGGGGGGGGATCTGTGGGAGGATCTACGGGGCACCCAAGAAGGGGATCTATGGGGTACCAGGGGGGTCCCATGTGTCACCAGGGGGATCTATGGGGCACCCATGAGAGTATCTATGGGGGGGGGTCTGTGGGGCACCCCAGGGCTCTACGGGGCACCCCGGGGTGGGACGGGTGTTGCAGGGCCCCTCTCACGGTGCACGGTGACGGCGACCTCGTCGGACTCGGCGCTGCCCAGGGCGTTGGTGGCTCTGCAGCGGTACTGGCCCCCCTCGGGGGTCCCGACCCCCCGCAGCACCCACAGCCCCTCGGGGGTCCCGCCCAGGCTCTGCCCGTCCCGCAGCCACTCGAAGATGTGGGGGGGGGGTCTGGAGGAGACCACCCGGCACCGCAGCGTCACCTCCGTGCCCTCCGTCACCCCCCACGCCGGGGACACCTCCAGGGACACCCCCTGAGGGGGGACTGGGGGGAAGGGAGGGGGTTCAGTTTGGGGAGGGGTTCAGGCACCTAGGACCCAGTTTTGGGGGGCTCCCAGGTGCCCCAGGTCTTGATTATGGGGACATTTGGGGACTCCCGGGGTCCTGTATTTGGGGGTCCCATATATCTGGGCTAGGGCACTTGGGGGGTCCCTGTGACCTGTTTTGGGGGTCTCAAGTCCTGATTATGGGGAGATCTGGGGACTTCAAGGATCCCTTTTTTTTTGGGGGGGTGCCCATTTTTGGGTGTCCTACTTTTTTGGGGCCCCACTTTTTTTTGGGGGGGGGTTTCATTTTTGGGGTTCCCATTTTTAGGGGGGTCCCATTTTTTGGAGGGTCCCAGCCGCCAAGGGGGTGTTTTTGGGGGACGGGGGACATTTGGGGACACTCACAGTGGACGTCGAGGTCGAGGGGGCTGCGCGACCCCCTCGTTCCAGGCCTCGCACGCGTAACGGGCGGCGTCGGTGGGGAGGGGCCGGGCAGGACCAGCTCGGGGAGGGGTCGGGAGGGCCCCCGTCCTTGAACCACGTGATCGTCACACGGGGGCTGCGCGACCCCCACCCGGCACTGCAGCCTCACCGGGCCCCCCCCGGCCAGCACGGGGCCCCCCCCGGGGGTCTGCACGACCTGCACGGACTGGGGGAGTCTGGAGGGGGAGGGAGGGAGAAAGAGCGAAATTAGGGAGGGAACACAAAATTGGGGGATCTGGGGGTGCGGGAACCGATATTGGGGAGGAGTCAAAAAGGGGGAATGAGGGGGTTAAAAAGGAGGTTGGGCTGGGCCTTGAAATGGGGGGGGGCAAAAGCGATATTGGGAGGGGCTAAAAAGGGGGGAAGGCTCGTGACTGTCTTTTGGACGGGGCTCTGAATTTGGGCAGGGGCAGCTAAAATCGTAGGGTGTTGGAAGGGACAGAGCTGTCAGCTGAGGAGGGGGCCTGAAAATCAGGGGGTGTGGAAAAGAAGGGGGAAGTGAAAGGAAAGCTCCAAACGGGTGGAAATGAGTCTGGGGACCCCCACCCCGCCCTAAACCACCCCCAGACTCACACCAGACGACCACGGCGAGGGGGGGGGACCGCGTGGCCCCCGCGGCGTTGCTGCCCTCGCAGCCGTAGGTGCCCCCCGCCCCGGGGGTGGCCGGGAAGCTCAGCGTGTCCCCCACAGCTTGCTCGGGGGTCCTGACCCCCCTGGGCCCACCCCAGGCCTCTCCAGCCTCCCACCACCAGCGGATGGAGGCTGGGGAGGGCTGCGAGGGCCCCAGGTCACAGCGCAGGGTCACCCGAGCCCCCACCAGGGCGGGCAGGGGGCTCAGGGGGGTCACGGTGGCGCTGCGGGGGGGGTCTGGGGAATGGTAGGAGAAAGAGGGGCGGTGAGAGGGGCACAGCCACACCCCCAGCTCGTGGTGGGCAGGACCCCCCCCCAACATCACCTTGACCCCCTCCCATGGTCCCATGACCATCCTGACCCCCTCATGACCATCTTGACCCCCCAATGGACACCTTGACCCCACATGACCACCTTGACTCCCCCAACATCACCTTGACCCCCCCCCCCCATCACCTTGAACTCCTATGGCCACCTTGACCCCCCATGACCACCTTGATCACCCTGTGACCACCTTGACCCCCAACATCACCTTGACCCCTCCATGGCCACTTTGACCCCCCTATGACGAACTTGACTCGCCATGGCCACCTTGACCTCTCTGTGATCACCTTGACCCCCCCCATAACTCACAGAGCACGTCGATGTGGGCGGGGTCAGACAAGCCCTCCCCGAGCTCATTGGCTGCTCGGCAGCGGTAGGCACCAGCGTCGTCGGCTCTGATTGGCCACAGAGACAGGTGGGCGGAGCCCTGGGACACGCCCTGCCCCGCCCTGCTCCAGGTGTAGGGGGGGGGGGGGTTGGCCCGGGCCCGGCACCGCAGGGTCACCTCCTGCCCCTCCCGCAGGGGGGGCGTGGGGGTCACCTCCACCTCCACGTCCTGGGGGGCATCTGGGGGGGAAAGAGACCAGTTTGGACCAGTATGGACCAGTATGAACCAATATAGGTCAATACAAATCAGTATGAACCAACATGGATTAGCAAGGACCAGTATAAACCAGTACGGACCAGTTTGGGTCCAACACGTGCCACCTGAACAGCCCAGGGGGGCATCTGGGGACACAAGGGAGGGGCTAAGGGTGATTGACAGGCTTAGTGGGTGGGGCCAATGATGATTGACATGTTTAGTGGGTGGGACTACAGCTGTTTGGCACGTGGATGGGCGGAGCTAAATGTGATTGGCATGTTTAGTGGGCAGGGTCAAAGCTGATTGACAAATGTGATGGGTGGGGCTAATGGTGATTGACATGTCTGATGGGCAGGTCCACGGGTGACTGGCAGGTGTCATGGGTGGGTCCATAGGTGATTGACAGTTGTGATGGGTGGGGCCAGGGGTGATTGACAGTCTCTCTTCCCTCCCCCAATTCCCCCCAATAACTCACAGAGCACGTCGATGTGGGCGGGGTCAGACACGCCCTCCCCAAGCTCATTGGCTGCTCGGCAGCGGTAGGCACCGGCGTCCTCGGCTCTGATTGGCCACAGGGACAGGTGGGCGGAGCCCTGGGACACGCCCTGTCCTTCCCGGCTCCAGCTGTAGGTGGGGGGGGGGTTGGCCCGGGCCCGGCACCGCAGGGTCACCTCCTGCCCCTCCCGCAGGGGGGTCGTGGGGGTCACCTCCACCTCCACGGCCCGGGGGGCGTCTGGGGGGGAAAAGAGACCAGTTTGGACCAGTACGAACCAATATGAACCCCCTATAATCACCATGGACCCCCATAGCCCCCCAAAACACCCCAGGGACCCCCCAGAACTCCCCTCCATGGATCCCCATAACCCCCCAAGGATCCCCCATAACCTCCCAAGGATCCCCCATGGACTCCCATAACCCCTCAGGTACCCCTGTAACCCCCCACAACCGCCCCCCAGTGACCCCCCCTCCCCATCTCACAGCGGATCCGGAGCAGCCGCGAGGTGCTGGCGGAGTCTCCCTAGGCCCCCTGAGGGTGCAGTTGAGGGGGGTCCCGTCGTGCTGCCAGAGCAGCTCGGCCACCAGGAGGGTCCCCAGGGCAGGGTGGGGGGTGACGGAGGCCGGGGGTCCAGGAGGAGTCCAGGTGAGCCCCCGGAGAGGGCCAGGGTCCCTCCCAGGTGAGGGTCCGGGGTCTCCGGGGCACAGGGGGCACCCAGCACCCAAAGGTGCTCCGGCGCCTCGCGAGGAGGAGTGGGCTCCGGCCACAGGTGGGGGCTGGGGGGGTGTCTGTAGGGGAAGGTGGGGTGAGAGAGGGGGTTAGGGAGGGATAAAGGTGGGAGAAAGGGGGAATAAAGGTGGGAATAGAGGGGCAAGGGGAGGGTAAAGGGAGGGATAAGTGGGAGAAATGGAAGGGACGAGGGGGACAATGTGGGGGCCAAAGGGGGGACAAGGGAGGGGATAAAGGGAGGGGATAAGGGGGGACAACAGGGGGGACAACAGGGGGTGGAGAGGACAAGGGAGGGACAATGTGGGGGGCAAAGGGGGAAGACAAGAGAGGGGACAATGGGGGAGATAATGGAGGTAAAGGGGGGGACAAGGTAGGAAGGCAACGGGTTGACAAGGAGGGATAACAGGGAGGACAAATGGGGGACAAAGGAGGAGCACAAAGGGGGACATGGAGACAAAAGGGGGCACAAATGGGGGAAAAGAGAGGGGGCTTAAATAGGGGGCACAAAGGAGGTCAAAGGGGACATAAAGGGGGACAAATAGGGGACAAGAGGGGGCACACAAGGTGGGGGACATGAAGGGCTTCCAGGGGGTGCCCCCTCACCGGTGACGTTGAGGACCACCCGGTGCATCCACTTGATCCTGGGGGGGCCCCTCCGGCCCCCCGCCCCCTCCAGCCGCAGCCCGTAGGTGCCGCCGTCCCCCCGCCCCACGCGGGGCAGGGCCAGGCCACAACCGCCCTGCCTGGCCCCGGGGAGGGGTCTCACCTCCCCCACCACCCGCCCGGAGAAGGACCCCGAGGCCTCGTGGAAGAGGGGCCGGTGGATCCAGGTGAGGTTCCTCACCTGCACGTCGGGCCCCGCCCCGCACAGGTCGAAGCCGCATGGCACGAACGCGCAGGACCCCTCGGCCGCCCACACCTCGGGGGGGCCCCACACGGGCGGGGGGCAGCGCGGCACCGACCCTGCTGGGGGGGGGTAAAGGGCATGAGGGGTGTTTGGGGAGAAAGGGACATGGGGGGTTTGGGGGGAAGGGACATGGGGGGAAAAGGGGAAAAGGGACACGGGGGGTGTTTGGGGGTTGGAGATGAGGGGGTGAAGCTTTTTTGGGGGGTGGGGATGCTGCGGGGACACCTGGAACATCAGGAGGGGACAGAGGGGGGTTGGGAATGTCCCAGGATAGGGATCCGGCTGTTTTTAGGGGGGAATCTGGATGGTTTTGAGGGGGGATTTGGGTGTTTTGGGGGTCCTGGAGATGGTAGGTGGGAGGGGGTGAAGGTTTTTTTGGGGTGGGGATGCTGCAGGGACACCTCGATGCTCAGGAGGGGACAGAGGGGGGTTTGGGGATGTCCCAGGATGCCCTGGGAGAGGGATTCGGGTGTTTTTGGGGGGGATTTGGGTGATTTTGAGGGGATTTGGGTGTTTTTGGGGGATCCGGGTGGTTTTGGGGTCCTGGAGATGGGGGAAGAGGGGTGAAGTTTTTTTTGGGCTGGGGGAGAAGGGGTGGGGATGCTGCAGGGACAACTGGAAGATCAGAAGGGGGGGACAGAGGGGGTTTGGGGATGTCTCAGGAGAGGGATCTGGGTGGTTTTGGGGGGATTCGGGTGTTTTTGGCGAGGATTCAAGTGTTTTGGGGGGAATCCAGGTGTTTTTGGGAGGATCTGGGTGTTTTTGGGGGGATCTGGGTGTTTTTTGGGGGGGAATTCAGGTGTTTTTGCAGGGGATACGGATGTTTTGGGGGATCCGGTGGTCTTAGGGGGAATCCAGGTGTTTTGGGGTCCCAGAGTCAGGGGGGCCAGGTCTCCTGAGGTGACCTTCCAAGGCCAACAGGACCCTCAGGGTGCCCCCAGGACCCCCCCAAAGACCCCCCGGTGTTGGGAAGGTCCATCCTTACCTGGGACGAGGAGGAGGAGGAGGAGGAAGAGCCACATCTTGGCACGGGGTGTTTTTTGGGAGGGTCCCCAAGACCTGGGAGGGGGACAAAGGGAGGGGGAGTTGGGGGGGTCTCAGGGGTCCAGGTTTGGCCCCTCCCACCCCAGGACACGATGGGGAGGTGGGTGAGGATTTGACCCCTCCCCGTCAGGGCCACTGGAGCTTCACTTCCTTCCCTTTTTGGGGGCCTTGGGGGAGGGGAGGAGGGGGGTCACGGCGCCCCATGGATGTGTCTGTGCCCCACAGATCCTCCCAGAGCCCCACAGATCTTCCCACTGTCCCAAAAATCCCAGTACTCCCCAGATCCTCCCAACACCCCACAGATCCCATCACCCCACAGATCCACTGCCCCAAATCCCAGCACCCACAGATCCCAGCACCCCCAGACCCCACTGCCCCCAAATCCCAGCATCCCCCAATCCTGTCACCCCACAGATCCCATCACCCCACAGATCCCATCATCCAACAGACCCCACTGCCCCCCAGATCCCAGCACCCCACAGATCTTCCCAACACCCCACAGACCCCGCTGCCCCCAAATCCCAGCACCCACGGATCCTCCCAACACCCCACAGATCTTCCCAACACCCCACAGACCCCACTGCCCCCCAGATCCCAGCACCCCACAGATCCTCCCAGCACCCCACAGACCCCACTGCCCCCAAATCCCAGCACCCCCAAATCCCAGTACCCCCAAATCCCATCACCCCACAGACTCCACTGCCCCCAAAATCCCAGCACCCCTCAGATCCTCCCAGCACCCCACAGATCCCATCACCCCACAAACCCCACTGCCCCCAAATCCCCCACCCCACAGATCCTCCCACCCACCCCCAAGCTCCGATGTGTCCCACGTGCCCGGGTCACACCCCACCCCAAAAATCCCCTCCAACCCCATAAATACCCCCTCCATAAATTCCCCACCCCATAAATCCCCCAACCCCCTCACTGACCCCACAAATCCCCCACCCCATAAATCCCTCCCCACCCACAAATCCCCCATAAATCCCCCAAACTCATAAATCCCCCACTGACCCCTCAATCCCCACCCCTAAATCCCCCCATAAACGCCCCCACCCATAAATCTCCCCACCCCATAAATCCCCCACTGACCCACAAATCCCCCACCCCATAAATCCCACACCCCAAATCCTCCCACCCCATAAATCCCCAACCACTGACCCGACAGCGGAGCTACCGCTACCTAGTTCGGACCCCGTGTGGGGAGGTCCCGCCCTCCCTCCCCCTCCCGGGGTCCCCTGGGAGGAACAGGGCAGGTTTTGGGGTCACCCGAGCGAGACCGGGACTTTTTAGGGGAGGGGTCAGAAGAGGAATTGTGGGGTTAAAATCGGGGATTTTGGGGGTAAAAGAACGATTTTGGGGGGCTAAATAGGAGATTTCGTGGTGGGAGCAGGAAATTTTGAGGGGAATTTGGGTGGGAGGGAGGAATTGTGGGGTTAAAATGGGGGATTTGGGGCAAAAGTTGCGATTTTTGGAAGTAAAAATGGGGTCAGAGGGGTCAATTTTGGACCTAAATGGGAGATTTCGTGGGGGAAACGGGAAATTTTGGTATGGAGTTTGGGTGGGAGGGGGGAATTGCGGGGTTAAAATGGGGGGATTTGGGGCAAAAAGGGGCGAAAAATGTCAATTTAGGGGTAAAAGAGGAGTTTGATGAGGGGGTTTGGGGGTTTTTTTTGGTGTAAAACGAGGAATTTGGGGTCAGGACAGACCAATTTGGGTGTTTTTCAGAGCATTTCAGAGCCAAGTGAGTGACTTGGGGTTGAAATGGGGCATTTGGAGTGTAAAATGGGCAGTTTTTTGGAACAAAAGGGGCCAATTTTGAGTAAAGTGGGTGATTCTGAGGCGGTTTCGGAGTAAAAGGGGTCAACCTGGGGCAAAAAAGGGTGATAAAATAAATACAACAAAAATAAACAAAATAAAAAAAAATAAAAACAAAGAAAAAAACCCAAAACGGAATGAAAAAGTGGGAAAATATAAATAGAAAACACGATAAACACACAGAAAAAAATTAAGAAATAAAAATAAAATACCAAAAAATCGAGTGGGAAATATAGAAAATATAAATATAAAATAAGCACGACATTCATAAACAAACCAAAAAAGAAGAATTTTAAAAAAACTGAAATAAAAGGAAATAGAGGAAATAAAAGGAATTAAAAAAACCAGAATAAAACCCCAGAAAAAAACCCATACAAAATAATGATTTTAAAAAAAGAAAACACAACCCGCCCCCCCAAAAAAAACAGAAATAGCAAAATTAAAAACTAAAAGATCAAAAAAAGAAATCCAGTAAAATAAAAATTTTTTAAAAAAACAACAGCTCTCTCAGCTGGGGCAGCGACGTGGCCTCTACCTCACCCAGCCTTTCAAGGGAATAATGATTTTAAAATAAAAGCAATTAATTAATCCCAGAAGCTTTTGAGTCATCTCGGCTTATCCCAAAAAAAGGGGTTTGGGTGGAAGTAAAAAAAATAAAACGAAATATAAAATAATAATCGATCCATCCAGAATTAAATAAACACAAACACGACATAAACAGGCGGCAGGAATCTTCGCCCGTATCCAAATTTGGGGGGATCAGGGCGACAATTCCAGCTCAGGGCTCCAAAAAAGGCGAAAAAAAGCCCTTTCCATCCCCCCAAAGTCGCGGGCAGGGCCAGCACAAGCAGCCAATGGAAGCGAGCGCTGCTCAGACGTCATCAGTTGCCGGGCAGACCCCTCTCAAACTGAGCCCTCACCGCGCTCAGCCAATCAGAGAACGCCCTCCACACGATTTTGGGGGCCCGTCGGAGCTCCGCGACAGCCGGGTCGCCGTTTTTGGGTTCAGCAGAGCTGCGGGACCCCTGGGTGCCCATCTGTGGGTTCCCCTGAGCTCCCACCTGCCCCGCACCCCACGGACCCCCCAAAACCCCCAACCCCGGGGCTGCAGCGCCCAGAACCACCTCAGCCAATCAGAAAACACCGACGCGGACTGTAGCCAATCAGAGCGCGCCTCGCTGATGACTCTTCAGTTGCCGGGAAGACGCGACGCAAAACGTGCTCCCAACTTTGCGCTCAGCCAATCAGAGCGCACCCAAAACAGCCCAAAAACGGCCCCGTCCGGCTGTTTTTGGGGTGTCAGCACCTGCCCGGCGCTGGGGATGGAGCGTGTGTGGGGAGCTGGGGCCGTACTGGTGGTACTGGTGGCGCTGGGAGCCCCCCCGGCTGCGGGCGAGGAGCTCTCGGGTGAGCGGGGTGGGCGGGAAGGGGGAAAGAGGAGAGAAAAGAGGGGATGGGAGCCCCAAAAGTGTGTGCGAGGGGGTTGGAACCCCCGGAATTAGTGGGAGGGGGGTGGGACCCCCAAACTGAGCACCGGGGGATCTGGGGATTGGGGGCACGGTGGGAAAGGGGTGGGACAGGGAGGTGGGAGAGCAGGAAGAGGGGTGCCATGGGGGTCCCTCGGTGTCCCCCATCACTGGAGCCCTGCAGCGGTTCCCTGGGACTCTGGGGGTGGGGTCGGATCCGCACTGGGGGTCCCCAACCCCCCTGTCCATCCCAGGGGGGTGATGGGGAGGTTCCCCCAGCCAAGAGCAGGTGCTGTGGCGGCCGTGGGGCAGAGGGGGTGGGAAAGGGGGTCTGGGATGGCCCCCTGAGCTACCGACCTGCTGGGGGGGGCTGGGGGATGATGAGGGGGGAGGACGGGGCACCCCCTGACCCGTGTCCTGCACACACAGGGGTGTTCCAGGGTATAATAAAGTTCGAGTGTCACTTCATCAACGGCACCGAGCGGGTGAGGTTCGTGATGAGGAACATCTACAACCGGCAGCAGCAGTTTCACTTCGACAGCGATGTGGGGGTCTATGTGGGGGACACCCCGTTGGGGGAGAAGGTGGCCAGACACTGGAACAGCGACCAGGAAGCGCTGGAGTACATGCGGGCTGCAGTGGACACGTACTGCCGGCACAACTACCCGATCGTCACCCCGTTCAGTGTGAACCGCAGAGGTGAGCGCGGGGCAGAGCGGGTCCCCTCGGGAATTCCCCTGCCCTGGGAACGACCCTGGAGCCCCTCAAACCCTCCCTGGAAATCACCTCAGACCCCTCAACCCCCCCTGTGCCCATCCCCGCGGCCTTGGGCCCCACCCCAGTGCCCCCCAGTCCATCCCAGTCTCTTCCTATGCCCCCCGAATCCATCTCAGTCTCTCCCAGTACTCCTCATTCCATTCCAATCCATCCCAGTTTCTTCCATTGTCCCCAGTCCATCCCAGTCTCTCCCACTGCCCCCAATCCATTACGACACATCCCAGTTTCTTCCATTGGCCCCAGTCCATCTCAGTCTCTCCCAGTGCCCCTTATTCCATTCCGACCCATCCCAGTTTTTCCCAGTGCCCCCCAGTCCATCCCGCGTCTCCGCTCCGCTGGGTCCACCGCTCTCCCTGCCCTCAGCCAATCAGAGCGTGTCTCTCCCATGACTCATCAGTTGCCGGGCAGACCCGCAGCGCAGAGTTCGCTCTCCAGGACTCAGCCTCCCAGTCCCGCTCGGGCCCTTCCCAGTCCATCCCAGTGCGTTTCCAGTCCCTCCCAGTCCTTCAGAGACCCTCGGATTCCACTCCCAGACCCTCTCAATCCATTCCCAGTCCTTCTCAGTTCACTCCCACATCTCCCAACTCTCTCCCCAGTGACCCACCCAGCCCATCCCCTTCTACCCCAGTCCATTCCCACTCCCCCCCAGTGCCATCCCAGTCCCTCCCAGTGCCACCCAAATCCCTACCAATGTCCTACAAGCCCTGTGCCCTCGCTCCCAGTGCCCCCCAGCTCAGCCCAGTGTCTCCCCCGTCTCTCCCAGTGCCCCCCAGCGTGTCCATCTCACTGGTGCCCTCGAGCTCCCAGCCCGGCCCCGGCCGTCTGCTCTGCTCCGTGATGGATTTCTACCCTGCGCCGGTGCAGGTGAGGTGGTTCCAGGATGGGCAGGAACTGCCGGAGCACGTGGTGGCCACCGACGTGGTCCCCAACGGGGACTGGACCTACCAGGTGCTGGTGATGCTGGAAATCCCCCCCCGGCGCGGGGTCACCTACACCTGCCAGGTGGAGCACGTCAGCCTGGAGCACCCCCTCAGCCGGCACTGGGGTACAGCCCGGCCCCCCCAGCATGGGGGGACACTGGCAGGGGGGGCAGGGAAGCACTGGGGACACTGGGAGGCACTTTGGGGGGCAATGGAGAGGCGGAGGAGGAGGTTGGGGGGTCCTGGGAGGGCTGGGAGGGAGGCTGGGGGAGGTTGGAGTGCCTAAGAGGGGATTGGGGAAGTGCTGGGAGGGCTGGGAAGGGACTGGGAGGAGTTCAGGTGGGTCCCGGGGGTGATGGGAGGGGGCTTGGAGTGTTCTAAAGGGGATGGGAGGGGCTTTGTGGGATCCTGGAGGGGCTGGCAAGGGAATGGGAAGAGGTATCAGGGGGTGCTGGGTGGGCTGGGGGAGACCAGGACGGGGTTTTGGGGGGGTCCCGGGTGGTTTCTGGGAGGTTTTGTGGGTCCTGACCCCCCCGGCTCCCCCCAGAGATGCCACAGGACACCGTCCAAAGCAAGATCCTGGTGGGGGTCGGGGGCTTCGTGCTGGGTTTCGTCTTCCTGGCGGTGGGGCTCGGCTTCTACCTGCGGGAGAAGGTAAAGGGGGGTCCCCGGGGGTCGTGTCCCCCCTTCCCCAGACCGTGTGTGCCCCCCTTGCCCCCCCAGCCCACTGTCACCCCCTTTTCTCTCCCCACAGAGCTTCTGAGCCAGCAGTGGCCGCAGCCCCTCCCCATGGCCTCGGGACCAGCCGGGACCCCCCAATCCATCCCCATCCGGAGTTTGGGGGGGTCGTGTGTCCCCCCTGACCCTGCTTTTGCTCTCACACCAACCGCCTGCTGCTTCCAGTGCTCCCAGTAAAGCTTCCCAGTTCTCTGCAGTCCTGATTGTTGGGGGTTATTGGGGGGTGGGCTCCGAAAATCCGGGGAAGGGGGGAAATGGGCAACGTCAGCCCCCCAAAATCCCACGTATCCAGGGCACCACAAAGCCAAACTCCAGCAATCCGGGACCCCCCAAATCCCACCTTGGACCCCCAAGCCGCGGGCAGAGTCAGCCCCAGAAGCAGCAGCCAATGGGAGCGAGCGCTGCTCAGACGTCATCAGTTGCCGGGCAGACCCCTCTCAAACTGAGCCCTCACCGCGCTCAGCCAATCAGAGAACGCCCTCCACCCGATTTTGGGGACCCGTCGGAGCTCCGCGACAGCCGGATCGCCGTTTTTGGGTTCAGCAGAGCTGCGGGACCCCTGGGTGCCCATCTGTGCGTTCCCCTGAGCTCCCACCTGCCCCGCACCCCACGGACCCCCCAGAACCCCCCACCCCCGGGGCTGCAGCGCCCAGAACCACCTCAGCCAATCAGAAAACACCGACGCGGACTGTGGCCAATCACAGCGCGCCTCGATGATGACTCTTCAGTTGCCGGGAAGACGCGACGCTAAACGAGCCCCAACTTTGCGCTCGGCCAATCAGAGCGCACCCAAAACAGCCCCAAAACGGCTTCGTCCGGCTGGTTTTGGGGTGTCAGCACCTGCCCGGCGCTGGGGATGGAGCGTGTGTGGGGAGCTGGGTCCGTACTGGTGGTACTGGTGGTGCTGGGAGCCCCCCCGGCTGCGGGCGAGGAGCTCTCGGGTGAGCGAGGGGGGCGGGAAGGGGGAAAGAGGAGAGAAAAGAGGGGGTGGGAGCCCCAAAAGCGAGGGCGAGGGGGGTTGGAACCCCCGGAATTAGTGAGAGGGGGGTGGGAGCCCCAAACTGAGCTTGGGATGGTCTGGGGATTGGAGGGACGTTGGGAAAGGGGGGAAAAGGGAGGTGGGAGAGCAGGAAGAGGGGTGCCATGGGGGTCCCTCGGTGTCCCCCATCACTGGAGCCCTGCAGCGGTTCCCTGGGGCTCTGGGGGTGGGGTCGGATCCGCACTGAGGGGTCCCCAACCCCCCTGTCCATCCCAGGGGGGTGATTGGGGAGGTTCCCCCCCAGCCAAGAGCCGGTGCTGCCGTGGGGCAGAGGGGGGTGGGAAAGGGGGTCTGGGATGGCCCCCTGTGCTCCCAACCTGCTGTGGGGGGCTGGGGGATGATGGGGGGGACGGGGCAGCCCCTGACCCGTGTCCTGCACACACAGGGGTGTTCCAGGAGATGTTTAAATTCGAGTGTTACTTCATCAACGGCACCGAGCGGGTGAGGTTCGTGGAGAGGTACATCTACAATCGGCAGCAGTACGCCCACTTCGACAGCGATGTGGGGGTCTATGTGGGGGACACCCCGGACGGGGAGTTCCAGGCCAGGTACTGGAACAGCCTACAGGACTTGATGGAGCAAAGACGGGCTCAGGTGGACACGGTGTGCCGGCACAACTACCAGGTGTCCACCCCGTTCCTCGTGAACCGCAGAGGTGAGCACGGGGCAGAGCGGGTCCCCTCGGGAATTCCCCTGCCCTGGGAACGACCCTGGAGCCCCTCAAACCCTCCCTGGAAATCACCCCAGACCCCTCAAGCCTCCCTGTGCCCATCCCCGCGGCCTTGGGCCCCATCCCAGTGCCCCCCAGTCCATCCCAGTCTCTTCCTATACCCCCCGAGTCCATCTCAGCCCCTCCCATTGCCCCTTATTCCATTCCAATCCATCCCAGTTTCTCGCAGTGCCCCCCAGTCCATCCCAGTCTCTCCCAGTGCCCCCCCGCGTCTCCGCCCCGCTGGGGCCACCGCTCTCCCTGCCCTCAGCCAATCAGAGCGTGTCTCTCCCATGACTCATCAGTTGCCGGGCAGACCCGCAGCGCAGAGTTCGCTCTCCAGGACTCAGCCTCCCAGTCCCGCTCGGGCCCTTCCCAGTCCATCCCAGTGTGTTCCCAGTCCCTCCCAGTCCTTCAGAGACCCTCGGATTCCACTCCCAGACCCTCTCAATCCATTCCCAGTCCTTCTCAGTTCACTCCCACATCTCCCACCTCTCTCCCCAGTGACCTCCCCAGCCCATCCCCTTCTACCCCAGTCCATTCCCACTCCCCCCCAGTGCCATCCCAGTCCCTCCCAGTGCCACCCAAATCCCTACCAATGCCCTATAAGCCCTGTGCCCTCTCTCCCAGTGCCCCCCAGCTCAGCCCAGTGTCTCCCCCGTCTCTCCCAGTGCCCCCCAGCTCAGCCCAGTGTCTCCCCCGTCTCTCCCAGTGCCCCCCAGCGTGTCCATCTCGCTGGTGCCGTCGAGCTCCCAGCCCGGCCCCGGCCGCCTGCTCTGCTCCGTGATGGATTTCTACCCTGCGCCGGTGCAGGTGAGGTGGTTCCAGGATGGGCAGGAGCTGCCGGAGCACGTGGTGGCCACCGACGTGGTCCCCAACGGGGACTGGACCTACCAGGTGCTGGTGATGCTGGAAATCCCCCCCCGGCGCGGGGTCACCTACACCTGCCAGGTGGAGCACGTCAGCCTGGAGCACCCCCTCAGCCGGCACTGGGGTACGGCCTGGCCCCCAGCATGGGGGGCACTGGCAGGGGGTCTGGGGAGCACTGGGGACACTGGGAGGCACTTTGGGGGCAATGGAGAGGCGGAGGAGGAGGTTGGGGGTCCTGAGAGGGCTGGGAGGGAGGCTGGGGGGCTTGGGGTGACTGGGAGGGTGTTGGGGAAGTGCTGGGAGGGCTGGGAAGGGACTGGGAGGGGTTCAGGTGGGTCTTGGGGGTGATGGGAGGAGGCTTGGAGGGTCCTAAAGGGGATGGGAGGGGCTTTGTGGGATCCTGGAGGGGCTGGCAAGGGAATGGGAAGAGGTTTCAGGGGGTGCTGGGTGGGCTGAGGGAGACCAGGACGGGGTTTTCAGGGGGTCCCGGGTGGTCTCTGGGAGGTTTTGGGGGTCCTGACCCCCCCGTTTCCCCTCAGAGATGCCACAGGACACCGTCCAAAGCAAGATCCTGGTGGGGGTCGGGGGCTTCGTGCTGGGTTTCGTCTTCCTGGCGGTGGGGCTCGGCTTCTACCTGCGGGAGAAGGTAAAGGGGGTCCCTGGGGTCGTGTCCCCCTTCCCCAGAGCGTGTGTGCCCCCCAGCCCCCAGCCCGCTCTCACCCCCTTTTCTCTCCCCACAGAGCTTCTGAGCCAGCAGCGGCCGCAGCCCCTCCCCATGGCCTCGGGCCCAGCCGGGACCCCCCAATCCATTCCCATCCGGAGTTTGGGGGGGTCGTGTGTCCCCCCTGCCCTACTTTTGCTCTCACACCAACTGCCTGCTGCTCCCAGTGCTCCCAGTAAAGCTTCCCAGTTCTCTGCAGTTCTGCTTACTGGGGAGAGATGGGGGCGGGGTTTGGGCGATTGGGTGGGGAGTTTGGGGGGGCAGAGCCGGCCCAGGGATGGATTGGGAATGTGTCCCCCAAGTGTCACCCCGTTCTGGGGGGCTTTTGGGGGGAGGAACCTGCACCCTCCCAGTGCCGAGACTCCCCTAAATCTCGTAGAAGTGGTGCTGGGAGGGGAGTGGGACCCCCCCAAAAGTGGACGGGGGTGGGGAGCGACTGAAGAATGGCGGATGATGGGAAAGGGGTGGGAGTGGTCAGAAGGGTGAGGGAAAGGAGGATGTGCGACCTCACCCCCTCTTTTTGCCCCTTTCCCTCCGTCTCCCCCTTCCCGCAGCCGGGGGGGCTCCCAGCACCACCAGTACCACCAGTACGGCCCCAGCTCCCCGCACACGCCCCATCCCCAGCGCCGGGCAGGTGCTGACACCCCAAAACCAGCCGGACGAAGCCGTTTTGGGGCTGTTTTGGGTGCGCTCTGATTGGCCGAGCGCAAAGTTGGGGCTCGTTTAGCGTCGCGTCTTCCCGGCAACTGAAGAGTCATCATCGAGGCGCGCTGTGATTGGCCACAGTCCGCGTCGGTGTTTTCTGATTGGCTGAGGTGGTTCGGGGCGCTGCAGCCCCGGGGGTGGGGGGTTTTGGGGGGTCCGTGGGGTGTGGGGCAGGTGGGAGCTCAGGGGAACCCACAGATGGGCACCCAGGGGTCCCGCAGCTCTGCTGAACCCAAAAACGGCGACCCGGCTGTCGCGGAGCTCCGACGGGCCCCCAAAATCGTGTGGAGGGCGTTCTCTGATTGGCTGAGCGCGGTGAGGGCTCAGTTTGAGCCGGGTCTGCCCGGCAACTGATGACGTCTGAGCAGCGCTCGCTCCCATTGGCTGCTGCTTCTGGGGCTGACTCTGCCCGCGGCTTGGGGGTCCAAGGTGGGATTTGGGGGGTCCCGGATTGCTGGAGTTTGGCTTTGTGGTGCCCTGGATACGTGGGATTTTGGGGGGCTGACGTTGCCCAATTCCCCCCTTCCCCGGATTTTCGGAGCCCAAACCCCCAATAACCCCCAACAGTCAGGACTGCAGAGAACTGGGAAGCTTTACTGGGAGCACTGGGAGCAGCAGGCGGTTGGTGTGAGAGCAAAAGCAGGGTCAGGGGGGACACACGACCCCCCCAAACTCCGGATGGGAATGGATTGGGGGGTCCCGGCTGGTCCCGAGGCCACGGGGAGGGGCTGCGGCCACTGCTGGCTCAGAAGCTCTGTGGGGAGAGAAAAGGGGGTGAGAGCGGGGCTGGGGGGGCAAGGGGGGCACACACGGTCTGGGGAAGGGGGGACACGACCCCCGGGGACCCCCCTTTACCTTCTCCCGCAGGTAGAAGCCGAGCCCCACCGCCAGGAAGACGAAACCCAGCACGAAGCCCCCGACCCCCACCAGGATCTTGCTTTGGACGGTGTCCTGTGGCATCTCTGGGGGAAACGGGGGGTCAGGACCCCCAAAACCTCCCAGAAACCTCCCGGGACCCCCTGAAAACGCCGTCCTGGTCTCCCCCAGCCCAGCCAGGACCTGCTGAAACCTCCTCCCAATCCCTTGCCAGCCCCTCCAGGATCCCACAAAGCCCCTCCCATCCCCTTTAGGACCCTCCAAGCCCCCTCCCATCACCCCCGGGACCCACCTGAACCCCTCCCAGTCCATTGCCAGCCTCCCCCAGCACTTCCCCAACACCCTTCCAGTCACCCCAAGACCCCCCCAGAGTCCCTCCCATCCCACCCAGGCTCCTCCAAACTCCCTCCCAGTCACTCCCAACACTCCCCACAGCCCCTCCCAGCCCTCCCAGGACCCCCCAACCTCCTCCTCCGCCTCTCCATTGCCTCCAAAGTGCCTCCCAGTGTCCCCAGTGCTCCCCTGCCCCCCCTGCCAGTGTCCCCCCATGCTGGGGGGGCTGGGCCGTACCCCAGTGCCGGCTGAGGGGTGCTCCAGGCTGACGTGCTCCACCTGGCAGGTGTAGGTGACCCCGCGCCGGGGGATTTCCAGCATCACCAGCACCTGGTAGGTCCAGTCCCCGTTGGGGACCACGTCGGTGGCCACCACGTGCTCCGGCAGCTCCTGCCCATCCTGGAACCACCTCACCTGCACCGGCGCAGGGTAGAAATCCATCACGGAGCAGAGCAGGCGGCCGGGGCCGGGCTGGGAGCTCGACGGCACCAGCGAGATGGACACGCTGGGGGGCACTGGGAGAGACGGGGAGACACTGGGCTGAACTGGGGGACACTGGGAGAGACGGGGGAGACACTGGGCTGAACTGGGCGGGGCACTGGGAGAGAGGGCACAGGGCTGGTAGGACATTGGTAGGGATTTGGATGGCACTGGGAGGGACTGGGATGGCACTGGGGGGGACCGGGAATGGACTGGGGTAGAAGGGGATGGGCTGGGGAGGTCACTGGGGAGAGAGGTGGGAGATGTGGGAGTGAACTGAGAAGGACTGGGAATGGAGTGAGAGGGTCTGGGAGTGGAATCCGAGGGTCTCTGAAGGACTGGGAGGGACTGGGAACGCACTGGGATGGACTGGGAAGGGCCCGAGCGGGACTGGGAGGCTGAGTCCTGGAGAGCGAACTCTGCGCTGCGGGTCTGCCCAGCAACTGATGAGTCATCGGAGAGACGCGCTCTGATTGGCTGAGGGCAGGGAGAGCGGTGGCCCCAGCGGGGCGGAGACGCGGGGGGGCACTGGGAGAGGCTGGGATGGACTGGGGGGCACTGGGAAAAACTGGGATGGATCGCAATGGATTGGGGGCAGTGGGAGAGACTGGGATGGACTGGGGGGCACTGGGAAAAACTGGGATGGATCGCAACGGATTGGGGGCAGTGGGAGAGACTGGGATGGACTGGGGGGGGACTGGGGGCACTGGGATGGGGCACAAGGCCATGGGTGTGGGCACAGGGAGGGTTGAGGGGTCTGGGGTGATTCCCAGGGAGGGTTTGAGGGGCTCCAGGGTCGTTCCCGGGGCAGGGGAATTCCCGAGGGGACCCGCTCTGCCCCGCGCTCACCTCTGCGGTTCACAATGAACGGGGTGACGATCGGGTAGTTGTGCCGGCAGTAGATGTCCACCGCATCCCGTACGTACTCCAGCCTTTCCTGTAGGCTGTTCCAGTACCTGGCCTGGATCTCCCCATACGGGGTGTCCCCCACATAGACCCCCACATCGCTGTCGAAGTGGGCGTACTGCTGCCGGTTGTAGATGTGCCTGTGCACGAACCTCACCCGCTCGGTGCCGTTGATGAAGTGACACTCGTGCTTTCCTAGAAACTGGAACACCCCTGTGTGTGCAGGACACGGGTCAGGGGGTGCCTCGTGTTACCCCCCATCATCCCCAGCCCCCCACAGCAGGTCGGGAGCACAGGGGGTCACCCCGGACCCCCTTTTCCCACCCCCCTCTGCCCCACGGCAGCACCGGCTCTTGGCTGGGGGGAACCCCCCCCATCAGCCCCCTGGGATGGACAGGGGGGTTGGGGACCCCCCCCAGTGCGGATCCGACCCCACCCCCAGAGCCCCAGGGAACCACTGCAGGGCTCCAGTGGTGGGGGACACAGAGGGACCCCCATGGCTCCCCTCTTCCTGCTCTCCCACCCCCCTCTCCCACCCCTTTCCCACCGTCCCTCCCAATCCCCAGACCCTCCCTCGCTCAGTTTGGGGTTCCCACTCCCCTCCCACTAATTCCGGGGGTTCCAACCCCCCTCGCACTCACTTTTGGGGCTCCCACCCCCTCTTTTCTCTCCTCTTTTCCCCTTCCTGCCCCCCCCGCTCACCCGAGAGCTCCTCGCCCGCAGCCGGGGGGGCTCCCAGCACCACCAGTACCACCAGTACTGCCCCAGCTCCCCACACACGCTCCATCCCCAGCGCCGGGCAGGTGCTGACACCCCAAAACCAGCCGGACGAAGCCGTTTTGGGGCTGTTTTGGGTGCACTCTGATTGGTTGAGCGCGAAGTTGGGAGCACGTTTTGCGTCGCGTCTTCCCGGCAACTGAAGAGTCATCATCGAGGCGCGCTGTGATTGGCCACAGTCCGCGTCGGTGTTTTCTGATTGGCTGAGGTGTTTCGGGGCGCTGTAGCCTCCGGGGTGGGGGGTTTTGGGGGGTCCGTGGGGTGCGGGGCAGGTGGGAGCTCAGGGGAACCCACAGATGGGCACCCAGGGGTCCCGCAGCTCTGCTGAACCCAAAAACGGCGACCCGGCTGTCGCGGAGCTCCGACGGGTCCCCAAAATCGTGTGGAGGGCGTTCTCTGATTGGCTGAGCGCGGTGAGGGCTCAGTTTGAGAGGGGTCTGCCCGGCAACTGATGACGCACCGGCAGCACTCGCTCCCATTGGCTGGGGAGTTTTCGGGGTGCTGAGCCCCCCGCCCCAGCTCCCCCAGTTCGCCGCCGCTTTCCTGGGAGCCACATCGACTCTTCCCGGTGTCCCGGTGTCCCGAGAGGCCATGGATGGAGCTCGGAGTGTCCCCCTGATGCCTCTGCTGCTGCTGGGGCTGACCCTGCCCGCGGCTTGGGGGGTCCAAGGTGGGGTTTGGGGGGTCCCGGATTGCTGGGGTGGGGGTTTGGGGTGATCTGGGTAAGTGGGAATGCGTTGTTTGGGGGGTGGAGGGTGAGTAATCCTCGTTTTCCCGGGATTTTGGGTGTCCTGGAGTGACCAAACCCCCCTGTTCGTGTAGTTTTGGGGTTCTGGGAGTGCTTTAACTTCCTTTTTCTGGGATTTTTGGGGGCTGGGAGTGACGAAACCCCCTTTTCCGGGTTTTTGGGAAGCTGGCATTGCCCCAACCCCCCTGTCCCAGGGATTTTGGGGGTCTGGGTGTGTCCCAACCCCCCTGTCCATACCATTTAGGGGTTCTGGGACTACCTAAACTTCTCTTTTCTGGGAATTTTGGGGGCTGGGTGTGACCAAACCCCCCCTTTTCCGGGATTTTTTGGGGACTGGGAGTACCCAAACCCCCCTGTTCCAGGGATTTTGGGGGTCTGGGTGTGTCCCAACCCCCCTGTTCGTACAGTTTTGGGGTTCTGGGACTACCTAAACTTCCCTTTTTCAAGACTTTAGTGTCTGGGAGTGCCCAAACCCTCCTGTTCCCGGGATTTTTGGGTTCTGGATGTGCCCAAACCACCTTTTTTCCAGGATTTTTAGTGTCTGGCAGTGCCCAAACCCCTCTTTTCCCACAATTTCTGAGATCTGGGAGTGCCCCAACCCCCCTGTCCCCAGGATTTTCGGGGTCTGGGAGTACCCAAACCCCCCTTTTCCAATATTTTGGGGCTCTGGGCGTGCCCAAACCCCTCTTTTCCATGATTTTTTGATGGCGGAGCTGCCCAATCCCGGGATTTTCGGCTGCCCAACCACCTCTTTTCCCGGGAATTCTGGCTGAACTCCACCTGTTTCCCAGGATTTCGGGCTGAAAACCCCCCTTTTTCCAGGATTTCGAGCTGAATTTCCCCCCCTTTTTTCCCGGGATTTTGGGCTGGCATTCCTCCTCTTCCTGGGATTTCGGGCTGAAAATCCCCTCATTTTCCCAGGATTTTGGGCTGAATTCCTCCTCTTTTCCCAGGATTTCGGGCTTACACCCCTCTCCTTCATTTTCCCGGGAATTCGGGTTGAATCCCCCCCTTATTCCCAGGATTTCGGGCTGAACCTCCCCACCCTTTTCCCTGGATTTCGGGCTGAAACCCTCTCATTTCCCCAGGATTTCGGACTGAAACCCCCTCTATTCCCAGGATTTTGGGCTGACCCCCCCCCCTTTATTTTTCCCGGGATTTCACGCTGAAATCTCCCCTTTTCCCGGGATTTCGGGCTGAAAATCCCCTAATTTTCCCAGGATTTCGGGCTGAACACCTCCCTTTTCCTGGGATTTCAGACTGAATTCCTCTCCTTTCCCCAGGATTTCGGGCTGAATCCCCCCTTTCATTTTCCTGGGATTTCGGGCTGAAACCCCCACCCCTTTTCCCAGGATTTCGGGCTGAACCCCCTCCCTTTTCCCAGGATTTCGGGCTGAAATCCTCCTTTTTTCTGGGGACTTTTCTTGGGATTTCACTCTGACCCTCCTCCCCCTCACCCTTTTCCCGGGATTTCAGGCTTAACCCCCCCCTTTTTCCAGGATTTCAGGCTGAAACCTCCCCTTTTCCCGGGATTTCGGGATGAAAAGCCTCAATTTTTCCGCGATTTCGGGCTGAAATCCCGGGATTTCCATCTCAAACCCCGTCCCCTTCCCCCCGAACCGCCTCTCCCCAGTGTCCCACCAGATCATCCAGACGGAATACTACCAAAAATCCCTGGATTCCTCGGTGGAAGAGGGCGGCGAGTTCATGTTCGACTTCGACGGCGACGAGATTTTCCACGTGGAGCGGGAGCAGACGGTCTGGAGGCTCCCGGAATTCCAGGAATTCGCCAGTTTCGAGGCGCAGGGGGCGCTGCAGAATATCGCGATAGACAAGCAGAACCTGGAGAACTCCATGAAGGCTTCCAACAATTCCCGAATCCCCAGCGGTAACGGCGGGGAAGGGGGGGAAAAAAAAAGGGAAATTCGGGACCCCGCCCCCATATAGGATTTTTTAGGGAGGAGCCAGGTGGAATTCCCGGGATATTCCGGTTTTTGGGCTTCCCCCCATCCCCCCTTCCCGAGTCATTTTCAGGGGATCCAGAGAGAATTCCAAAGGGATCCAGGTGGAATTTCGGGATATTCCGGTTTTTAGGCTCCCCCCCCGAGTCCTTTCCAGGGAGAATTCCAGAGGGATCCAGGTGGAATTCCGGGGATATTCCAGTTTTTAGTCTCCCCCACCCGGGAGAATTCCAGGGGGTTCCAGCCCAATTCCAAGTCAGATCCCAGGCAGATGATCCCAATCCCGGCTCCTCCTCCCCCCAACACCCCTTTCCATCCCAAACTCCATCCTTATCCCATTCCCACCCCATTCCCACCCCATTCCCACCTTCTCCCACCCCTTTCCCAACCCATTCCCACCCCACCCCAACCCCTTTCTCCATCCCAAACTCTGTCCCACCCCATCCCAACCCCTTTCCCACTCATCCCATCCCCTTCCAACCCCTTCCCACCCCATCCCACCCCATCCCAACCCCTTTCCACTCATCCCATCCCCTTCCCACCCCATCCCACTCCTCCCAACCCCTTTCCCACCCCATCCCAATCCTCTTCTCCATCCCAAACCCCATTCCCACCCCAACCCCTTCCCCCCCATCCCCCCCCATCCCAACCCTTTCCATCATCCCATCCCCTTACCACCCCATCCCACCCCCTCCCACCCTTCCCCACCCATCCACCTGCCACTCCATCCCAACCCCATTCCCACCCCACACACCATCCCACCCCATCCCACCCCTCCCACTCCCTCCATCCCCTTCCAACCCTTCCCACTCATCCCACCCATCCCACCCCCTTTCCCACCCCATCCCATCCCCTCCCACCCCATCCCACCCCTTCCCACCCCATCCCACCCCTTTCCCACCCCATCCCAACCCCTTTCTCCACCCCAAACTCCATCCTACCCACTTCCCACCCCATCCCACCCCCTCCTCATCCCACCCCCATCCCACCCCCTCCCACCCCTTTCCCACCCCATCCCACCCCTTCCCACTTCATCCAACCCCTTCCCACCCCATCTCACCTCCATCCCACCCCATCCCATCCCGCTCCCACCCTTCCCAACCCCTTTTCATCCCATCCCAATCCTCTTCTCCATCCCAAACCCCATTCCCATCCCATCCCACACCTTCCCACCCCATCCCATCCTCCCACTCCCTCCATCCCTTCCAACCCCTTTCCACTCCATCCCACCCCATCCCACCCCTTCCCATCCCATCCCACCCCTCCCAACCCCTTTCCCACCCATCCCACCCCTCTCCTCATCCTCACCCCCATCCCCATTCCCATTCCCATTCCCTGTGTCCCAGTGCCCCCGGAGACCGCGGTGTTCCCCAAGCACGCGCTGCAGCTGGACGAGCCCAACGTGCTCATCTGCTACGTCAGCAAGTTCTGGCCCCCCGTGTCCTCCATCTCCTGGCTCCGGAACGGCCTCCCGGTGTCCGAGGGGGTGCTGGAGACGGTGTTTTATCCCGGGCCCGACAACACCTTCCGGAAATTCTCCTACCTGCCCTTCATCCCCCGCCGCGGGGACTACTACGACTGTCGAGTGAGGCACGAGGGGCTCGCCCAGCCCAGCAAGACTCACTGGGGTGAGGCTGGGATTGGGAATTCCCGCTGGGAATGGGGTGGGAATGGGGTGGGATGGGTTGGAGAAGGTGGGATGGGGTGGATGGGTGGGATGAGTGGGATGGGATCCCTACGACTGTCGAGTGAGGCACGAGGGGCTCGCCCAGCCCAGCAAGACTCACTGGGGTGAGGCAGGGATTGGGAATTCCTGCTGGGAATGGGGTGGGAATGGGATGGGAATGGGGTGGGGATGGGGATGGGATGGGCTGGAGAAGGTGGGATGGGGTGGGATGGGATCCCTACGACTGTCGAGTGAGGCACGAGGGGCTCGCCCAGCCCAGCAAGACACACTGGGGTGAGGGAGGGACAGGGAATTCCCACTGGGAATGGGGTAGGATGAGCTGGGGTGAATTGAGAATGGGGTGGGATGAGGTGGAAATGGGTGGGATGGGGTGGGATGGGGTGGATGAGCTGGGATGGGGTGGGAATGGGATCCCTACGACTGTCGAGTGAGGCACGAGGGGCTCGCCCAGCCCAGCAAGACACACTGGGGTGAGGCTGGGATTGGGAATTCCTGCTGGGAATGGAGTGGGATGAGCTGGGACGAGGTGGGATGGGATGGGGATGGGATTACTATGATTGTCGTGTGCGGCATGAGAGGCTTGGCCAGCCCAGCAAGACTCACTGGGGTAAGGCGGGGAGTGGGAATTCCCACTGGGAATGGAGTGGGAATGGCTGGGAATGGGATGAAGAAGGATTTGGGATTCAGGAAGTGCCAGGAATGTCCTGCGGAAGGATTTGGGATTCGGGAAGGTCGGGAATAGGATGAAGAAGGGGATGAGGAAGGGCTGGGCTGGATGAGGAAGGATTTGGGATTCGGGAGGGTCAGGATGGGTCAGGAATGTCCTGAGGAAGGATTTGGGATGGGAAGGATTCGGGAGGGTTGGGAACGCCCTGAGGAAGGATTTGGGATCCGGGAAGTTCTGGGAACACCTGGATTGAAGGTGAAATCCCCCCCCACCAATATTCCCAGAGCCCCAGGTGCCCCCTCCCGTGTCCGAGACCCTGGGGACGGTGATCTGCGCCCTGGGATTGGCCTTCGGCATCGTCGGCATCGCCTCCGGCACCGTCCTCTTCCTCCGCGCCCGCAGGATGAAGCGGGGCCGCCTCGCGGGGGGGATGCTCTAAAAGGGGGGTCCCCCAAAGAAACCCCCAAAATCTCTCTCCCACCCCCACCCCACCCTGCCCTTTTCTCTGCTTGGCATCCCCAGGGATCCGGAGGGATCCAATGGGAATTTCCTGCCCTCCTACTGCTTGTCCCCCCTCCCCGAAGTGACCCCAAAGAGCGACCCCAAAATGACCTAAAAGTGATCCCAAAGAGTGACTATGAAGTGACCCCGAAAGGACCCCCAAATAACCCCAAATTGTGACCCCGAGGGGACTCTGAAGGGAGACCCTGAAGGGACCCCAAAGTGACCCCAAAATGAATCCAAAGAGTGACCCCAAAATAACCGCAAAGGGACCCCGGTGTGACCCCAAATTGTGACCCCAAAGGGACCCCAAAGTGTGACCCCAAATTGTGACCCTAAAAGTGACCCCAATAAAGCGAGGAAGGGGGGAGGGGAAAGGGGTGATCCCGAATTCCTCCCCGCTTTTGGAATGTGACAGCACAGCCCCGGAGCCCACTCGTCGCTGATGGATTCTGGGGGGGGGACACACACACTGGGACTGGGGACCCCCCAGTGTCCCCAAACCCACCAAAACCTCCCCAATTCCCCCCCAAAAAGACCCCCTCCTCAACACGAGTCAGTTTTTTTGGGGGGTGGGATTTGTTTATTTCTTTTGGGGGCATTTGAGGACAATCTTGGGGGGTGATTTGGGACATTTGGGGACATTTTTGGGGACGGGGGGTGTTGGGGGGGTGAGGGACTGGATCCGTCACATGAAGAGACCCCCTGGAATGAGAGAGAGGGGGGGGACACCCCCCAGTGTCACTTTTAACCCCTCCCCAGTGTCACCAGTGGGCTCTGGGACCATCCCAGTGTCCCCAGTGACATCGGGGGGTCCCCACCTGTCACCTCCAGGGTGGCCCCGGTGACGTAGCTGCTGTCCCCCGACGCCAGGAAAGCCACCACGTCTGCCACGTCTGGGGACGTTGGGGACATTTTGGGGGAGTTTGGGGACATTTTGGGGGGATTTGGGGGCATTTTTGGGAGTTCAGGGGAATTAATGGGGACTTGGGATATTTGGGGGGACGTTGGGGGTCACTGGGGACACCGAGGGGGTGGCACCTCCTCTTGGTGTCCCCAGAAAGTGTCCCTGACTCACCCTCGGGGTCTCCCAGTCGTCCCAGTGGCACCAGCCCTGAGAACTGGGAAGGGAGGGGGGACACATGAATGTCACCTCTGGTGACACCTCCCCAGTGCCCCCAATGTCCCCAAGCCCCCAAAATGCCCCCAAACCTCCCCAAAATGTCCCCAAATCACCCCAAATATTCCCCAATGTCCCCAAAAATCACCCCAAAATGTCCCCAAACCTCCCCCCAATGTCCCTAACCCCCCCAAATGCCCCCAAAACGCTAGTCCCCCAAGGTGTTCCCCCGAGGTGCCACCCCCACCCCCTCTGTCACCTTGTCCAGCACTTTTGGGGGCACTTTGTCGGTCATGGGGGTGACGATGAATCCCGGCAGGACGCAATTGCAGCGCATCCCAAACCTTGCCAAGAGGGTTTTGGGGGGTCAGGGGAGTCCCCCCCGACCGGTGTCACCCTCCAGGGTGTCACCCACCCCCACATCCTGTTTTTGCCCCCAATTTTCCCCATTACCCCCCCAAAATCCCTTAATTTTCCTCCCAATCCCCAGTTTTTCCAAAATTCCCCCTAAATCCTCCAACTTCTCCCTAAATCCCCCAATTTTCCCAATCTCCCATTTTCCTCCCCAAATTCCAATTCCCCCCTAAATCGCTCTATTTCCTGAATTCTCTCTTCTCCTCTCCAGTTTTTCCCCATTTCCCAATGTTCACCCCCAAATTCCCCCAAAAATCCCTTAATTCCAAATTTTTCCCTAAATCCCCATTTTTCCACATTTCCCCACAAATTCCCCTCCCTTTTCTTCCCCCTTTCCCCTCAATTTTTCCCCAAATTCCCCTCTAAACCCCCCAATTTTCCCCCATTTCTCCCCAAGTTCTTCCCCTTCCCCCCAGTTTTCCCCCACATCCCCCCAAATTTTTCCTCATTCCTCCCCAAATGTCCCCAAAGTGTCCCCAAAGTGTCCCCAAAGTGTCCCCAACTGTCCCCAAAGTGTCCCCACCTGGCCACCTCCTTGGCCACGCTCCGGGTCAGCCCTCCACCCCCCTTGGAGGCCGCGCAGTTGGTTTGGCTCCAAATTCCCACCTGGGGGCGGGGAGGTGACATGACGGGGGAGGGACACCCTGGGTGTCCCCAAAATCCCCCCCGAATTGGTGGTTTGGGGGGTTTTATCCCCAATTTTGGGGACACTGAGGGTGACAAGTGACAGGGACGATGGGGAGGGGAGGGTCCCACCTTGGCCACCACGCTGCCCACGAGGACCAGGGACGCCCCCCCGGGGTCCCCCGAGGCCACCAAGGCCTTTGTCACCTCCTGTGTCACCAGGAACGTCCCCTGGGGGGATAGCGGGGACAGCAGGGGGTGGCACCACCCCCCAATGTCCCCAAACTGTCCCCAATGCCCCCAAACTGTCCCCAATGCCCCCAAACTGTCCCCAATGTCCCCCAACATCCCCAATGTCCCCCCAATGTCCCCAAACTGTCCCCAATGCCCCAAACTGTCCCCAATGTCCCCAAACTGTCCCCAATGTCCCCAATGTCCCCAATGTCCCCCCGATGTCCCCAAACTGTCCCCAATGCCCCCAAACTGTCCCCAAATGTGTCCCCAAAGTCCCCCAACATCCCCAATGTCCTCCCAATGTCCCCAACGTCCCCAATGTCCCATCTCCAATGTCTCCCCAATGTCCCAACTGTCCCGAATGTCCCCAAACTGTCCCCCAATGCCCCCAATGTCCCCAATGTCCCCCAATGTCCCTAATGTCCCCAGTGTCCCCAAATGTCCCCAATGTCCCCCAACTGTCCCCAATGTCCCCTAACGTCCCCAATGTCCCCCCAATGTCCCCAAATGTCCCTCCTAATGTCCCCTCAACTGTCCCCAATGTCCCCCAACGTCCCCAATGTCCCATCTCCAATGTCCCCCCAATGTCCCAACTGTCCCGAATGTCCCCAAACTGTCCCCCCAATGTCCCCCAACTGTCCCCAATGTCCCAACATCCCCAAATGTCCCCTAATGTCCCTCCAATGTCCCAACTGTCCCCAATGTCCCCAAATGTCCCCAATGTCCCCCAATGTCCCCAAACTGTCCCCAATGTCCCCTCAATGTCCCCAATGTCCCCCAATGTCCCCAACTGTCCCCAATGTCCCCCAATGTCCCCAATGTCCCCAAATGTCCCCAACGTCCCCAAATGTCCCAATGTCCCCAACGTCCCCAATGTCCCCAAACTGTCCCCAATGTCCCAAAATGTGTCCCCAATGTCCCCAAACATCCCCAAATGTCCCCCAACATCCCCAAACTGTCCCCAATGCCCCCAACTGTCCCCAATGTCCCCAATGTCCCCCAACGTCCCCAATGTCCCCCAATGTCCCCCAACGTCTCCAATGTCCCCAATGTCCCCAATGTCCCCAAATGTCCCCAATGTCCCAAAATGTGTCCCCAATGTCCCAAAATGTGTCCCCAATGTCCCCCCCAATGTCCCCAAACTGTCCCAAATGTCCCCAAACTGTCCCCCAACATCCCCAAACTGTCCCCAACATCCCCAAACTGTCCCGTGTCCCCAAATGTGTCCCCAAATGTGTCCCCAAATGTGTCCCCAACATCCCCAATGTCCCCCCAATGTCCCCAAACTGTCCCCAACGTCCCCAAACTGTCCCCTAATGTCCCCCAACTGTCCCCAATGTCCCCCAATGTCCCTAACTGTCCCCAATGTCCCCAATGTCCCCAACTGTCCCCAAATCATGTCCCCAACGTCCCCAATGTCCCCCCAATATCCCCAAACTGCCCCCAATGTCCCCAAACTGTCCCCAATGTCCCCAACTGTCCCCAATGTCCCTCAATGTCTCCAATGTCCCCCAATGTCCCCAAACTGTCCCCAATGTCCCCAAACTGTCCCCAACGTCCCCAAACTGTCCCCAACACCCCCAAACTGTCCCCAATGTCCCCAAACTGTCCCCAATGTCCCCCCCAATGTCCCCAAACTATCCCCAATGTCCCCAAACTGTCCCCCAATGTCCCCAATCCCCAATGTCCCCAAATTGTCCCCAATGTCCCCAAACTGTCCCCAACATCCCCAAACTGTCCCCAAAATCCCCAATGTCCCCAAACTGTCCCCAATGTCCCAAAATCTGTCCCCAATGTCCCCAAACATCCCCAATGTCCCCAAACTGTCCCCAATGTCCCCTCAACATCCCCAATGTCCCCTCAACGTCTCCAGTGTCCCCCCAATGTCCCCAAACTGTCCCCCCAATGTCCCCCAACATCCCCAATGTCCCCCCAGTGTCCCCAAACTGTCCCAACATCCCCAATGTCCCCAAACTGTCCCCGATGTCCCCCCAGTGTCCCCCAAGTGTCCCCAGATGTCCCCTCTGACCTCCAGGTTGACCCCCAGCACTTCCCGAAATTCCCGCTCTCCCATCTCCAGGAGGAGCCGGTCCCGGGTGATCCCAGCACAGGACACCAGGACACGGGGGGGGACCCCGAAGTGCTCCTGGGGGGGACATTTGGGTCGATTTTGGGTGGATTTGATTTTTTTTTTTCCCCCTTGCAATTTGGGGCCGTTTGCCTGCGTTTTTCTGGGAATTTGGTGGGAATGGGATGGAATTTTGGGGGATTTGTGGGGGTTTGTGAGTTTTGGAAGTGATCTGGGGGTGCATTTGTGGGGATTTGGGTCGATTTTGGGTGGATTTGGGGTGGTTTTCCTGTGATTCGGGGCTGTTTCTCCACGATTTTCTGGGAATTTGGTTTGAATCACAAGGAATTTTGGGGGATTTGTGGGGAATTTGTGAGTTTTGGGGTTGATTTGTGGTGAACCGAGGAGAATTTGGGTCCATTTTTGGGTGGATTTTGGTTTTTCCCTGTGCTTTGGGGGCGTTTAGCTGCGTTTTTCTGGGAATTTGGTGGGAATTCGATGGAATTTCGGGGAATTTGTGAATTCTGGGGGTGATTCTGGGTAGATTTGGGAATTCTGGCGGTGACACTGCGCACATCGGGGGTCACTCAGGGACATCGCGGGATACTTGGGGGGTGTGACACTATCGCGACATGTCGCGGTGGGGGGCGACATTACCTGCACCCCCCTCACCATCCCGGCCACGCTTTTGGGATCGGCCACATCCACCTGAAAGGCTCCGTGGTCGGGGGGGGAGTGGCGGGGGAGCTCCTTCGCCGTCGCCGCCGCCCCCGACATGTCGCGATCGGCCACGGCCACGCGCGCGCCCTCGCGGGCCAGGCGGCCGCTCACGGTGCGGCCGATGCCGCTGGCGCCCCCTGGCGGCCCGGAGGACCAATGATTAACCAGTGGCATTGAGGTGAACGGAGACCCCTCCCTGGCGCCCCCTGGCGGCCCGGAGGACCAATGATTCACCAGTGGCATTGAGGTGAACGGAGACCCCTCCCTGGCGCCCCCCGGCGGTTCGGAGGACCAATGATTAACCAGTGGCATTGAGGTGAACGGAGACCCCTCCCTGGCGCCCCCCGGCGGTTCGGAGGACTGATCACCGCCGGGGGCCATAGAGGTGACAGCGGGGACCAGTTTAACCGATGAACCCCCAGTGTCACCGGTGACCCCTCCAGAGTCACCTTTAACCCCTCCCACTGTCACCAGTGGGGTCTGGGACACCCCCACAGTGTCACCCGTGGATTCTGTGACCCTCCCACTATCACCAGTGTCACCTTTACCCCCCCCACACTGTCTCCCCCCACCCCAATTCCCCCTCCACTCCCCTCGTGGGGGTCTCCCCTGCCCTTCCGATCCGCAAAAACCCTCCAAACCCACCCCCTAAAAACCCACCCGTGACCAGCGCCACGACCCCCGCCAGCCGCCCCGCCGACCTCCCCAACATGGCGGCGCCGGAAGTGACCACCGAGACGGGCGGGGCGCACCGCGCCGCTCCGCCCGCACCAACTCTATGGTCAGTCCTCCAGCCGGAGGTTTTCCAGCTTTTTTTCCCCAACCCTTTTCCCTGATTTTTCGCCCTAAACAACCGAATCCCCTCGTGGCATCCCAAGTTCATGGATTTCACGCGCTTTTTTATTTTTTTTTAACGTTTTAATAAAACCTCCCCCAGATTTGAAGCCACGAGTGGGGTGAAAATGCTGTTTTCTGGGAGAGAGGTTTAGCTCACTTTAATGAGGTTTAATCCCAATTTAAGGGGGGTTTTTAGGCTGTAGAGGGGCCAGGAGGGTCGGGGGGGTGTCCCCACACATTTTGGAGTGCCCAGCACCCCCTCCAAAAAACCCAGGAAGGAACGAATTCAAAGCCCCCACCAGGCAAAAAACCCATGGTTTTAGGAGCGATTTCACCCAATTTAAGGGGGGTTTTTGGGGTGCAGGAGGGACGAGGAAGGCCAGGTGGGTCCCCCCGAAATTTGGGGGTGCAGGGGAGGTCAGGGCTTGCCCTGCAGCTCCTGCTGGAGCCTCCCCAGCACCTCCCTCTGCTGCTCCGAGCGCCGCTCCAGCTCCTGCATCTGCTGCTCATAGCGTTTCCTGGGGGGGAGAGGAGTGAGATTTTGGGGTGAAAACCAGCGGTTTCGGGGTCCCCAAACCCCGTGACACATCAGGAGGCACCCACATTTCTGCTGTGATGTATTCCAGGCGTTTCCCCACCGTGGCTTTGGCCTCTTCCAGGTCCTGTCTGACCAGGACGGGGCCCAGCAGTTTGAAGATGGTGTTGGACGAGTCCAGCAGGGTCAGCTCCTGCAGGATTTGGGGGTCACATTTGGGGGGACACAGAGAGATTTTGGGTGGATTTTGGGATGATTTGGAGGGGGGGCGTGAGGGGGTTTTGGGGAGGTTTCTGGAGCGTTTTCAGGGGGAATTTGAGGGTGTTTTTGGGGGGATTTTGAGGGAGATTTGGGGGTGCTTTGGGGGTGTTTTTGGGGAGGTTGGAGTGGTTTGGGGGTTTTTGGGGTGTTTATGGGGGTGTTTTTGAGGAGGATTTTGAGGTGTTTCTTGGGGGTTTTTGGAGTGGTTGTGGGGAATTTTGAGGGGATTTGGGGCTGTTTTCCAGGGGGTTTCAAGGGAATTTGGGGGTGTTTTGGGGGGGATTTTGAAGGGGATTTGGGGGTGTTTTCAGGGTGGCTTTTGGAGTTTTCAGGGGGGATTTTGGGAGTGTTTTTTGGGGGGGTTTTGGGGGATTTTGTAGGTGTTTTTGAGGGTGTTTTGGGGGTGTTTTTGGGGTCTGCTCACCTCCTGCACGATGTTGTTCTCTGTCAGCTGCGTCTCCAGTTTCTGTCGCGCCGACACTGCCCGGCTCAGATCTGGGGGGTCCAAAATGGGGGTCAAAAGGGGGATTTAGGGGGTCATGGTGGGGGTTGGGGGCATTTGGAGGAGATTTAGGGGTGTTTGGGGGATTTGAGGGGATTTGGGGGATTTGAGGAGGTTTGGGGGATTTGAGGGGATCTGGAGGGATTTGAGGAGGTTTGGGGGGATTTGAGGAGGTTTAGGGGTCCCAGGAAGGTTGGGGTTTTTAGGAGGGTTTGGCGGGGGTGGTGGGGTGTTTGGGGGAGGTTGGGGGTTTTGGGGTATTTTGGAGGAGGTTTGGGGAACCCAGAGGGGGGATGGAGGATCCCAGAGAGGTTGGGGTTTTTTAGGAGGCTTTGGAGGGTTTTGGGGGAGGGTTTGGGGGGTATTACCCTTCTGCAGTTGTTGGTATTTCTCCAGCTCCCCCTGGAGCTTCTTCTGCAGAGGTTCTGCCATGGGGGGGCTTTGGGGGAGCTTTTTTTGGGGGAAGGGGGAACCCTTTGAGACACCTCAAAGACCCCCCAAATCGTCCCCACAACCCACAGGGATCCCCAAAAACCCCAGACTCAACCCCTCAAATCCTCCCCAAACCCCCTCTGGGACACCGCCCCCCCCCTCAGGATCAGGGACCACCCTAAAATAGGAGAAACCTCCACAAAACAACAGAGATCCCCCCAAAACCCCTCTGTGACCCCCAAAATATCAGAGACCCCTAAAATAACAGAACCCCCCAAAATCAAAGACCCCCAAATACCTCCAGAGCCCCCAAATACCCCTCAAATGCCCCCTAACTTCCCTGGACTCTCAAAATCCCCAAATCCCCCCAATTTTACCCCCGCTCTCCGCACGCAGCTCCAACCGCCTCCCCCGCTCTGCGCATGCGCCAAACCACAAAACCACACCCCTTGGTCGAAACCACGCCCCCTCTGTCCTGAAACCACGCCCCCTTGAAAACCACGCCCCCTCGCGGCCTCCGCGCCCTCAGTCCCGTCCGCCCCCACCCCTCCTCCGGGGGGGCTTTTGGGGGTCTTTAGGGGGTTTGGGGAACCCCCGGAGGTGAGGGGGGGGTCGGAGGGGCTCGGGATGGTGCCGAGGAGGCGGCGGTGGCGGCGCGGGGCGCTGCGGGCCGCGCTGGTGGCGCTGGGGCTGCTGGTGCTGGTGCTGGCCGGGGGAGGGGGCGGCGAGGAGCTGCTGGCGGCGGCCCTGGCGGCCTGGGGGAGGCCTGGGGGCCGGGGGTCGTGGGGGGACAGGAGGGAGGGGTGGTGGGCGCGGGGGTGCGTGGAGTTACGGGGGCGGTTTTATGAATGAGGGAAGGGGGAGCGTGGGAACAGGGGCGGGGCTTGTGGAAGGGGCGGGGCTTGAGGGTGGGAGGTTCGTGAATGGGGAGGGGTTCGGGGAGGGGGAGAGGGCACTTAGTGAGGGCCTTGGGAAAGGGGATCCGGAGGTCCTAAAGGGACGTTCGGGTGCGAGAAACGGGGGGCCGGGGGTCCTAAATGGCACTTCGGGGGGCGTAAACGGAGGTCCCGGTGCCCCAAACCGGGGTCCGAGTGCCCAAAACGAGGGTCCCGATGCTCCAAACCGGGGTCCCGGGGTCCCCAACGGGGGTCCCGCCGCCCCTCCCGGCTGCCTCGGCCTCCTCTCCGGCGGCTCCGGCGACCTCGACGAGGGTGCACAGCCCCGCCCCCGGCCCACCACCCCCAAAATCCTGCTGGCCCCGCCCCTGTGCCGGCCCCGCCCCTTTTCTGCTCGTCCTCGTGCCCAGCGCCCCCTCCCACCTCCCCGGCGCCTCGCGGTGCGTGACACGTGGGGGCGACCCCGCCCACCACGACCCTCCTCCCCCCTCTCCCGCACCCTCTTCGTGCTGGGCGTGCCCCCCACCCCGAATTCGCAGCGGGAGCTGCTCCGCGAGTGGCGGCTCCACGGGGACCTCCTGCAGGGGGATTTTGGGGACTCCTACTCCAACCTCACCTGGAAGACGCTGCTGCTGCTGCGCTGGGCCCTCTCCTGCTGCGGGGGGGCCCCCTTCGTCCTCAAGGCCGACGATGACACCTTCGTGAACCCGCCCGCTATCGCGACGTACCTGTCGTCGCCCGCCACGCCCCGCGAGCTCTACCTGGGCCGCGTCCACTGGCGCGTGGCCCCAAACCGTGATCCCCGCAGCCGCCACCACGTCCCCGCGCGGCTCTATCGCGACAGCGCCTTCCCGCCCTACTGCAGCGGCACGGCCTACGTGCTGTCGCGACAGGCGGCGGCGGCGGTGCTGGCGGCGGCGCCGCGCGTGCCCCTCGTGGGGCCCGAGGACGTGTGGGTGGGGCTGTGCGCCCACCGGGCGGGGGTCGCGCCGCGCCACTCGGCGAGGTTCGGGGGCTCGGCGCGGGTCCCCCCCGAGCGCTGCTGCCTGGGCGAGGTGATGTTCAGCGCCCACCGCCTGCGCCCACACGAGCTCAGGGCGCTCTGGGGAGGGGGCTTGGGGGTTTAGGGGGTGAGGGGGGGGCGTGCGGGGCCCTGCAGAGGCTGCTGGGGGTGCTGCGGTGCCGCGGGTTGGCCCTGTGGGAGTGGCTCTGGGGGGGGTGACACCCCCGGAAATGGGGACAGGGACCCCTGGAAATGGGGTCACGTGGAGGTCCCGTGGATGTGACATGGACCTGGGACAGTGACACGCATGTCACATGGGTGTGATGGTGACATGGACCTGGATGTCACATGGATGTCACACGGACCTGGGACAGTGACACGGATGTCACATGGGTGTGATGGTGACATGGACCTGGGACAGTGACACGGATGTCACACGGAGATCCCGTGGTGACATGGAGGTCACACGGAGCTGGGACAGTGACACAGCTGGTGACATGGAACTCCCAGAAGAACGTGGATGTCACAGGATACCTCAGATGGTGACAGAGATGTCACAGATGACAGCATGGATGTCACAGGGTGACACAGAGGGTGACAGGGATGTCCCCAGATGTCCCCAGTTGCTCCTCCCCTGTCCCCCCAATAAAGTCCCCCAGGCTGTGACCCCATGGTGGCCCTTGGATGGGGGGGTAAGGGGGCCTTGGGGACCCCAAAAATGGGTAGGGGGATTTTGGGGACCCCAAAAATGGGGAGTGGGACCCTAAAAATGGGGAGAGAATGCATTGGGGATGCCAAAAAAGCGGGATCCCCCAAAAACCACCACAGGATGCCCCAAAAATGGAGCCCCCTCCCCAATTTATTTCTTGAACCGCTCCAGGGCCCCTTTTTTTTGAGGGGGGCCCCCCTTTTTGAGGGCAGGGACCCCTTTTTTGGGGGCAGGGATGCCCTTTGCTCCCTTGCCCTTCTTTTTTGGGGGGTCCATCCCCTTCTTCCCCCTCTTTTTGTGGGGCTCCTCCTCCCTCTTCTCCTTCTCCTCCAAACTCTGACGGATTTGGGCCTGAAAAAAGAAAAAGCGGGTTCAAGAGGCACCCCTTCCCCAAAATGCCCCTGGACCTGCAACCCCCAGCACCCCCCAATCCCCCAAATCCTCCCCCGATACCCCAAATCCTCCCCAGAACCCCCAAATTCACCTCAGGACCCCCCAAATCCCCCCATACCGCCCCTCCCAAGATGCCCCAAATCCCTCCAGGACCTCCCCAATACCCCCCAAAACCCCCTCCAAATCCCCCCACATCGCCCATAGACCCCCCCAAATCCCCTCCCACCCACTTCCCCCTCCCAAAAGCTTACCCTGAGCTCCTGGTGGGCCACTTGGCGCTTCCTGTGCTGGGGGTCCCGACCCTTCGCCTTCCTCCGGGGCCGGAATTTGGGCTTGGAATGGGGGTCGTAGCCCTGGGGGAGGGGGAGGTTCAGGGTCATCCTTGGGGGGGATCTGGGGGCTCCTGGGGTGGACTTGAGGGGATTTTGGGTGGTCTTGAGGTGATTTTGGGGGGGTCCCTGGGTGGTTTTGCAGGTCCTTTGGGGAGTCCTGGGGCAGTTTGGGGAGTTCTGGGGGGATTTAGGGTGTCTTGGGAGGGCTTTGGGGAGTCCTGGGGTGGTTTTTGGGGCACCCACGGTGGTAGTTTGGGGGTCTCTTGGGGGGTCCTGGTGTAGTTTGAGGCATCCAGGGGAGTATTTTGGGGGCTTCTGGGGAGTTGAAGCCCGAATTTGAGGGGTGGGACCCCTCAAAAAATCCATTACCAGGCGCTGGATCCTCTCCTGGTGCTTCTGCTCCAGCCCGGCTGTGTCCACCAGGGACAGCAAGGAAGGGTCTGGGGTGATCAGCTCGGATGGAATCTGGGGAAAAAACGGGAATTTCGGGGTCAAAATGGGAATTTTGGGGTCACAGAGAGGGTTTGGGGGGATTTGGGGGGTTTGGGGAGCATTTGGGGGGGATTTAGGTGGGTTTGGGAGGATTTGAAGGGGATTTGGAGAAGTTTTGAGGCTTGAGGGAATGTTTTGGGGTCAAAATCCCCTCCCCATATTTGTACCTTCTCCAGCAGCGCCTTCACCTCCCACTCCTGGCGCTGCCTCCGGCTCCGGAAGGGATTGTTCTCCAGGGCGTCAAAATTGGGCTCCCCCGCCCCTTTGGGGACGATTTTGGGGAGCTCAAAGTTAGGGGGGGGGATTTGGGGATATCCCCCCCAAGGTCGGGGGGAAGACCGTGGGAATTGCCCCCCAAATCCACCGGAAATATCCCCAAATCCCCCCCAGATCCTCCAAAATCCACCAAAAATGCCCCCAAATCCCTCCTAAAACCCCTCAAATTTCCCCCCATTTCCCACAGCTCCCTCCCAAACCCCCCTCAAATCCCCCACCAAAGGCCCCTCAAATCCCTCCCAAAGCCCCTCAAACCCCTCAAATCCCCCCAGCTCCCTCAAAACCCTCCCAAATCCCCTCCCCAAATCCCACCTGGCACGAGCAGGCTGGAGAAGCCCCCCGTGCCCCACCCCCAGCACGTCCTCGAAGGGGCAGAACCTCAAACACTGGGGGGGTTTGGGGGGTCGGTGCTGCAGGAAGGGCCGGGGGGCATCCCCTGTGCCCACCCCGGGGTACACCTGGGGGGGGAAACAAGAGTTTGGGGGGGGGTGAGGAGGTTTGGGGGAGATTTAGGGGGATTTGGGGGAGTTTGAGGGGATTTGGGGGGGATTTGAGAGGGGTTGGGGGGATTTGGGGGGTTCACAGTGGGGTTTGGTGGAATTTGAAGGAGTTTGGAGGGACTTGGAGGGATTTGAGGAGAATTTGAGGGAGTTGGGGGGGGGGGGTTGGGGGTCCCAGGTTGTGTTTTTGGGGTTCCCAGGGAGCATTTTGGGGTGTTTTTGGGGGTCCCACCTGCACCAGGTCCCCGCAGGTGGCCGCCAGGAGCCCCCTCTGGCTGAATTCCAGGTCGGCAGCCCCCGCTGGGACCCCCCACTCGTGCAGGACCCCCCAATTCCGCAGGTCGAAAATCCGCAGCTTCCGGTCCAGCCCCGATGTGGCCATCAACCTGAGGGGGGAGGGGAGGAACCCCCCAAAAATCCATCAGGGGTGAGGGGGGGGAACCCCAAAATATGCCCAGGTGTCCCAAAATCCTGAAAATCCATCAGAATCTGATGGAAATCTGTCAAAATCTGACTGAAATCCATCAGAATTTCACTGAAATTCATCAAAATCTCACAGAAATCTGTCAAGATCAGGTCAAAATGCAATCAAAATTTGTCAAAATCTGATTGAAATCTGTAAAAATCTGGCCGAAATCCACCAAAACCCGACCAAAATCCTCCCAGGGCCCCCCCCCCAAAATCCATAAAAATCTGATGGAAACACATCAAAATCTGACAGAACTCTGTCAAAATCCGACCAAAAATCCCTCAGGGACCCCCAAAATCCCCCTAAATCCTCTGCTGGACCCCGAAATCCGGGTTTTGGGGGCGGTACCTGCCGGTGGGATCGACGGCCACCGCCCGCACGGCCCCGCGGTGCGCCAGGATCTGGGACACGGGCTCCTCGATGTTGGGGCTCCACACGGACACCGTGCCTGGAAAAGGGGCATCTGGGGCTCAAAAAGGGGTCACAGGGGGGAGGAAACCTCCAAAATCTGTCGGGGAGTCCTGAATTTTATGGGGGATGCCTGAAATTTAATTGGGAACCCTCAAAGTTCAGCCGAAATCCCCCCAAAAAAATTCCATCGGGAAACCCCCAAATTTCATAGGGAACCACCAAAAATTCCATCAGGAACTCCTTGAATTTCATCAAGAACTCCCCCAAAAAACCCATCAGAATCCATCAAGGACCCAAAATCCACTGGGAACCCACCCAAATCCCTCAGGAACCCCCAAAATTCCACCAGGAACCCCAGCATCCCAAGATATCCCCCAAATCCATCAGGAACCCCTCAAATCTGCCAAGAACCCCCAAAATCCCAGAATTCTTCCCCAAATCACCAGGATTTTCCCCCCAAATCCATCAGTATCCCCCTAAAATCCACCAAAACCCCCCCAGATCCCTCAAGAACCCCCCAAAATCCCTCAGAAACCCCCAAAATCTACCAAGAACCCTCCAAATCCCCCAAAATCCCAGCATGAACCCCCGAGATCCTGGGAATTCCCTCCCAAATCCACCAAGAACCCCTCGAGATTCCACCGGGGACCCCCCAAAACCCCTGGATTCCTCTTCCCCCCCCATTTCCAGCAGGAACCCCCAAAATCACGTGAATTGGCCCCAAAAGGGGTCCCTGTCACCGTTGGGGTGTCCCAGGTGCACGAGGGCGTTGTGGGGGTTTTGGGCCATCACGGCCAGGCGGCCCCGGCGGGGCCGGAGCGTCGACACCTCCTGGCCCACCGACACGTCCAGGAACTGCAGCAGCCCCCGCTCGCTCTGGGGAGAAACAGGGGAAAATGGGAAAAAACAGTGAAAAATGGTGAAAAAATGAGCAAAAACGGTGAAAAAATGGGGAAAAACGGGCGAAAAATGGGGAAAAAATGGGATTAAAAAAGGACACCTCCTGGCCCACCGACACGTCCAGGAACTGCAGCAGCCCCCGCTCGCTCTGGGGAGAAATCGGGGGAAAATGGGAAAAAACAGTGAAAAAACGGTGAAAAACGGTGAGAAACGGTGAAAAACGGGTGAAAAATGAGCAAAAAATGAGCAAAAATGGGAAAAAAAATGGGATGAAAAAAGGACACCTCCTGGCCCACCGACACATCCAGGAACTGCAGCAGTTCCCGCTCACTCTGGGGACAAAACAACCAAAAGTGGGCAAAACTGGTGAAAAAGTGGCAAAACCAAGGAAAAATGGTGAAAAAATTGGCAAGAAACAGGCAAAAAATGGAGAAAAATGGACCAAAAACAGGTCAAAAAACAAGTCAGAGCATGGCAACCTCCTGATCCACCAAATTATCCGGGGACTGCAGCAGCCTCTGCCTGCTCTGGGGAGAAATCATCAGAAAACAGGCAAAAATGGGTGAAAACTGGAAAAAAATGGGGAAAATAGGAAAAAAATTATGGAAAATGGGTAAAAATTGATGCGAATTGATGATGGGTAAAAATTGGGTAAAAAACGGCCAAAATTGACCAAAAATGATGGAAATCAGACAAAACCCGATAGAAATTGTCCAAAATCGCGGGAATTGACCCCAAACGGGGTCTGTGGGGGGCTGGACTCACGGCAGTGATGAGCAGGAAGTGGAAGGGCAGGAACTGGAGGCGCAGCACCCCCGGGAATGAGCCGAAAATGGGTAAAAAATGCCCGGAATTGGGTAAAAAATGACTGAAATTGACCGAAAATTGCTGTAAATTGCCCCAAATCGCGGGAATTTCCCCAAATCAGGGTTGGACTCACGGCAGTGACGAGCAGGAAGTGGAAGGGCAGGAACTGGAGGCGCAGCACCCCCGGGAAGCGGCGCAGAACGTGCAGCTCCAGCCCCTGGCTGTCGTACACCTGCAGCCACCGGCGCTGCGCCACCGCCAGCAGGGACTCGCTGTGCAGCCACCTGGGGGGGAAATGGGAAAAAATGGGGACTTCAGAAGAAATAAGGGGGGTTTTAAGGGCAATAACGGAGATTTTAGGAGAAAAAAATGGGGGTTTATGCGACAAAACGGGCGTTTGGTGGGGATTTTGTGACCAAAAATGGGGGGTTTGGGGAGGAAAACCCAAATCGTTCCCAGTCACTCCCAATTCCCTCCCACTCCCTTCCCACTGGCCCCCCACCCTCCTGCTCCCCTCCCAGTGCTCCCAGTCCCTCCTATTCCCCTCCCAGTCCCCCCCAGTCCCCTCCCAGTTTCCCTGTCCCTTCCAGTGCCTTCCAATCCCTCCCAATCCCCCCCCAGTCCTTCCCAGTCCCCCCCCAGTTGCTCCCAGTGCTGACGTGAGGTCGTTGATGGTCTCCAGGACGTTGAACTCGCTCAGGAGCCGCTTCGAGTTCCAGTCCAGGGCGGCCACGTGGCCTCGGGCACCCCCCAGCAGCAGGAACCTGCCAAAATGGGTGTACTGGGAGCACTGGGAGCACTGGGAGGGTTCCAGTCCAGGGCAGCCACGTGGCCTCGGGCACCCCCCAGCAGCAGGAACCTGGGGATAATGGGTGTACTGGGAGCACTGGGAGGGACTGGGAAAGGATTGGGGGGCACTGGGAAGGGACTGGAAGGGGATTGGGGGGCACTGGGAGGGACTGGGAGCACTGGGAGGGTTCCAGTCCAGGGCGGCCACGTGGCCTCGGGCACCCCCCAGCAGCAGGAACCTGCCAAAATGGGTGTACTGGGAGCACTGGGAGGGACTGGGAGAGGATTGGGGAGCACTGGAAGGGGACTGGAAGAGGATTGGGGGGCACTGGGAGCACTGGGAGGGTTCCAGTCCAGGGCGGCCACGTGGCCTCGGGCACCCCCCAGCAGCAGGAACCTGGGGATAATGGGGGTACTGGGCATACTGGGAGGGACTGGGAAAGGATTGGGGGGCACTGGGAAGGGACTGGAAGAGAATTGGGGGGCACTGGGAGAACTGGGAGGGTTCCAGTCCAGGGCGGCCACGTGGCCTCGGGCACCCCCCAGCAGCAGGAACCTGGGGATAATGGGGTACTGGGAGCACTGGGAGGGGATTGGACACCCCCCAGCAGCAGGAACCTGGGGGGGAGGGGGGACTGGGGGCACTGGGAGGGACCAGAGACCCCCCAGCTGGTCTGTGCTGATCCATACTGGTCTATACTGGTTTATACTGGTGCAGCTCACCTGCCATTCCGTGTGTAATCCACCCTGTAGGGCCCGAACTGTTCCAGGCGCAGCTCAAAGTGCTGGGGGGGGACACACCCAAAAACGGCCTTTTTTACCCCAAAATTGACCTTTTTCGCCCACAAAACATCCCTTTTCCAGCCCCAAATTACCCCTTTCCCAAAAAATCTCCCTTTTCCCCCCAAAAAACACATTTCCCCCCCCCAAACACATTTTTCTCAAAAAACCCCATTTTTTCTCCCCAAAAATCCCATTTCCCCCCCTCAAATTCCAGTTTTTCCTCCCAAATCCCAGTTTTTCCCCTCAAATCCCATTTTTCCCCCCATTCCCACCTTGCTGGCGCTGGCCACGTCCACGGCATCGGCGATTTCCCGCTGGGAGATGGTCGTGGGATCCTCCCCCTCTTCCACCTCCAGGAACCTGCAAAGGAGGGTTTGGGATCAGCCCTGAGGCATTTCAGGGGATCAGGGATGGATTTGGGATGATCCTGATGCCTTTTGGGGGATTCCAGTGGGGATTCTGGGGGTTCTCTGATGGATTTGGGATCATCCCCAGCGATTTGGGATCAGTCCTGAGGAATTTGGGATCACCCCTGAGGGATTTTGGGGGTTCCCTGATGGATCTGGGGTCATCCCCAGGGGTTTTGGGGCAGTCCCAGATGGATTTTGGGGGATCAAGGATGAATTTGGGATGATCCTGAAAAATTTGCCATCATCCCAATGTGGTGTCTTTTGGATATTTTTTGGGTTATTTTGGAAGGCATTTAGGAGTATTTTGGGGCATGTTTTTTAGGGTGGTTTTAGGGTGTTTTCTGGGGTATTTTGGGGGTGTTTTAGCGGGGGGTCTCACCCCGGCTCCTCGGGCAGGAGGGGCTCCCATCGAGCTGCTTTTTCAGCCGCCTCTTTTTCCTGCTTTTCCAAGTTTTTCAGGTGCCACCGGAGACGAGGGGTCACGGGGCGGGGCTGGGGCAGGAGAAATGGGAGAGGTCACCCCAAAATTCTCTCCCTGGGACCCCAAAAACATCCTCAACCCCCCGAAAAAAACCCCAAATACCCTCTGTGACCCCCAACCCCCTCCCAAATGCCCCCGGGACCCTCCAGCCCCCCCAAGTCCCCCCTCCCAAATTCCCCTGGACCCCAAAATCCCCTCAAATTCCCACTGTGATCCCCAAAGCCCCTCAATTCCCCCAACCACCTCCCCAAAAAACCCCGACCCCTCCTCTCCCCCCAAATCCTTCTGTGCCCTCCCCAACCCCGCCCCGGGACACCCCAAACCCTGTGACCCCTCCAAAAACCCCCAAATCCCCCCCAAAAGCCCCAACCCCCCTCCCCTTTTACCGCCTTTTCCGCCGCCCCCCTGAGGAATCGCTTCACTCTGGGCTTCGGCACCGGGGCAGGCCCAGGAAACGGGTCCGTGCGCTGCGAGAAAACAGGGAATGACACTGGGAAAGGCCTCGGGACCCCCTAGAACCGGCCCCGCCGCCCCAAAGTTTTGGGACCCCCAAAAAGTTACCCCCGAAACGCCGCCCTCCATCTCCACCACGCCGGACCGCCGCCGCCACTTCCGGCTGCGGAGCCAATCAGCGCAAAGGCAGGGCGAAGCGGCGCCGGAAAGCCCTGAAGGCGGGAGGCGCCATGTTGGGTGAGGGCAAAGCGTGCGTTGGGTGAACCGGGAGCGCCACTTTGGGCGTGGGCGGCGCCATGTTGGGTGCGGGTAGGAAGGGAAGGTTACGACCATATTTGTTGAGGGCGGATGGAGCTGGCGTGGGCATCGCCATGTCTGTTGAGGGCAAATGAGGGTACGGCGCTTTTGAAAGCCCTCCCCTAAATCTGGGGATCCCCCCTCTCATTTTTAGGGACCCTCCCACACCCCCCCTCCTTTTATCCCCCTAAACCACCTTGATTCCCAAAACGTTTCCTCCCCAACAACTGTTCCCAAAACACCCCTTTTTACTCCCTGGAACCCTGCCTTTCAAAAAAACCCTCTCCACTTTTATTTCCAAACCACCCCCAAAACATCCACTTTTCCTCCCCCAAATCCCCCCTTCTCCTCCCCGAATAACGACCTCCCCATCGTTTCCAAGGAAACCGACGCCTTTTTTTTTTTTTTTCCAAAATCCTTTTTATTGGCCAGAAAATTCCCACGTTTTCCTGGAATTCCTCATTTTTTCTTGGACACTCCCACGGTTCTCCCGCGCCGGCCCGTTGTCTTCGTGTGCTGGCCCCGCACACGCAGCCTAGGAGGGGGTCCACAGTTCATCCCAGTGCTTCCAGTGCTCCCAGTTCATCCCAGTCCCTCCCAGCATCCTCCAGTTTGTGCCAGCACCTCCCAGTGCCTCGTTACGGGGAACAACTCCCCGATTTTGGTAATGGAATTTGCCCAGGTGTCTCCCAGGTGTATTCCATGCGTCCCAGGTATCCCAGCTGTCCCCAGGTGTGTCCCAGCTGCCCCCAGGTGTGTCCCCAGGTGAGTCTCACCCCCAGAAGTGCCTGAGCCCTCGGTGTGCCCGGATCTTCTTGAGCCGCTCCAGGTCCTCGCGCAGTTTGTTGTCCAGCCCGTTGGCCAACACCTGGAATTTGGGACACACACAGGTCAGGGGGCACCTGGGGCAGGTCAGACAAGCAAAAGGACAGCTGAAACACATAAAATGACACCTGGGACAAATGAACAGACACCGGGGATGGGTAAGGGGCCACTTGGGACAGATGAGACGACACCTGGGCCAGGTGGAAGGACCCACCTGGGAGTATTTGCCGTCCTTGACGTCTTTCTGCCTGTTGAGGAACCAGTCGGGGATCTTGTACTGCCGGGGGTTCTGCATGATGGTGATCACCCGCTCCACCTGCACGAGGACACACCTGTCACACACCTGGGGACACACCTGGGCCCAGCTGGGGACACCTGACACACCTGGGACACACCTGTCACACCTGGGGACAGCTGGGGATACGCCTGGGACACACCTGTCACACCTGGGGACATACCTGTCACACCTGGGGACAGCTGACACACCTGGGGATACACCTGTCACACCTGGGGATACGCCTGGGACACATGGGGACAGCTGACACACCTGGGGACATACCTGTCACACACCTGGGGATATGCCTGGGACACATGGGGACAGTTGACACACCTGGGACACACCTGTCACACACCTGGGATCCCCGAGCCCCCCAAAAGCATCCCCAAGCCCCCTCAAAGCATTCCCCCCCCCCGACCTCCAAGCCCCTCGAAAGTGCCCCCAAACCTCGTCCTCGGTGAGTTCTCCCGCCCTCTTGGTGAGGTCGATGTCCGCCTTGCGCAGCACCACGTGGGCGTAGCGGCGCCCCACGCCCTGCCAGGACACACGGGGGGGTCACAGGGGGGTCCCCTGAGTCCCCAGGACACCCCCGGCGCCCCCAAGCTCACCTTGATGGCGGTGATGGCGAAGGCGATCTTGCGGCGACCATCGATGTTGGTGTTGAGCACCCGCAGGATGTGCTGGAACTTCTCCGGGATCACCAGGGACTGAGGGGACACACGGGGGAGGTGGCACGCCGCTTCCCGGGGACTCTCCGCCACCCCCCTGCGTCGCCCCCGGTCCCAAATATCCCCCAATGCCCCCCAGCCCCAGGGTCCTCCATGAGGGGACCCTGGGCCGCCATGCTGGGGGCGCGCGGGGTGTCCGCACCTACGCCCGTTTTTCTCCCCATCTCCCCTCGCCGCCGCCCCATTCCCGCCCCGCCGCTTCCCGGTGACCCCTCGCCATCCCCTCGCGCGGTCCCCCGCCCTGCCCCGGCGCCGATGGCGGCGGATCGGGCGCGGGGTTTGTTCCCACCATGGCTGCAGCCTCCGCTCTGCGCCGGGCCCTGCCTGGGAGGAGGAAGAAGCCGGAAGTGACGTCAGCGCGTCGCCGCGACGCGCGGGGCAAAGATGGCGGCGCAGGCGGAGGTGGCTCCGGGAGCGGGAATTTGCGGGGGGTTTGGGGGGTCCTGGGGGATTTTTTCTGGGGGTCCTAGGGGGCTGAAAAGGGTCTGGGGGGGCTCAACGAGGGGTGCTGAGCCGCGTGTGCCGCAGGTGGCGGCGGCGGAGGCGCCGCTGGGGGCGGAGCTGGAGGCGGAGCTGGACCTGGAGGGGGCGGAGCTGGAGGAGGTGGACGGTGAGTGAGGGAAGGAGGGCGCGAGGGCGGGGTGGGGCGGTGCCTGGAGAAGGGGCGGGGCTAAGACCAAGGGGGCGTGTTCAGGTTGGGGGTGTGGCGAGGCCTGATATGTCCAAAGGGGCGTGGTTTGGGTGGGTGTGTCCAACGGGGGTGTGTTCTGTGGGGGGCGGGGCCAGGGCACACCTGTGTTGGGGAGGGGACATTGGGGCTCCGTTTTGGGGACATTTGTGGGGGAGGGGACCCAGGGAACTTTCTCCCCCCCTGTTTTCCCCCTTTTCCCCCAATTTTTCCCCCGGTTTTTCCACTTTTCCCGCCATTATTCCCATTTTTCCCAGTGCACATCCAGGAGAACCTGGAGGACGCTTTGGTGCAGGAGGCCCTGAGGACGGTGAGTGTCCCCTGGGAGGGTTGAGGACACCCTGAGGACACTTTAGGGACAGTTTTTGAGTATTTGGTGCGATTTTGGGGGCTGGGGACCCTTTTAAAGGGTTTGAGGACACTTTTTTGGGGGTTGGGAGCATTTTAAGGGGAGGTTGGGGCATCTGGAGGGGGTTGGAGACATTTTTGGTGACGTCTGCATCACCTTGGGGACACATTAAGTACAGTTTTAGGGCGGGTTGGGGCCTTTTTGTGGGGGTTGGGGGGATTTTGGGGAGCTTGGGGACAATTTTGCAGGGTTGGGGCACTTTGTGAGCATTTTTGGGGGGTTGGGGACATTTTGGGCGGGCTTGGGGACACTTTGGGGACAGTGTTCGGGGCATATTGGGTGTTTTTTGGGGTGTTCGGGACACTTTCAGGGGGATTTGGGGACAGTTTAGGGGGGTCTGAGGACAAAGTGGGGGCATCCCAGAGTGGCAGGGGTGTCTCTGGTGTCCCCAAATGCCCCAAAATGTCCCCAAAATGTCCCCCACTTTTTGCAGGGCGTGGACCTGCTCCAGTATTCCCGGCATGTGGAGCTGGAGCTGCAGGAAGTGGAAAGAGCCTCCATCCAGGACTGTATCCCAAATTTTTGGGGGGTCCCAAGGTGTCCCAAAGTGTCCCCAAGGTCCAAGGCCTCGAAAAATGCCCCAAAATCTCCTGAAAATGCCCCCAAACTGCCTAAAAATGGCCCTAAATGCCCCCAGATTGTCCTCATGGTGTCCCCAAATTCTCCCCAATGTCCCCACCTTCCTCCAGGTGCCCCAACCCCCCCAAAACTGTCCCCAGTGGCCCCCAAATGTCCCCAATCCCCCTGAAAATGCCCTCAAACCACCCCAACTCCCCCAAAACTGTCCCCAAGTCTCTCCAAATTGTCCCCAAAGTGTCCTTGACCCCCCCCAGACATCAAGGAGAGCGAGAACATCGCAGAGCTGCACAACCAGATCACGGCCTGTGATGCCATCCTGCAGGTGAGCGGAAGAAACCACCCCAAAATGGCCCAAAATCACCCTAAATGGCCCCAAAATTGCCCCAAATGGCCCCAAATTGTCCCAGACTGTCCCCAAATGCCCTAAAAACTGTCCCCAAGCCCCCTAAAACTCTGCAAAACTGTCCCAAAACTATCCCAAACTGTCCTAAGTGTTGCCAAAACTGCCCCAAATGTCCCCAAACCGTCCACAAATGTCCCCCAAGTGTCCCCTGTGCCCCCCAGCGGATGGAGCAGATGCTGAGCTCGTTCCAGTGTGACCTGAGCAGCCTGAGCTGGGAGATCCGGGCCCTGCAGGACCAGTCGGTGGCCATGAACCTGCGGCTCCAGAACCGCCGGAATGTCCGGGAAAAGCTGGGACAGCTCCTGGATGAGCTCGTGGTGCCCCCGGCCATGATCAGGTGGGGCTGCAAAACCAGGAAACAGGGAAAAATCCCAGGGATTTTAGGGGGAAAACAGTGATTAGGGGCTCTAAAGTTGGCAGAACAGGGGAAAAAAGGGGATTTGGGTCACAAAACCCAGGAAAAGAGCGAAAAAATGGGGATTTGGGACAAAAATTCTGGGAGAACAGGGAAAAAAAAGGGGATTTGGGTCTCAAAATCTGGGAAAACAGGAAAAAAAGCTGGGGTTTGCGGCTCAAAAGTTGAGAGTTTGGGGAAATAAAAGAGGATTTGGTGTACAAAACCTGGCATTTTTGGGGAAAAAAATAGGGATTTGTGGAATCAAACCCGGGATTCCTTGGGAAAAAACAAAGATTTAAGGTGCCAAACTTGGGCTTTTGGGGAAAAAATGAGAATTAGGTCCCCAAAACCCAGGATTTTGGGCTGTACTGGATCCGATCCCTGTTTTCCCAGTGCAATCCTGGAGGCGCCGGTGACGGAGCCGGAGTTCCTGGAGCGGCTGCGGGAGCTGGACGGGAAGATCGGGGCGGTGAAGGAGCAGGCGTTCCGGGACACCCTGGCCTGTGCCGACGTCCAGCACGTCCTGGACAAGCTCAAGGTCAAGGTGGGCAGCACCTGCAAAATCCCTGGGAACGGCCCTGGAATTCCAAGGAATGCCCAGAGTTTCCAGAAGAACCCCAGACCACAGAATAGTCACTGGGAGGGACTGGGAGGCAAAGCCCAGCACATCCTTGACAAGCTCAAGGTCAAGATCCGTGGAAATGGTCCCAGAATTCTTGGGAATGGCCAGGATTCCAAGGAGTGGCCAGAGTTTCAAGGAGAGCCCAAAAAAACAGTGGGAGGGACTGGGAGACTGGGAATCAGGTGGGAGAAGCTCAAGGTCAAGGTGGGGAGACCTTCAAAGATTCAAGGGAATGGTCCCAGAATTCCAGGGGATGGCCAGAATTCTCATGGGAATGCTCAAAATTCCTAAGAGAGTCCACAAAACTAGTGGGAAGGCACTGGGATGGACTGGGAAGGACTGGGAGCACTGGGAGCCCTCCCAGCCCTTCCAAATCCCTCCTTTGATCCCAAAATCCCCCCTCAGGCTGTCACCAAAATCCGGGAATTTGTCCTGCAGAAGATTTACTCCTTCCGCAAACCCATGACCAACTACCAGATCCCCCAGGATTCTCTCCTCAAATACAAGTAAGGGAATCCCAGGGCTGGAATTTTATGGGACTGGGGTGGTGGGGGAGCCCAAAAAGCTTGGAAAAATTCCTGTATTTCCCAGGTTTTTCTACCAGTTCCTGCTGGGCAACGAGCGGAACGTGGCGCAGGAATTGCGGGATCAGTACGTGGAGACGGCCAGCAGGATCCACTTCTCCTACTTCAAATCCTACACTGGGCGCCTCATGAAGATCCAGGTGGGAATTCCCAGGCTTTGGGAATGCTGGGGAGAGGCTGGGGGAGTGGGTTTTTTTGCAGTGGATCCAATTTGGAATCCCCAGGGAAGGTTCACGTTAAGTCTGGAGTTGGTTGTTGGGTAAAGATCTGAGTGGGAATTGGGGCAAGGAATTTTGGGATGCTGATCCAACTTTTGGGATGCTGATCCCAGTTTTTGGGATGCTGAGAGGGTTTTGGGGGGGCTTTCTTGGGGATGGATCCAACTTGGAATCATCGGGAAAGGTTCGTGTTGCCTCCGGAGTCGTTTGTTGGGTGAAGATTTGGGTGAGAATTTGGGGCTTCCCAGAGAATTTTAGGATGCTGATCCCAATTTTAGCAGGAAACACTCCTCCCAGATATTTGGGAAGCTCATCTCACCTTTTCTCCTTCCTTCTGTTTTCCGCAGTACGAGGAGGTGGCGGAGAAGGACGACCTGATGGGTGTGGAAGACACGGCGAAGAAAGATATCCTTGGAATTCTGAAGGGGGTGGGGGGGGCTCCCGGGAATTCTGAGCGTGCGGGAGCATCCCAAAATTCCTTGACAGCGGGCAGGGTTCTTCTCCAAGCCGTCCCTGAAGAACAGGAACACCGTGTTCACCCTCGGCAACCGCGGCAGCGTCATCGCCCCCGCCGAGCTCGAGGCGCCCATCATCGTCCCCCACGCCGCCCAGAAGAGCGACCTCAGGGTCACTGGGGGCACTGGGAGGGACTGGGGGGCACTGGGAGGGACTGGGAGCACTGGAACAGACTGGGAAGGACTGGGAGCCTAGTGCAGGGAAAAAAAAGCTTAAAAAACGCCAAAAAAACCGAAAAAAAAGAAAAGAAAAACCCCCCAAAACAACAAATACTGCCTCGTTTCCCCCCTTTTTTTTTTGGGACGCATCCCAAGGTTTTTCCCGAGGTTTTTCCCAAGGTTTTCCCTAATGTTTTCCCTGTTTTCCCCCCAAGTACCCGTTCGAGTCGCTGTTCCGCAGCCAGCACTACGCCCTGCTGGACACGAGCTGCCGGGAATTCGCCTTCCTCTCGGAATTCTTCCTCGTCTCCGGCAATTCCGCCCAGGAATTGTTCGACGCCGTCATGGGGAAGACCCTGGCCATGTTCCTGGTGGGGATTCCTGGGAATTTGGCAGGCCTTGGGGGGTTTGGGGTTTTTTTTGAAATGTTTTCCTTGGCATTTTGTTTTTTTTGGGGAGGGGGGTTTTTAAGGGTTTTTGGGGGGATTTTGTTTTTTTTTCTGGGAGGATTTTTGAGAGTTTTTTTGGGATGTTTTGCCTGGGAGTTTTTGGAGTTTTCCTGGTATTTCTTGGAGTTTTCTCTGGGATTTTGGGGGATTTCCCATGGATTTTGGGATGGTTTCCTGGTTTTGTGAAAGTTTCCTGCTATTTTGGCAAATTTCCCTGGGATTTTGGGATATTTTCCTGGGGACTTTTATACAGCCGGTTTTCCCTGGGACTCCCGGGGAATTTTTGGGATCTTGATCCATTCTCTATCCCATTCTAGAGGCACATGGAAGGGTTTGTGTCCGATTGCTACGACGGCATCGCCGTCTTCCTCTGCATCCACCTCGTGCTGCGCTTCCGAGGCATCATGGCCAAGAGGAATGTCCCTGCCGTCGACAGGTCAGGAAACACCCTCCAAAGTCCACTGGGAACAACCCAAAACCCACTGGGAATGCCCCAAAATCCAATGGGAAGGCCTCAAAATATACAGGGAATGCCCCAAAATCCACAGGGATCTTGCAAATTCAACAGGGAGATCAGGAAACTCCCCAGAATCCCTCAGAAAACCCCCAAACCCATCCCAGATCCCCCAAACCCCCCCCAAAATCTATCAGTGATCCCCCAAATCCCTCAGAAACCCCCCCAAATCCATCCCAGATCCCCAACCCCCTGCCAAATCCCTCAGAAATCCCCCCAAAACTCACCTGGGATTCCCAAATCCCCCCGAATCCTGTTTTTGCAGGTACTGGGGGTCTCTGCTGGCGCTGCTGTGGCCGCGCTTCGAGCACATCCTGGAGCTGCACATCCAGAGCATCCAGAGCACCGACCCCCAGAAACTGGGATTCCTGGACACGCGGCCCCACTACGTGAGCTGGGAATGCCAGAAAGGCCAGGAATTCATCCCCGGAATTTGAGGGCAGGGGAGGTCTGGGAAGGCTGGGAATTCATCCCAAGTTTATGAGCAGGGAGAGTCTCGGAATGCTGGGAATTCTTCCCCTGATTCATCCCAAATGGAGCTCTAGAATGCTGGGAATTCATCCCAAATCTGGGGTCAGGGGGAGTCCGGCAATGCTGGGAATTCCAAAATGCCAGGAATTTATCCCAGAATTCCTGGAGTTCACCCAGAGTGGGGACTGGGAGCAATGGGAGCCCTGGGAATGCCAGGAAAGGCTCTGGAATTCCATGAATTCCCACAGATCATGCGGGGTGGGATGGGGGGGGGATGCTGGGATCCCAGAAATGCTGGGAATGGCTCCGGAATTCCGGGAATTCCCGCAGATCACGCGGCGTTATGCGGAGTTCTCCTCGGCCATCGTCAGCATCAACCAGACCTGCCCCAGCGACAGGAGCGACGCCCTGCTCAGCAGGCTGCAGGTACTGGGGGCACTGGGAGGGACTGGGGAGCACTGGGAGGGGAGTGGGAGGGACTGGGACAACACTGGGAGGCACTGGCAATTTCTCACCCTTTTCTCCCCTTTCTCCCCCCTTTTCTTCCCCAATTTCCCCTCTTTTTCCCCTCTTTTTCTCCCCCCGTTCCCAGATGGAAGTGGAGAACCTGGTGCTCCGCGTGGCCGCCGAGTTCCCGTCCCGCCGGGAGCAGCTCGTCTTCCTCATCAACAACTATGACATGATGCTGGGGGTGCTCATGGTAAAACACCCTAAAACACACCAAAACACCCTAAACCCCCCCAAAAACTGCACCAAAATAGCCTAAAATAGTCCAAACCTCCCAAAATCCTTCAGGACCCCTCCATATATCTCTCCAGAAATGCTCCCCCCCCAAAACCCTTCTATGACCCCCCCAAATTTCCCCATAACCCCCCCAAACCCTCCTGTGACCCCCCAATTTCCCCCCAAACCCCTCCTGATTCCCCAGTTTTGGTTGTGTCCCCCCCCCAGGAACGGGCGGTCGAGGAGAGCAAAGAGGTCGAGGGGTTCCAGCAGCTCCTTTCAGCCCGAACTCAGGTGAGACCCCCTCTCAAAATAAATGCCTAAAATAATCCTCCTCTAATTGTCCCCCCTTTTTTACACCCCCCCGCTTGTGTTCTCCTTTTTTCTCTCTGTTTTTTCCCCTTTTCCTCCCCTTTTTTCTCTTTTTTTTCAGTTCTTTCCCCCCCCCCTCAGCCATTCGTGGAGGAGCTGTTTCTGTCGTCAGTTCCCACCTCTCACCTCTGATCCTGTTGCTAGATGTCGTTAATCGGTTGTCAGTGCCGTTGTTATTTAATCGTTTTTTTGTTAAATCTCTGCTTTTCGCGCCTTTTTCGGGTCCCCCCTCAGGAGTTCGTGGAGGAGCTGTTGGCGCCCCCTTTCGGCGGCCTCGTCACCTTCGTGCGTGAGGCGGAGGCGCTGCTGGAGCGAGGGGAGGGCGAGCGCCTCAAGGGCCACGAGGGTAAAAAAAATCCCTGGAATTCTCGCCGGGAACACCGGGAACGGAGGGGGGAGGCGGGAAATGCCGCGGGAATGCGCGTGGGTGGGGGATGAGGGGGGTGGTGGGGAGGCAACTGCCTCAGGCTGGGTAAATCCTGGGAATTCTGGGTAAATCCCGGGAATTCATGCCGGGAATGCGAATTTATTTCCAACATAATCCTGGGGTTATTTTCCTCCCTTCACTCCTGTGACATTCCCGTTCCAGCCCGGGCCACGCAGCTCATCCGGGGCTTCTCCAGCACCTGGAAAAGCTCTGTGGAATCCCTAAGCCAGGACGTCATGAGATCCTTCAGCAACTTCAAGATTGGCACCAGCATCATCCAGGTGGGAATTCCCCAGGAACCCGGAATTCCATTGGCTTTTTTTCCCAATTGACTTTGTTTTTTTCCCAATGACTGGGTTTTAATCCCTTTTTCCACCTTTTCCCCCCAACCCTTTTCAACCGTTTTCTCCCTGTTTCTCCCCATTTTTGCCACTTCCTGTTTTCTCCTCATTTCCCCCCTTTTTTCCTTGTTTTCCCCTATTTCCCCTCCCTTCCCACTTTTCCTCCTCTTTTCCTATTTTCCCTTTTTTCTTCCCCCTCCTCCCTTCATTTTTTCCCCCTCTCCTCCCCCTGGCCCTCTGCCCCTTCTTCCCCTGGAATTGCTGTGATTCCCGGTTTTCCAGGCGGCCCTGACACAATTGATCCAGTTCTACCACCGCTTCCAGAAGGTTCTGGAGCAGCCACCACTCCGGACGCTCCCGGCACGCTCCGACCTCATCAACATCCACCACCTCATGGTTGAGCTCAAGAAGCACAAACCCAACTTCTAGGGGGGCCGCAAAATCCTGGGAATCCCCCCCAAAATCCCTGGGAATCTCCCAAATCCCTGGAACCCCTGAAATTCCCACTTTTCCACCCCCAAATTCCACGTGGGAATAAAGGACCAAGGCTCCCTGTGATGGGTTAGTGCTCTGGGGGTGAGGGGAGTTTAGGGAAAGCTGAAGGACCCCGAAATCCCTGGGAATGCCCCTAAAATTCCACTGACACCCCCAAACTTCCCCACTTCCCCCCCAAATTCCATGTGGGAATAAAGGGACTGAAGGCTCCAAGTGTTGGTTTTATTGCTGCTGGTGACAGCCGGGGGGATGGGAGGGGGAGCTTTGGGGGTGTTGGGACCCCTGGGGTTTTTGGAGACTCCCCAGGGGGATTTTGGAGACCCTCCAGGGGGATTTTGGGATTTCCCCCCCCTCCCCAAAATTCCCTCCATTCCTCCACTTGGGCACCACCAATCCCCACCTGGATCCCCCCTGAGGGCACATACTGGGTGGATCCCTGAGGGCTTTTTGGGGCCCCCCAAGTAGATTTTGGGGACTCTACTCAGGCACCACCAACCCCCTCCCGAATCCCCCGTGGGAGCACATTTGGGGGGCCCTGGGAGGGGTTTTGGGTCCTTGGAGGGGAGTTTGGGGGTCCCTCCGGCCAAGGGGGATTTTGGGGGTGCCTGGGGGGGATTTTTGGGGTCCCCCCTTATTTCTGCTCCTTGGTGGGGGCGTAGTAAAGCTCCAGGGGTTTGCTGAGCTTCCAGAACTTCTCGTTCACCAACTCCAGCGTCAGGGACCCATTCAGGGGCTACAGAGAAAGAGGAGTTAAAACACCCTCTGGGACCCCTCACCCAAAATCACCTGGAACCCCCCAAAATCTCCTTTGACCCCCCCAAAATGTCCTGTGACCCCCAAGCCCCCTCAAATCCCCCCAAATACCTCCCAAGCCCCCTGTGACCCCCTGGCTCCCTTTAACCCCCCAATCTCCCAAAACCCTCCTGTGACCCCCCAAAATCCCCTGTGACCCCCAAAATCTCCTGTGATCCCCCTCAAACCCCCTCATCCCCCATTTCTATCCCAATTCCCCCTCCTTTCCTCCCTGTTTGCGGGAGATGTCCAGCTTATTCCCAGGATATTCCCAGGATTAGCGGGATGGTGTCTGACGTGCTCCAGGCCTCCCCACCCCCCTCCCCATACTCTAACCCACTTCCCATTATTTCCTCCCCCCATTTCCCAATATTTCCTTCCCATTTCCCAGATATTTTGTGGTTACATCCGGGTGAATTCCAGGTCACTTCCAGGCTCACCGTGAAGGCGGAGGTGGCGCTGGTGGTGGTGTAGATGGTGTCCTGCTTCTCACCCTCCCCATCCCACCCGTTCCTGCTATTTCCTCCATTTCCCGGATATTTCCCCTCCATTTCCCGGATATTTCCCCTCCATTTCCCAGATATTTCCTGGATATTTCCCAGATGTTTCCAGGCTCACCGTGAAGGCGGAGGTGGCGCTGGTGGTGGTGTAGATGGTGTCCTGCTTCTCACCCTCCCCATCCCACCCCGTTCCCTGCTATTTCCTCCTTTCGACATTTCCAGGCTCACCGTGAAGGCGGAGGTGGCGCTGGTGGTGGGTAGATGGAGTCCTGCTCACCCTCCCCATTCCACCCCATCCCCCTATTTTCCCCCATTTCCCGGATATTTCCTCCCCATTTCCCAGACATTTCCGGGTTGCTCCCGGGCTCACCATGAAGGCGGAGGTGGCGCTGGTGGTGGTGTAGATGGTGTCCTGCTTCTCACCCTCCCCATCCCACCCCGTTCCCTGCTATTTCCCCTCCATTTCCCGGATATTCCCCAGATGTTTCCCGGCTCACCGTGAAGGCGGAGGTGGCGCTGGTGGTGGTGTAGATGGTGTCCTGCTTCTCACCCTCCCCATCCCACCCCGTTCCCTGCTATTTCCCCTCCATTTCCCTGCTATTTCCCCTCCATTTCCCGGATATTTCCCAGACATTTCCAGGTCACTTCCAGGCTCACCGTGAAGGCGGAGGTGGCGCTGGTGGTGGTGTAGATGGTGTACTGCTTCTCGCTGACGTGCTCCAGGCCGGGCCCGGGGTCGGGGCCGGGGGGCGGGGCCTCCTCCAGCGCGATCCGCAGCGCCAGGTACTTGGACAGGTGATCGACCGTGGCGTTCGACGTCGTCTTCACGTACCTGGGAACGACCCGGAATGCAACAGGAAATACAACAGGAAAAGGGGGAGGAACAGGAGAAAGCAGCAGGAAGGAGGAGGAGGAAGGAGGAGAAAGAAGGCAGGAAGAGAAAGAAGGAAGAAGAGGAGGAAAGGAGGAAGAGCAGGAAGGAAGAAGCAGGAAGAGCAGGAAGGAAGGAGAAGGAAAGAGCAGGAAGCAGAGCCCGGACTTGCGGCCTCACCTGGTCTGGGAATACTCGCCCTTGTCGACGAGCAGGGGGTGCGGGCGGAAGACGAGCTCGATCTCGCTGCTTCCCGCCTCCGCCTCCGCCTCCGGGCTGCCCCTGCCGCCGTTCCCGGGCCCTTCCGGCGGCGCCTCCGCGTCGGGGTCGGCGCCGGAGTCGTCGGAGGCGCGGGAGCGTTTGCGGCTCGGCCCCGCCGCCGCCTCGGGGGGGCTCAGGTGGGGGTCCAGGTTCTCCTCCCCCCCGCTGAACGTGGCGTTGTCCGACTCGGCGTGCAGCTTCCGCACCCGCTGGGCCCTGGGGGAGCAGGGAAGGGCACCCGGGAATAAGGGAAAAGTGGGAAAAGGGGGGAAAAATGGGGGAAAAGGGGAGAAAATGGGGGAAAAATGGGGGAAAAGGGGAGAAAATGGTGGGAAAAATGGGGAAAAAGGAGCCAAATCCAGCTGGGCCGGCACCGGAAACAGAGACTGTGCGACTGGGGAGAGGGGGGTTGGTGGGATTTTGGGGAGATCTGGGAGGTTTTTGATGAAACTGGGGGGGGGGTGATTTTATGAGAATAGGATGGAACTTTGCGGGAATTGGATGGACTTGGGGATTTGGGAATTCTGGGAGTGATTTTGAGGGTGATTTGGGGCAGACTTGGGTCGATTTGTCCCGCGCTTTGTGGCCATTTCGCCGCGACTTTCGCCAGATTTCAGTGGAACTCTGGGGTAAAACCCTCAGGAATTCGCAGGAATTCTGGGCCCACCTGTGCATGGCCTGCATCTTGAGGCCCTCCTCGATGCTGCTGCTGAGGGCCTGCTGGTTGTGGAGGCGGCTGAGCTTGGCCAGCACCCGGTCCTGGTGGGCCTCGTACTCGTCGCGGCTCGGGTAGATCTTGGAGATGAGGGCGTCGAAGTTGGGGTCGGGGCGCAGGGAACGCTTGGACACCAGCTTCTTCCGGCACGTGGGGCACTCCTTGTTCCTGGGAAAAGGGGGAAAGGAAAAGGGGTCAGTCAGAGCCAGGAAATGGAGGGAAAAGGGGAGGGAAAAGGGGGATACAGGTGACAGGGGAGGTGACAGGGAGGTGACAGACCCGCTGCGGCAGCGCGGTGACGATGCAGTCGGAGCAGAAGCGGTGCAGGGGGTGACAGGGGGAGGTGACAGGGGGGACACAGGGGGTGACACAGGTGACAGGGATGTCCCAGGGAGGTGACAGAGGTGACAGACCCGCTGCGGAGCGCGGTGACGATGCAGTCGGAGCAGAAGCGGTGCAGACACTCCTTGGTGGTCATGGTGTTCTTGAGCATGTCCAGGCAGATGGGGCACATCAGCTCCGAGTGCAGCGACCGAGGGGACACTGCGATCTCCGTCCCGTCCATGATGGCCTCCTGGGGGGACATTGGGGACAAATGACACCCTGAACACCCCCTGGGGACACCCCAACACCCCACAGGGACACCGCGATCTCCATCCCATCCATGATGGCCTCCTGGAGACACTGGGGACAGGAAGGGGACAAATGACACCGTGGGGACATCACTGGGGACATCACTGGGGACACTGGTCTCCACCCCATTTCAGGCTGTTTTTCCCCTATTTTGGGGTCTCTCCCCAACAATTTTTGGTTGATTCATCCCAGTTTTGGGGTCTCCCCTCCCCCATAATTTGGGGTATCTCACCCTCCCTAATTCGGGGTCTTCCCCCCTCCCCAGTTCCAGGTTGTTTTCCCCCTCAATTTGAGGTCTCTTCCCCCCACAATTTTGGGTTGGTTTTCACCCCAATTTCACGTTCTCTCCCCCCCTTAATTCGGGGTCTCTCCCACCCAATTTTGGGTCGTTTCGCCCTCAATTTGGGGGTCTCTCACCCACCCCCCAGCCCGTTACCTGCGGGGTTCGGTGCAGCTCGTACAGACTCAGTTCCCACGTCTTGTTGGCGCTCTGGGCGCTCGCGGGGGCGGCCATGGCCCTGAGGGGGGAGCCGGGGGGGGGTGCGTTCCGTCACCTCGAGATCCCCAAAACTCCCCCGGGACCCCCCAAAAAACCCCTCAAAAACATCCCCCAAAAAACCCTCGACACCCCCTCCCAAACAACTGTGACCCACGCCCAGACCCCCCCAACCTCCCTCTGTGACCCCTCAGATCCCCCAGGGCCCCCCCAGGACCCCCAAAACCCCTCCGGGAGCCCCAGACGCGCATCCCCCCCCCTCACCCGCCGCTTCCGCGCGACGGCGCCGCTTCCGGGCTGGCGCCGCCGGATGACGTAACGGAGCCCGGCCAGCCAATGGGGAGGCGCCGCCACACTCGGCCAATAACGGGGTGAGGGCGTGGTTATGTCGGCAAGTGGGCGTGGTCTGTGTTTCGGGGCGTGGTTTGGAAAAGACGTACCTGGGGGCGTGGTCTGGGCAGCTCGAGGGGCGTGGCTTGGGCACGACTCCCAGTCCCTCCCACTCCCTCCCAGTTACCTCCCGGTCCTTCCCAGTCCCTCCCAATTCCCTCTCAATTCCCTCCCAGTTCCCTCCCAGTCCCTCCCACTCCCTCCCAGTTACCTCCCGGTCCTTCCCAGTCCCTCCCACTTCCCTCCCAGTCCCTCCCACTTCCCTCCCAGTCCTCCCCAGTCCCTCCCAGTTCCCTCCCAGACTCTCCCAATCCCTCCCAATGCCTCCCAGCGGGAATCAGAGCCGGGAATTCCTGTCGTTCCATATTAAAATATAAATTTATTTATTTGGACTCTTTTTTAAAATCTCTCAGGAATAAAATCCAGGCGGGGGGAGGGGGGAAATTCGGGAATTCCCAGAGGGATTTGGGAATTCCCGACTCTCCCCCCCCTGCTCCCTCCCGTGCTGGATCCAGGGGGGGAAGGAGGTTTTTTGGGAGGGGGTTTTATCCAAGGAAACAGACGGGCCCCACCTGGAGCCGCCGGTCCTGGGAATTCCCAGGCAATTCCAGCCGGAAATCCTGGATCGGGAGCTGCTCCGGCCGCAGCTCCAGGAGCATCCGGGACTGCGGGAAAACAGGGAATGAGGGGGCCCCAAATCCATCCAGGGATATGCCAAATATATCCAGAAAAACCCAGATATATCCAGGGAAACCCCCCCAAATCCCCCCTTTTCCCTTTTCCCAGGATCTGAATTCCCCCAAATCCCATTTACCACCCCCTGGATCCCTTTTCCCACCCCACATCCCATTTCCCATCCCCCCCCGAACCCTCTTTTCCCATCCCAAATCCCGTTTTCCCACCTCCCAAATCCCTTCTCCCACCTTTCTCTCCCCCTGCCAATCCCATTCCCACCCCTCCAGCATTCCCCCTTTTCCTACCCCGCATCCGTCCAGCTGGGCCTTGGCGTGGGATCCGGGCTGGGATGATCCCAGCTCTTCGTCGTTGGCTCCCAGGAACCGCAGCGTTCCCTCATTCCCATCGCTGTTCCCGTTATTCCCGTCGCTGTTCCCAGCATTCCGGGGGCAGCGGATCCCGAAGCTCTGGCGGCCAGAGGTGCTGAGGAGCCTCAGGAACGTCACCTGCACCACCGGCAGCGGCCGCAGCTCCGAATCCCGGTAGGAAAACTGCGGGAAAAACACCAGGAAAATGGAGTCAGCCCCGGGGGGGGGGGGAAATTTGGCGATCGGGGCCGTTCCCGGGGCGATTCCTGAGGGATCCTCACCCGTTTTCCTGCCTGGGATCGGCTGAACCAGAGCGGAGTCGGAGATGCCTCCAGATCCAGTGGTACCTGGAAAAGGGGGGAGGGAAATCAGGGAGATCCCAAGATCTGGGGGGTGGGAATTTGAGGATCCCATTAATGGGGAATGTTGGGACCCCACTGACTGGGAATGTTTGGGATCCCATTCACCGGAATTTTTGGGATCTCACTCCCTGGGAATTCGGGAATGCCACTAATTGGGAATGCTGGGATCCCATTCCTTGGGAATACTGGAATCCCATCAACTGGAATCTTTGGGATCTCACTCTTGGAGAATTCGGGGATCCCATCAACTGGAAGTTTTTGGGATCCCATTCCTCAGGAACACCAGAATCCCATCAAACAGCATTTCCAGGATCTCACTCCTCGGGAATGCCGCTAACCGGGGGACTCAGGGACCCTCCCAACCCCCCAAATTCCATCACCTCCTGGAATTCCGGGGCCGGGAAGACGCAGCTCTCGCCCCCAGCCGTGAAGTTGCAGAAGACCTTGAAGGAATCCCGGGAACAGCCCTGGTTGGGGTCAATCCAATATTCCCCTGCAGCAGGAAAACTGGGATCACACAACCCACACACAACACCCAGGGGGAGCCAAACCCCAGATTTTAGGGATAAAAATAAAAGTTTTGGGATCTGAAACCCACGGTTTCGGGGCAAACCTCTGTTATCAGGATTAAAACCCTATTTTTTTGGGAGCAAACCTCCATTTTTTGGGATCCAAACCCCTTTTTTTGGGGAGCAAGCCCCCTGGTTTGGTGTCCAAAATCTCATTTTTTGGGAGCAAACCCCGATTTTTTTGTTCCAACCTCCAATTTTTGGCCTCCAAACCCCCTTTTTACCCAATTTTTGGACTCCAACCCCCATTTTTGGCCCCAGAATTCTCATTTTTAGGCTCCAAAGCCCCACTTCTTGCTCCCAAACGCACCGTCGGGCAGGTGGGGGTGGGCGAGCCGCAGGTCCCGGCAGGTCCTGGCCGGGTGTTCCCGGGATCCCTCGGGATTGCGGAGCCGCTCCAGCTCCTTCCTCAGGGAATTCAGGGAGCGCAGGATCCCCTCCCCTACATCCCCCTCCCCTTCCCAGGAAAGCGCCGAAGCGTCCAGGGAGCGCTTGGATTTCTTGGGAATTATTTGGAGGGGGAGGGGCTGGATCACCTCGCCGGGGGGGCCCTGGGGGGAGGGGAAAAGGGGGGAGGAAAACACACCCAAAATAAGCATCAGGATCCCCCTCAAATCCACCCAGGAATACCCGGACCACCCCAAACACCCTGGAACCCCCTGAAACCCACCGGGACCCCCAAACCTCCCACAACACCCCAGGACCCCTCCAAATCCTCCCCCTCAACTCCCCCTTGACCTCCACAAAGTGCCTCCAAATCTGCCCTGGGATCCCAAAATCCCTCAAAAAACCCCCAAACCTCCCCAAAACCACTCAACCCTCCCTGCAAAAACCCAAAACCCCCAAGCCCCCAAAAAACCCTCACCCTGTTCCCAAACCCACCCAAAACCCCCAAGCCTCCCCCAGTCCCCTGGAGCCCCCAAACCTCCTCAAACCCTCCAACCACCCCAAAACCCCTGGGACCCCCAAAGTCCCTCACAGGATGTCCAGGGGTCCAGGGGTCCCAGCTGTCCTTTGGGTCGGCTTGGCCCTGGGGAGACAATTTGGGGGATTGAGGAGGAATTAAGGTGGTTTGGGGGTCATGAGGGGATTTGGGAGAGGCGTAAGGGGTTTTAGGGGTTTTGGGGGTTAGAGAGGATTTGAGGGGTTCTGGGGAGCTTTGGGGGGTTTTGAGGGGCTTGAGGGGATTTTTGGAAGGAGGATTGGGTTTTTTTGGGGGGTTGGGGGTTTTCTGGGAGGTCTCAGGAGGTTTTGGGGTGTTTTTTTTTGGGGGGGGTCCCACCATGGCTCCTTTGGCTCCTTTGGGACCAGCCGGACCCTGCGGGAAAAAAAGGCAAGGGGGGTGTTAAATTTAGGGGGAGAGAACCCCCCAAAATCCAAGAGGGGGGAGAAATTTGGGGGACGGGGGGGGAGACAAAACACCCCCCCCCATCCCAAAATATCTGGGGGGGCAAAACTCACAGGGTGCCCCGGGGGGCCGGAGGGGCCGAGGGGTCCCGATGCTCCCGGCATTCCCTAGGGGGAGGCAAAGGGGGAGAGACCCCCCCAAAATTATCAAGAAATTATCAACAAATTCCCCCAAAACCCCGCAACTCCCTCCAAACCCCCTAGAAAGCCCCAGGACCTACCAACCCCCGAAATCTCCCTCAAATCGCCCCTTGACCCCCAAAGCCCACCAGGACCCCCATACCCCCTCAAATGCCCCCAAGCCCCTCCCAGACCCTCCAACCCCCTTCAAAACCCCCAAACTCCTCCCAGGACTTACCAAGCCCCCCAGGACTCCCCCAAATTCTCCACACCCCAAAGCCTCCTGAAACCTCCTGGAAACTTCCCACCCAAAAAACCCTCAAACCCCCAGGCCCTTCAAATGCTCCCCAAAGCTCCCAAAATCCCCTCGACACCTCCTCGTGACCTCCCAAACCTCCCCAACTCCCCACCAAACCTCCCAAATTCCCTCAAATCCCCCCAACTTCTCCCCAAACCCCCTCAATTCCTCCCCAAACCACCCCTATGACCCCCCAGTTTCTCCATAAACCCCCATATTCCCTCCAGTGCCCCCCTCACCGTGTCCCCCTTGCTCCGGTGGATCCGGGGAGTCCCGGCAGGCCCGCTCCCCTTTGTCCCCCTGCTCGCCGGGGGGGCCGATCAGCCCGATCAGCCCGGGGTGACCCTGAGAGAGGGAGGGGACACCCCAAAGTTTGGGGGGGGATTTGAGTGGGTTTGGGGGATTAGAAGCAATTTGGGGGGATTTGAAGGATTTATGAGGGTTTGGGGGTTTGGGAAGTCCTGGGGTGGTTCTGGGGGATTTGGGGAGGGGTTAGGGGTCCTGGGTGGGATTTAGGGGGATTTGAAAGGAATTGGGGGGAATATGGGGGGATTTGAAGAGATTTAGGAGGGTTTGGGAGGTTTGGGGCTGTTGGGGGGGGGGTATTGGGAGGTCCTGGGCTGGTTTTGGGGACCCTGGGGGGGTTGTTTCCCCCCCAAATTGGGGTTGAGGGACCCCCCTCCTCACCTTCTCCCCTTTGGCTCCAGCGTCTCCCCTGAGCCCAGGAATTCCAGGGGGTCCCTGCAGGATCAGCCATGGAATTTTGGGGGGGGATAAACGTGGGGACCCCCTTTTTTGTGGGGGGCAGGGATAAAGGGGGTACTCCCCACCCCCCTCATTTTTTGGGGGGGGTCTCTCTCACTCACCACCGGTCCGGGGGGTCCTGCCTGGCCTCTCATTCCTGGTTTTCCTTGTTCTCCCTGGGAGGGGAAGGAAAGGTGGGATTTGGGGGGGTACCTGATTCCAGGATTTGGGGGGGATTTGGGGGTCTCAGTCCCAATATTTGGGGGTCCTGATCCCAGGACTTGGGGGTTCTGATCCCACAATTCTGGGGGTCTCAATCCTGGGATTTTGGGGAGTTAATCCCCGTATTTGGAGGGTGTCAATCCCGGGATTTT